ACTTGTTGTAAGTCATATGAGCATAATTATTTATAACGATTTATTTAATTTTTATGAAAGGTATTGATTGAGATAAAAAAGTCAGTGTCATTAGCGGGATTCGAACCCACGAGCTTCGGCTAAATACGCCGCTGCTCTACCAGTTAAGCTATCGGGACTTCGATCCACTCGGACACTTACTTCCCATCTCAAAAAATGGCAAAAAGGAGGGAAAATTCAAAAGGTGGGTTGAGATGGGAAGTTAGTGTCCGAGTGGATCAAGTCACGATAGCTCAAGTGGTAGAGCAGCGGCGTATTTAGCCAAACAATGGTCGTGGGTTCGAATCCCGCTCGTGACACTGACTTATTTATCTCAGACAATACCTTATTTAAAGATTAATTAATTGAAAGAGGTTATTTTGTCAATCGGACCACAAAATCTAATGAACTATTTATTTTGTTAACATAGTGTATTTATTATAAGTTATCATTATGAAACAAAGTTTTATTTATTATGCTTTTAATTGAAAGAAAATAAAATAGAGAGTAACCAACAGTAAAAAGAACGTAAGAGATTAAGCCCTATCCATACTCCCAACAGGGATGCCTACACGTTCCATCTCGGAGAGAGGTCCATCTCGTGCGCAATATAATTGCGGCCAAAATATTGGATGGAATTGGGCAGAGCATTTTTTCTCCGAGAAATAATCTCCGATAGAGCCTCTCAGGCCAACGAGTAGAGTAAAAAAAGGAGAGAAAGGCCCGATGGTTTGGTTAGGCAGAAGAAACTCATAAATTTTAAAGCACCCCCCTTCCAATCCCACCAAATGCCATTACATTCTTAGGAATCAGGCTTTTCGAGTTGAGGTTGGATCGCTGTGTTTTCTACAGATTTTTCCTCTCTGAGCATCGTTGTAAAGAATCCACTTTTCATCCCCAGGTATCAGTCTTTTTAAAAAATATGTCCACATCGCGTTACAGGATCAACTGACACACTGGATGTATAGATTTTTGCGTACATAAATCAATGAAAAATAAAAAATTAATCAAGATTATGATAATAATAACATTTTGGCCCACCAATACTCCAGAAGCCGTGTCTCATACACCCAACATCGTGGACAGACAGAACAAATTGATCGGAATCGATAAAATAATTATATACTAAAAACAGGGATGGGACCAAATAGAAAATAAAACTCAGTTTTATCCTCGTAGTTTCGACTGATATTTCTTCATCAACACAATGAAACTTTAATTACTAGATAACAACATTGAACACATCATGGCAATCTTGAATACTATGGCATTTTAAATTAAATAAAATCAAAAATTTTGATCACATAGAACACAATTTGACGAGTAGTTCGTATCATAACAAAAATAATATTTCATAATGCATATTGGCTAACCTTTTAAAAAAAAAAGGAAGTATTCTTCATATGCACGACGAAGGAACTGAGTGTTTTTCCTTCAAATTGGCATCATGCCTGATTGTTTTTTAAATTAATATTTATCATTGTATTGTCGAAGGTCGATCAATTTTTTATAGGGTCTTCAATGAAAAATCACTGCTTGAACAGTTTAATTGGATCTTTTTCCTTGGAGATAGGTATTTTGCCCAAATGGCCAATTTTCGCAATTAAAATATTGAAATTTTCTTAATATCAACATTTCTGTATTAAATTGTGAAGATTTTGAGTTTATTTTTCAATTAAATTAATTAACTTTTCTTAACAACCGAGCAAATAAGTTGCACAAAACATAAAACAGCATATAAAAGGACGTGTCTATTTTTCTTCAACTGAGTATTATTTTTTTTTATTTACTCTTTATTCTCAAAATCGGATTCTAGGCAACTGGGTTTGAAATTAGTCCAAAGTCTAATTTCTTTTTAAATTTTAAATTGCAATTCAAAATAACACTGAACGTTATGTAATAAATTTTTCGGATTTTTATTTATACCATGAAATGGCAACACTTACCTATAACTTTCGTAATGAAGCATAAAGTGTCAAAAAAAAATTGAACCCTTTTCAACACGAAAATTCAAGCAACAAATTTGTCAAACATCAATAATTTATGTTTATGTATATCAATATGTCTGTTATATATTTTCGAATTTGAGAAAAAGAAATTTCAATGCACAAATTGTATTGAAAGCCCTTGTCAATCTTTGCGACAAACATTTAAAACAAAAATAAATCTGGTGTCTCAAATACTTGAATTAACTCGCAATTTGGTCGTGAATTGTGATAGACCAAACAAGCGAGGATAGGCGGACCAAGACGATCTGTACTGTCTAAATAAGGTCCATCTGGCCGCAGGTTACGTGGAAAAGTCTCACAGTGAATTAATTGTTTATTCTATTTTGCCCAAAAAAAACCGACAATTAAAAGACCCAACGTAACGCCTGTTATGTTTTATCAGTATCTGAAACAATAAAAACAGGATGTTGTGACAAAACAATTAGTAAGAATAATCCAATTACATCCCATCTTCTGACTAAACTTCATTGCTCAATGCCATCGTTTGACCACAGTTGATATTACAACACAGAAAGACATATGAATAAACAAGAGAAAATGTCACAGTTCCGGTTTGTACTATCAACTAAAGTCGGAGAAAAAGGATCACAAGGTACACCTTTCTCCAAATAAAGCCGAAAGTTTAAATAATAGAAAAATACTCTGAATAACTGGATTCAAATTTCTCCAAAGAGAAGATTGAAGTAATTTTTTTAATGAAAAATTTGATTCATATTGTCTCTTTTTGTACTTCCTACCGTATTACTTCACCTTATAAAGGGAAGTCGGACGTGGGACCTATAAAACGTTTTTTAGTGATACTAAGTCGAAAAATAGTAGATATTAAAGGTGTTTTTCTGCCGTTATTATGTGTGTACGTCAAGATTATTCTATATCAGTCAATTTATTTTTATAACTAGAATAAAAAATTAATATGCAAGACAGTATTAAATTAGATTATGTATATTCTTCGTGAAGTCATTATAGCTTAAGTGGTTAGAGCAGCGGCGAATTGAGCTGAAGGCTGAGGGTTCGAATCCCGCTCGAGAGACTAACTTTTTCATCTCAATCGAGACTTCAGATAAAAAGAATAATTAATTAAAATAATTAATTTCAGTCAATTATGACCACTAAACGTATATGGATTAATATTTCAATAGCTACAAAAACCAAAAACAGTCTCTAGTAAAACGGTCAAAAAACATTTTTGTTGTAAAATCAAAATCAAAACAAACCGGATTCGTCCTTTTTATACGTTTAAAACCAGATTGTGTGAGTTGCCTAGTTTGATTTTCCTCAATGACATTATTTTTGCCTGTTTTTGAAATTCGTTCTTGTGAATCCCATGTATTTGTTGTAAATCTTCCGAATTAGTTAAGTCCTCTCAAGTTGATGCTTAATATTCTTCTAATCCTACTACTTCTTATAATACTTATGTAAAATAGGCCTATTGATTCATATCCATCCTTTATCAAACAATCTCCTTTTTTACATAATATTTTTTTTAAATTTGGGTCGAGAGCAAAACCCTCTAATTTATTTGGCCGAAGTTTAGGTAAATTTATTCCCATTTTTTAGTTTTCTTATTAATTATTTAAAGTACCTGAACGTGCTTACAAGGGGAGAGGGTAAGTTCGAGAGATCACAGATTTTACCGAAATTTTTTTGGTGATACTAGGCCCAAAAATATTACACACTTGTCCGAGCGTTCTAGCAATTTGACCTAGGAACCGAAAAATGTTTATATAATTTGTTTTAATACCTTTTCTGCTTTTAGTATGGAAACTGTATTAATTATTATTTTTTATTTATTAGTTTTATTAGTTTTGTTGTACTTAGAAAAATAAAATAATATGCAGGATCTTGTTAAAATGAGATATGATATATAAAAAGTTACAAAAATAAAAAAAGTAAGCCAAAAACCAACTCTTGTTGAAAAACAACCCAGCTTCATTTTAAGCACCCTTAAACTCGAATTTTCATAGTAATAAAAATATATACATTTTGGGGATGGATTCGCCTGGGGCATTTTTTTTGTTTGGTTTTTGCTTGAGTCTAGTGTCCAATTTAAAATTTCACGTCTTCTAGATTTGAATTTATCCAAGTTTAACGTTTTTACAATCGTTTTAATGCGGAATTTCTCTTCTTTTATGATATGCCAACGGGATTTTGATTTTGAGTGAATAAAAGTGAAGGACCATCACTGTAAGGTAAAGGTCCCGGGTTCGAATCCAGCGGCCCTGCATTGAAGGAAATAAGAATGAAATTAACAATACCTTCTCAAACTTTTATAACTCTTTACTTTTGTTACCTTTTTACTCTTTAGTTCTAATTTATTTGCGTAAGCCAAATCTATGGCATTCGAGCAATTTATAAGGTTCTAAATTTGTGTGAAATAGCCGGTGGATTGGTAGAGTCGTTTCAAAATTATAATTTTTGTGATTTTTGACAAAACAATAGCATTTGTCAAAAATTATGAAGGAAAAAATACTTCTTTGGTTTTCCTTAAAATTTGTATTTAGGGGTGCAGAAAACGAATATCAACTTTGTTTCTCGGAAAATATTGGAAACTACTTTACTATGTTGCTTGGTCATTAATTATGTATTTGATTATCTACCCATGCCCTAGCCTTGTTGCTCGGTTTGTTTTGACATTGTCGGTCCGTTGTGTTCCCCCTCGTCCAATTTTTGTTTTCTTCTTCGTTTAATTTCCATTAAATGTCACTACTTTAAAATAAGAAATGTACATCCTACAAAACGTACCAAGCTAAAATTTTGGACAAACCGCTAAAAAGCTGATTTCCTTAGTCAATCGACCCACTGGAAACATACCCTTGGACCATATCTCCGTCTTGGTAAACCCCACATTTAAATACATCATCCTTGTATTTCGGCCGGATCGGATGCCATAATGCAACATCTATTCCAAGAAAGCCGGGTCCGGGAGGTGTAGGCACGATGAACTCGAAGTCGGTTGCATGTCCTTGGATGATCCCCTCTCGGATGGACCCGCTATATAATACGACTTATCTTCAGCACATAACAGTGCGGTTGTGTACGGCGAAAACCAGGATTGGAATTGCAGGTGAGACCGTGATCGGCAATCAGACGATCGAACTAGCATTTTGACCAAAGACTTTCCGATAACTATGCGCCCAAACGTTAGATGCAGTCTACTTTTTTCACGGCTGGATTAACTTACTGGATAATTGAAACATAAATAAATAACTAAATTTAATTATAAACTTAATATTAATTATTTTTAATAGCAAAGTGCCTAATTTCAAGGATCACTATTGGTCAAGTACATGTTTTATGTTTTTAAAAAATATCCTTCCTCAATTTTTATCTTCTTATACAATTTTACAGTTATAAAACCAATAAAAATATTTAAAAAACTACTAAATTAAATTTTAAAGTAAAAGGAAAAATTGAACATTTTCATTCTAGGATTCCCACGTTTAAATTTTGTAAAATTATTAATCAAATTACAAAAAACAATGTTATTATCATTCTAGGACTCCCACGTTTAAATTTTGTAAAATTATTAATCAAATTTCAAAAAACAATGTTATTAAAATTTCGATTTGTTTTTATCTTCTAAACAAAATAAAAAATTTACGTCTAATTGCTTATTATAATATACGCTTTGTTAGTTTTAAAAGTTCACTTTTTTAATTTAGTAATTTCTTCATTGCACGTACTTATTCTTACATATTACAAACGTTTTGGATTTGTTATGTTAACCAGGATCACTTCTTTAAAAAAATCATTATTATAAGAAATTTATAAATTTAAATAAGTCCTAATCCAAAGCAACATACAATGTACAAGAACAACGAGCTTGTCAAAGACGTGCCAAAATGGAGGACAGGACAGAATGAGGAAAACTGTACACTTACATGTGTACTTTGAAAAAGCAGCCTTGTCCTCCAAGACAAGCAGCTACCAACTTCCACTCAAGTCAGATACCTAGACAGTGCTGGCCATAGTGTTAGTTTGTGTATTGACACTAAAAAAGATTTATGTCCGGATTCTCAATGAAATTCGGTCTTGTTATGTTTAAACATTTTACGTATTGTTTCGTAAGTTAATATTTTTTGTTTAATTTCAGATGAAAACGATAATTTTATTAGGCTTGGTGTTTGGGGCGGCGGTGGGACAGTACGGTCCTCCGAAGCAGACCGGACCGAAAAAGCACCGAACGACAACGACGGAACCACCGAACGAAGCGAATGAAATCCAACCGACTGTGTACGAAGAAAGTGGGGTTTTACCAGACGGTGGTAATTACCACGCTAAGGTCACCAGCCACAATCAGCCCGGGTTGTCTGTTTCGTCTCACAGTTATACCCTTTCTGGTCCGAACCCAAATCAATTTTTAAATCAATCCGTTTCTTCGAATCAGCCCGGAGGATGTGGTGTCACGTGCAACGGACAAAATCAAAGGCCTATCGACATTTCAAAAAATCCATTTCTTAGTGCGGGACTGTCGGGTGTCCCGGTGACGAGCAGACCTTTCTCTCCGCCCTTATCCCAACACCCAAATCAGCCGCAAAACAAACCGAGTGGAAATCCATTTTTGCCTCCCAATTTTAACCAGCAGTTCTCATCAAGTCAACCTCAACCAAATTTCCCACAATCACAAAATCCACATACTGGGCATCCTAACGTACAACCATCTCGACCAGGTTATCCGAACCAACCGTTACCAGGACAATCACAAAATCAACATCCTGGACACCCTAATGGGCAACCATCTCAACCTGGTTTTCCAAATCAACCATTGCCAGGTCAGGGTCAACCACAAAATCCACATGCTGGACACCCTAGTGGGCAACCATCACAACCTGGTTTTCCAAATCAACCATTTCCAGGACAGGGTCAACCACAACATCCACAAGCTGGGCACCCTAATGCGCAACCAAGTCAACCTGGTTATCCTAACCAACCATTACCAGGACAAGGTCAACCACAAACTCAACATGCTGGGCATCCAAACGTGCAACCATCTCGACCAGGTTATCCAAATCAACTATTAGGACAAGGTCAACCACAACCTCCACATGCTGGGCATCCAAACGTGCAACCATCTCAACCTGGTTTTCCAAATCAACCATTTCCAGGACAGGGTCAACCACAGAATCCACAAGCTGGGCATCCTAATGCGCAACCATCTCAACCTGGTTTTCCAAATCAACCATTTCCGGGACAGGGTCAACCACAAAATCCACAAGCTGGGCACCCTAATGCTCAACCATCTCGACCAGGTTATCCAAATCAACCATTGCCAGGACAAGGTCAACCACAACCTCCACATGCTGGGCATCCAAACGTGCAACCATCTCAATCTGGTTTTCCAAACCAACCATTTCCAGGACAAGGTCAACCACAAACTCCACATGCTGGGCTTCCTAATGTTCAACCAAGTAACCAAAATCAACAACCATTCCATCATGGTCAGAAGCCCCATCCAGGATTCCCGAACCAACTGGGGCAAACCGAACAACCTGGACAGCAACCAGGTCATCCAGGACAAACTCAATATGGCAACCCTCTACAACAACCAAATCAACCGGGGCAATTTCAACCTCAGCAACAACCAAAACAACCGGTACCATTTAACCAGCAGCCTGCACCAGGGTTTACCCCTCAACAACCGTCTGGCCAACCTCAAAATCCTCAAACGTCTGGCCAGCAACCACAGCCTGGCTTTCCCAGACAACCATATCAAGCTCAACCTCAACAGTATCCAAGCCAATCTTTCAACTCAGCGCAACCGTCCCAACCGGGTGGAACGTATAATTGCAATGGGCAACATCAGTTTTGTGTCCCACAATTCGTCTGCTCTAATGGATACATTGGGGACAAGTCACCTAATGCTGCGTCGACATATAGAGTAAGTTTACACATAAGTTGTATCTAGTACATTAAGTGTATGCTAATCCCCTCTTCCTTAAGCAATGTTTAACAATATTTGTATAATTCAAATCTTAGTTGTTTACCATAAATTCAATTAATTTCGGATATGACGGATACAAAAAAAGATCTCAAGGTCCAATAACTCATTACTAAGTTAAAAGGATGTGTGTGGGGTGCGTTAGGCTCTAGTGCTTTCTAATTAGTAATTATATTCAAATCATGATGCGAGGACATCTTAACACGTTTTGTTATCTTCGTTTTCTTTATATTTTTCCTTATGAGTATAATTCTAAGTTTAACGACTTATTTTGTTTTGTAGAAAGGTCAATGTAATGCCGGTGAAGTCTGCTGCAAATTACCAACTAGTAGCCAACCAAATCATAACTATGGTAAGTACAAAAAAACGCGACTTAATAAAAACACGCCTTCATGAGTATGTTTATATGTTTTATTAAAATGTGTTCTAGTGACTGAAGCTCCTCAACAAAAATATACAGGCCCGCTAAACACTACCCCTCCACCAGGGTGTGCAGCTGCTTTGAAATGTGTCCAGGAAATTTATTGTACAGTAGAAGGAGTAATGTCCGACGTGCCAGTAGCACTATCAAGAGAACAGACAGAAAATAAAGTCCCCCTAACGGTAAAATTAAGCATAATTAAATAATAGCTATGAACGCAGTTCTTATTATTACTATATATTTCAGGATTGTCAAAATCCAGATACTGGAGTACTAGGTAAATGCTGTAGAGATCCAAATTACAAGGACCCTTGGCCAGCAGGTATGATGATGCCACAGAGGAATTCAGGGTTCGACGACGGCCAATATCACCCAAATAAATATCCAGGAGAAAAGCCTGCTAACGTGCCGAAAGTAATTCCCAATTTTAATCCCCAAAGACCGAATCAACCGCAAGGCCAAGGGAACCAATTTTTTCCTCAGCAAGTCACAATTTCCCCGCCTAACCCTCATACCATCAAAAAGCCATTGGGCGCATTCAACACAGTAGTAACCCCATTCCCAGTGTCTCAGCCGGTACATCCCGATCCTCACGGTTTCGGTCCGAACGGGAACACATTTGTGCCAAGTGGACCAACTGTACCGCAGGTCCCTGGAGGAAACTCCTACGATCAAAACAAACCTCAGCCTAGTCAAAATAACAATCTTGTTGGTTCTCCCGGCAACTTGAATCCGAACGGACCTTCCTCACCTTCTGGCCAGACTCCTTTCAGACCTCAGGGCAACGCACCACCAGCAAATCAACCTTTTGATCATAATCGGTATTCTCAACTACAACCTTCCTCATCACCTCAATATAATTCGCCTTCATCAGGAAGCCTCGTAAGTCCAGGAGAAAAATGTGGCGTTCGAAGACCAGTAAGTAGAAGTTTTATTATTGGTATATTTCTAAAAAGGAATATTACATTGTGAACCGTGTTAATCAGTTATTTTTTCAAACAGCCTTATTCGGCTCTAACGTACACAACCGGTTTTGGAGAATTTCCATGGCACGTAGTCATTCTATCATCTGGCAACCGAAGTGCTTTATGCAGCGGTGCAATTATTGCACCCAACGCCGTGCTGACGGCTGCTCATTGTATCGATGGGTAAAATAAATATTTGAGTTTATTAAAGATTTAAAAAAATCTTATTGAAAATTTTTCGATTGTCAGGATAAGCCCGGAAGACATGGTCGTGAAGGCAGGTGAATGGACACTGGACCATCCAGGTGATAGACCGACGCAGATGAGGGTCGTCGCAGCAAGTGCTATCCACCCGGTATACAGTGCAGGTTCTTTGGTGAAAGACCAAGCAGTCCTCGTTACAGAAAAGCCGTTCAGTTTTGATGTCCACGTCGACAAAGTATGTTTACCCGCTCCTGGTGGAACTTACACTCCAAGTACTACCACTTGCTTTCTAACCGGATGGGGCCGCCCTGCTCTGCAAAGTATGCCTCGCTTGAAATTTACATTAAACAGAACTCGCTAATTTTATATTTTTTCTTAGATAACCAACCTGGAAGTTCCTTAAACAAGGTACCGATAAATATAACCCCCAAAGACGAATGCGAACAATCACTGAAGAAGACGCATCTTGGGAAATACTTCATCTTGAACGAAGGCTTCACCTGCGCCGCTCCTTTTAACGAGAACGATCTGTGCAAAGTTGACATCGGAAGCCCCCTTGTCTGCGAACGACCAGATGGCCAATACGAACTCGCAGGCGTTTACAGCTGGGATACAAAATGCTCATCGAATCTGCCCGGTGTGATGGCCACATGCGATCCTGACTGGATCAAACAGGTATTTCTTCTTAATTATAACAAAAAATACGAGTTTATGTACATAAATATTTTTTTAGGTATTGGCTACTCCTATCGAAACTTTGAAACAACAGGCAAGGCCAAAATTCAAAGACGCCCAGCTGCCCGAAGACATCGACAGCAAACCGGGTTTCGCTCTTGGATACGGAAAATAGACTGTTTTTTAATTACTTTAAATATTAAACGTGTGAAAAAGGTATGAATGTTTATCAAATGCGAATGCATAATGTATCAGTGTTCTTATAAATGGTGTGAAAAAGTTTTTTGTAGTTAGTTCAGTACTTAATTTGTACAAAAGAAACATTAAAACCAAAGTGCAATAACTTGGTTCAACTAAACAATCAAAATACATATAAATATGTGATTCAATTTTCTGACTCTTTTATACATAATTTTTAAAGAAGTCAGTGATACATAAAGAATAATGTTTCTTAAATGTCAAGAGTATATTTTGTACTTTATTAAATGTTAAGAAAGTGCGGCTACAATGATCATTTTGAAAGCTGTTAACAAAGTTAAACTAAATAAAAATATATTTTTTGAAAGCCTTAGTCATTAAATTATTGTAAAATTCCAAATCGAAGCATGCTTTCTTCGCTGGAATAACAGGAAAACAAATAATTACACATGTATATGGAAATGCTGATAAATACACTCCCCAAAGTAGACACCAACAACATAGTATGATCACAGAACAATAGTATAATGTCTTTGGCAAACAAAAAAAAAGCTTTAGGTCGAAGTACACAAAAAAGAAATCGGCAACAACATGCGAAAAGACCCAAACCGTACACAGACATAAAATAATACTCATATAAAGGACGATCGGACTAAAAATAATCACTAAAAATCACTAGTCAGTTTTGGGGATACTAGTTCTTGCCAATATGTCGAGAAAAAAAAAGAAGTCATTTTTTGGAGATAGGTTTTCTACCTTTATTGTACTAGTACAAGTAACAAAAACTAGAAGACGATTCCATTAAAAACCAAAAAACATTTTTGAAAATACAATCCTAATTCGTTTTAAACACCCTTTAAAGTCCTTAAATACGAATATTTACTGCAAACAAAATATAAATATTGCTGGGCTTTCCTTACAAATTCATAAGCCCTCCGGATTTTATCAAAATTCTAGATTATCTAATTCGTAAGAAAGCAGAAATGGGTTATTAATTCAGAAATTGATTAAAATTGATTACATTTGAGCCTTTGGGTTTTATGTTATTATGAGTAAGAAAAATAAGTTTGAAATCAAGGAAAACTCCGCAAACGTTTTATTTTATAAATCCGGTTCTGATTATTTACGGAGGCCAGGTTTGTGCATTGATGTGTATTGTTTAGGATTATAAAAATATTTTCTTGCTCAAAACTTATATTAAAGCAGGTTAAAATACTTTTTACCAAGAAACTGCACTAATGTCAACCAACACAATTGTAAAACTATAGAAAAGGGGGTTTTGGTGATAGTAATGTTTGTGCCAATGTGTCCTACGAGTGGTGAAAAAAATTAACTAATTTTTTGGAAATATGGTTTTCTGCTTTTATTTTACATGTTTTTAAGGTTATTCTGTAACAATCAATTTGTTATTTTGCCTAGTATAAGAAAATGCACATTCGTATTAAATGAGATCATACGTGTATAGAAAGTAACGAAAACTAGAAGACGATTCCATTAAAATCCAAAAAAATGTTTTTGAAAATACTGTTACTGGAAAATCTAATTCGTTTTAAAGTCCTTAAATACGAATATTTATAGAAAACAAAATATAGACATTTCTGGGCTGGATGAGCCAAGGGCTTTTGTCCCTTAAAAATTCGTAACTCCAATGGATTTTCCAAAATCTAGATTATTTAACTCGTTAGAAAGTAGAAATTGTCTTCTCTGAGCCTATATTTACAACCCTTGGTGGTTATATATATTATGTACTCAAAATAAGAATGAAATTAACAAAACCTCTCCAAACGTTTTATTTTATATCTCCGATTCTGATTTATTTAATTAAATCTACACCGTTCTAGTCCATCTTCTGGCTAAACGTCGTTGCTTAATGACGTTCAACTTGATCACAGTTGATATTATAACAAAGAAATGTGAGTAAACAATAGAAAATGTCAAAATGCCACAAGCCCGGTTATGGCGATTTTTGCTTTTCCCTAGGATAAGAAAATGAGATCAGACATACAGAAAGTTACAAAACCAAGACGCTTTTAGTAAAGTAGGCAAAAAAGTGTTTTTGAAAAATTTCGATGCGTTTTTAATCACATTTTAAAGCCCATAAATACTAATATTTATAATAAACAAAAACATAGACTTTTTAAAAAATTGCCCCTGGCTAATCCAGTAAAATTATCTATTTTTCCATTAGTATGAAAATTTGGATTTAAGGGTGTTAAAGGGTGCTTAAAACGAATCCAAATTAATTTTTTCGACAAAAAATGGTCTTAGGCCTACTTCAATGGAAACGTAATTTCGTTTTTGTAACCTTTAGTATATGTATGTAGTATGCTCCTACATATTATTTTATTTTCTACGTAAAAATTACTGATATGTAATAAAATAATAACTAATGACAAATACATACAATAACAGCAAAAAAAATTTAAAAAACTTATTTATCAAGGGTTCGTCCACTCGCAAACCAAAACCCATCATCAACTGTAAAAAAATTGTATAAATAAAATTAGGCAAACTTAGCAGATGGCAGGTGGAGACGACATTCTCTAAGCAGTATTTTGTACTTCTGAAAATTAACAATCATATAAACATATTTTTCGGTTCCTAGGGCCGATTAGCTAGAAGGCTCGGACCGCTGTAATATTTTTGAACCTAGTATGACCAAAAAAGTTTTATTAAAATCGGTGATCTCACGAACTTATTTTCTCGTTTTAAGGTACTCACTCCTCAATGGTCTGTATGTTTAAAGAATTTTAAAAAAACTTCAATAGTCACTGACTGCATTTTCTTTGATATAGGGAATAAATTTACATAAACATCGGCCAAATTAATTAGACGTTTTGCTCCCAAGACCCAAATAAAAAAAAAACAATTATAATGAAAAAGTAGAATGTTTGATGTTTTGATATGAACCAATAGGCTTTTTTGCATGTTCCACTTGCTGTCTATGTTTTATGAAAATTAATAACTATGTTTATATGGTAACACCAGTATTTGAATATTAAGCCTCTCCTTTTGATACAAACATCCACGAAAAAAAAGACGAATTCGGTTTGTTTTTAGTTTGATTTTCCAACAAAAATGCTTTTGGCCTCCTCAATTGTCCGTATCCTCCCTTTGTTAGGTGAAGAAATATAGTGGGAAAGTACAAAAAGAAAAAAACATATGAAACAAATTTTTCCAAAAAAGTCACAAGCTCATAAAATATTTCTTCTCCTTGGACAAAATTTCGGCCAGTTATTCACAATATTGACGATAAAATTACTCTTGAAACATAAAATATAAATGTACAAATCAAGATGGAAAAGGGTCAGCGATAACACTGGAAAGACAACAAAAACACATAATTTTCACGTTTCAAGACGAACAAATAAAACAGACCCATAAACAAAAAATCACACAATACCATAAGTCGTACGAAAACGCTTCTGACCGATCAAAACAGCGAGGAGACAGGTTCAGCAGTCCTCACAATCTCACACTATTAAATATTTATTGTTTATTACATTACAAATCATCCCTTGATTAATAATACAGGGAAGTCCTATGAAAGAAAGAAAAATACTAAATATGATTATAGTGTCAAAATTAGATAAGGTATTTGAAAGGCGATATAATTTGTGTACTTTTCAACCTATTCAATGCCAAAGTTGTTGGGCTATCTGGGATTGATTTATACTAAAAAGCTCTATTGTTCGGTTTAATTTGTTAAAAGCAAATCAGAATAAATATGGAAATCGATATAGAAAGTGCCAATCCTTTTCCCCCCATTTGTTACAAAGCTGGTAGGATGGCCACTATTGTCCTATGCACTACAATATTGTTTTTTGGTTTAGGCTTTTCTTTTAATTTTAAACTGCCAGTTTTCAATAACGTATCTACCGGCAATTCATCCCTTTTTCAATGTCTAAATGAAATTATAGAACAACACGTTTTCTACAAGCAGATTGTTATGTTTGGAGATGAAGTGAAAAATTCGGATTACGCCGATACGATATTGCAACTTGACTGGCCGAAGATGCTCATAAACTCCGCCGTCGAAAGCCGTGAAAGTTTAAAAGGGCTTTTTATACTGATTCCAAACTCGGATCTTAATGTCTATTCGAGATTCTTTAAAACAGCTCAGTACAATTCTTTGCAATATTTAATAATCACGAAAAAATTTCACGATGTTGTCAATAACTTCGAGCTGATGTGGAGTTTTAGATTACTCGACGTGGCTGCTCTTTACGTGTCTGAAACAGGACTGTACGTACTGACATTTTTCCCATTTAATTCAAACGGGTGTTCTGACACTTTTCCGATAAGAATCAATACTTGGAATAAATGGATAAAAGGATTTGCAATAGAGAAAAACATATTTTCAAGAAAGCGAAAACTGTACAATTTGCATGGGTGTTCTATAAAGGTGTCTCTTCAAGATAGGTCGCTCAGCGAATTGTACCAGCAGTCGATTAACGGAGTTTCCATTAAGCTCTTTCAGACGATAAAGAAATTTATGAATTTTTCAACTCTTATTGTGGAAATGGACAGGGAAGCGAATGCATATGCAGCCGCTTACTTTAACTTTTCGACAGCGGTCATACAGAGCGTTTTAAAAGGCCAGTCGGACATAGGAGTCGGGATATTTTCTCAGCTTTTGGACTACGATCCAAACATTTTGTCTCCAGTGCAGCTAAACGTCGACTGTTTTACGTGGGCCGTGCCGGTCAAAGCAGGTGCCATGCCGAGCATATGGACGATGTACGCTTTCGAATTCGACTACTATACGTGGTGTGCACTGATCGTTAACCATGTCATCGTATGGGCGTTTTTTCATGTCGTGTTTTATCTTTACAAATCGCAAGAGGATCGTTTCACTTCAAAATTCAGCTCTTTGTATTTATTTGCAATTTATTTGAACGTATCGGTCGATCCAAAGCCGACGTCGAACGCGCTGAGAATGTTCTACATCAACTGGCTGTTTTTCTGTTTTGTAATGACGTCCGCGTATCAGGCGTCGATGGGCAGCTTTGTGACAGTACCTCCGGACAGTACCAACATCGGTTCGGTGGCGGAACTTTTAAAAACCAACCTCACGCTCACCGGTGACCCGAAGATGTACCATGTCTTAAGTGCTTCCAGTGAGACGAGCGATGCCATCAAGGAAGTGTTGAAACGTTTTGAAATGCTACTTCCAGGTGATTTCAACGACGTTGTGTACAGATTGATCAAGGAAAGGAATTTCGCCGTCTTCTACACCAAGGAAAAATTGGAACTGGCCGAAGAACACGTCATGTTGCACAAGAATGTCTCCAAGGGTCTACACATAATCCCAGGTTGCACGATAACTTCCCACAATTCAGCGATAATAATGAAAAAAGATTCACTTTACAACGAACCTTTTAGGTATGTAATGACCTCTCTTTTAGAAAGTGGAATTGTTAACCATTGGGAAAAATCAAGCATGATGAGGGAGTATGAACTGTCAAAAGGGAAAGAAATGGTATCCCGAAAATTTTCTTTACTTCACGCTAAATGTGCTTTTATTATTTTTGCCACAGGCATTCTCTTTGCCACAACCACCTTCATAGCTGAATTTCTTACTAAAGGAATCAAACACCAGTCAAAATTGAAACATAAAAATCAAAATTAGCTTGTTTAGTCTAATACAATAAAGTTAAAATAGGCATTTGATTTAAAACTAAAATTAGAATAAAAGCAAATTTTTGACAAAAGCAATTCATAAGTAAATTAAAATTTTCTGTGCTCTTTCATGATTACAACTAAAAGTCGCTGCACACTGATATATCGATAGCTACACTGGGTTGAATTCTGCCATTTGAAAAGTCTGTAAGTTGGTCGATTCCGATCGTTTTGGCCTACCTGTCAGGGATATAAGCATGGAAGGGCAAGAGAATCGCATAATCGTTTATAGGATATACTAGAAAGAATATATAGAAGAAAAAGAATATACACTAGAAGAACAGAATATGTAGTATAATAGTAGAAAAAATACAGGATATAGTAGAGGCTTCCATCCCAGTAATGGTAAAATGTCTAAACGAACCTGACATACCAAAACAGCAAGGATGCAGACCAAAATGATCGTTATAGGGCAAAATATTTTCCGTCAAACAATGTATATCAAACTATAAACTAATAATGATGAAAATCATCAAGTTATTAAAATAAATGAAGACACCTAGAACTGCAGTTTTTTTTCATATTTCCAACTATTTTCGTTACTTCTCGCTAAAGGTGCTGTAGTATACATTTCAATTCATATTTTCTCTTTTTGGATTATTTAATTTATAGTAAAATTCTTTTAAATGTAGATAAATGCCAGCCGACTGAAGATATAATATATATAATCTGGTAAAAATGGCGTATCAGAGTCGTTTTAACAAGTCTGACGTTTTGTATTTTTTGTTTTTATTTATTTGTTGTGTGTGTGTTTAAAAAAATACCGAAAGCATTCGTAAACAGAAAAATTATTTTTAATTCTATGTTATTAAAAAAATTGTTGGGAAATTGATCACGATTTCTTCTTTTTTTGGTAGTTTTTAATTTGATATTAATTTATGACTAATTGGATTAATTCAATATCAATCCTGACACATAAGGCAATCAATAATGAACGAACTTTATGTACACTTAATAATATCGCATGTTTAAAGGAAACAAGTGTTTATCTATATTGTCCATCAAAAAGGAAACTACACCCTGGGAACAGGCCGATAGTCTCGAAAGAGAATCGGCCGAAATGTGGATAAACTTCTTGTTGATATTTTCCCAAACTTCTGCAAACGAACTTATGTACCGTGGAGAGGTTCGCGGACGTCGAAAATGTACCCCCGAGGGTCGTCAAACTCACCATACCTTTCATCTATACCTTTCCGAAGAAAATCAAATGCATTCACGTAATTGAAAAGGAACAGCTTTTATTTACTGTTTTATTCTGCAGAGATTTTAAACTTTTAGATCGCCACTGATAAATCGACCCTGGCCGAAACGCTGCTTATTCAGATGATGAAAGCTAATGTCACCCTGTCGTTCATTCAGGGCGTCAGGAAGGAGACCTTTGATTGCAACAACTATCTGCTACTGTCCAAAAATATCTGATCGATGGCATGGATTCTACCAAAAGTCCCCAAATGGTCAAAACACAGAATCCTTTCACTCATAAATTTAGGAAGTGTCGATCAACTTGAAACCTTCGTGAAGGTAAGCACTTGACACTTAATCTAACAATAAGTTTTAATTGTTAATTATTCAGAAGTTGTGAGATGCGGTCAGGTGTGATATAGGTTTCAGAAAAACATTTTCTTTATCGAGCCAACGTTTCGATCTTTATTGAGATCATCTTCAGGGCTCAAAGTGTTTGTCTTCTGTGTAATTGTGCCATTCTTGCGTGTCGTGTTGAGAGTGCCCAGCACGACACGCAAGAATGGCACTATTACACAGAAGACAAACATTTTGAGCCCTGAAGATGATCTCAATAAAGATCGAAACGTTGGAACGATAAAGAAAATGTTTTTCTGAAACCTACATCACACCAGACCGCATCTCACGACTTCTGAATAATTAACGATTAACGGTCACTAATCACTACACATTCATTTATTAATATATAGTTTCCAACTGAATTAGTTACCTTGAAATGGGGTTAATATTTCTTAATTTTTTTATGCAATCAGGTTAGTTAAGCTTTTTCTGTTTTGATATGACAATTGTGGTGATGCTACGTGATCAATTAAAAGTGCAATTTATTTTTCCGTTCTTAATTATTGTTTACACTGGTGTCTCTTTGCATTTCTTTCCTTTTGTTAATCCTTGATGCTGAGGGCAGAGATCATTCTAATAGATAGTTGCATCGGACGAGAATAAGTGGCATGCTCTTATGTAATTTATATTCAGACAGTGTCCGTCGTTGATTACACTCAGAATACGTGAATATTCGCAGGAAAATATTTAAAGCAGACCGGTTAGAAAAGAAACGGGGAATGAAATAAAACAACCGCGGTAAAAGGGAAAAGGCAATATATAGCAGATGGCTGCTGGAGACTACAATCTCTGAGCAGTATTTGGTGCTTCTGAAAATTAACCTAACTTTAATTACCTTTTACAGAAGAAAATTCCTCTCAATGTTGCGTACCTTTGCCAGAGAATTGTTGTTAATAAAGATAATATATGGAATAGAATGTTTCGGTGAGCTTGACAATGAGCGTCGTGGAATGTCATGGCATCACTTTCTGCAATAAGCTTCACGGGGCAGTACCATAGGGAGGAAAACATTCATTTACTTCGTTAAATTTTATAATTTTGTACAAAACGAAATTAAATAATGAAACAGGAATTATATTTTCAGGCCAATGCGAGTATGTTTGGAGATGCTCCTGCGAGCCTTCTACATTGAAAAAGAGAATAAATTTTTTTTCGAGTTTTTGGTTTTTTTTTGCGTTGCTCTTGGAAAAAAAACCGTGTCCTACGAGCCTTTTACATCGAAAAAGACAAAACATTTTTCGATTTTTGGGTTTTTTACGTTTTCTTGAGAAAAAAAACCGTAAAAACACGTGTCCTAAGAGCCTTTTACATCGAAAAAGACAATTTTTTTTCGTTTTTTGGTGTTTTTCGTTTTTCTTCAAAAATACGTTAAAAAACATGCCTACGAGCCTTTTACATCGAAAAAGAGAATAACATTTTTTCGATTTTTTGCGTTTTTCATGAAAAATACGTAAAAAACGTGCCTACGAGCCTTTTTTTCACGAAAAACAAAAAACCCCAAAAAAATCTTTTCAAAAATTGTCTTTTTAGATGTGAAAGGCTCATCGGACACGTGTTTTTACGTTGTTTTTTTTTTCAAGAAAAACGAAAAAAAAATCGAAAATTTTTTTTTCGATGTAAAAGGCTCGTAGACACCTTTTTTCCCCCAAGAAAAACGCAAAAACCCCAAAAAATCGAAAAAAATTGTATTGACTTTTTCGATGTTGAAGGCTCGTAGGACACGTGTTTTTAAGTTTTTTCACGAAAAACGCAAAAAAAAAACAAAAAAAATCGAAATTTTTTTGTCTTTTTCGATGTGAAAGGCTCGTAGGACACGTTCTTTTACTTTTTTTTCCAAGAAAAACGCAAAAAATCGAAAAAAAATTATTATCTTCTTCGATGTAAAAGGCTCGTAGGACACGTGTTTTTAAGTTTTTTTCACGAAAAACGAAAAAAAAAAAAAATCGAAATTTTTTTGTCTTTTTCGATGTGAAAGGCTCGTAGGACACGTTCTTTTACTTTTTTTCCAAGATAAACGCAAAAAATCGAAAAAAAAATTATTATCTTCTTCGATGTAAAAGGCTCGTAGGACACTTTTTTTCCCCCCAAGAAAAACTCAAAAACCCCAAAAAATCGAAAAAAATTGTATTGTCTTTTTCGATGTAGAAGGCTCATAGAACGTTTTTTACCGTTTTTTTTTTTTTTTTTTCAAGGAAATCGCAAATAACTCCTCAAAAAAATGTCTTTTTCGATGTAAAAGGCTCGTAGGACACTTTTTTTCACGAAAAACAAAAAACTCAGAAAAATTTAAAAAAATTATTGTCTTTTTAGATATGAATGGCGCATAGGGCACGTGTTTTTACCTTTTTGCTTTTTTTCCCCCAAGAAAAACGCAAAAAACCCACAAAAAAATCGAAAAAAAATTTATTGTCTTCTTCGATGTAAAAGGCTCGTAGGACACGCTATTTTACGGAATAGAAATTATGAATGATGGAGTGAGTGCGGTGTTCAATCCTTTTTTAGAAATGATAGTTGCTACTCACAGTAAATTGTTTTCCAACAATCCTGATTTTGAGCCCTTAGCTCATCAGGTTGAAGGATTGGAATTTTCTATTTTTATTAACAATAATATTAATAAATGAGGCGTCGATGGCCACAATGGTTTAGGCCATGACACTGTGCTCATCACTGTAAGGTAAAAGTCCCCGGTTCAAATCTAGGGGCCCTGCATTCAAACCAAACATACTTACAAATGGGCTTTTTTTTTCACACCAGCACCACTTAGCAGGGTTGATATGACCTCTGCTGTTGTGAANAAAATAATAATAATACTAATAATATTAATGAAGAATGTTTCATAGTGAAAAGGTGGAGATACTAGTAACACAATTTAAAATCAATAAAAATATAATATATTTACACATTTATACCTAAAGACTTAAAAGTGTCAAAATTTCATTTTATCGGTTATTACAGCAAGAGATATAAGAAGTGCTTCCTCAGTTCTGATAGTTCGGGAGCCCTGGTTTGGGCACGTGTTCACATAATGGTCAAATAGAAGCTTTACATCATCCACTTCCAGACTTTTATCTTGTTCGAGCGCAAATTCAAGTCCCTTCAATCCACCAAACACAATAAGCGCACGTATTTTCTTTTTCTTCTTAAATTCGACTTCATCCAGCGGACAACCTTTATCGGAAGTGCCAATTACTAAGTTGTAGCCTTTCTTGTGCTTGCAGTCGGTGAAAACCTTACCTAGGCTTTTTGCCAGTCTCACCTTTTAAAACATAAAATCGTTAAAATTAACAATGTGATTATGTTTTAGCCCAAAATTATACAAACCTCATAACCCCAATAAAGCCCCAGGTCATCCTTCGGTTGTGTGGGTGGCACTGCAATACCAGTGCATTTACTGGTCTCTTCAGATTTTGTAGGAAGCTTCACAGTCACCCTCAAACCTGGCTGAAGAAGCCTGTCCAATTTGACTTTACTGTGTAATCCAATATTTGCATATGAATGTTTCCCACTTTTGTCCGTCTCTTGGAGAACAACACCTTCCCTTAAAAAATAGTGAGTAAATTAATAATAAATAAAGCAATAAAATAGTTTTTACTAAGTTCATATCATACTTATATTAAATATATTTTACAAACTAATTTAAACAACCGTTTGTAGTACCTATAAAAAGATTCTTGGTTGAGTCGCAGGTGGTGAGGGGCATCGAGTGGATTCAGCAATCCTGCATATCGCAGTTCTTCAGTCATCGGAAAAAAATGCTTCCTCAAATATTGTGGGCACTCAAGGTACTGGAGAATTTGAGCAAAAACTCCGCAATTATACCACGTTTGTGACGATTCGCCCTCTTCCTGCATCGTGCTTCCAGTATCATCATAAACAATGACCTAAAATAAAAGTTGATAATTTTCATAACTGATTTTAAGAGAAAAAAGTATAAAAACAAGGGTGATAAGTTAATGAATGATCCATCCCTAACCATCCCACTATCGCAGTGCAGTTTTCATATTTGAAGCTGTCAATTACAACCTTGATACAGCACAGAATTTGGCATTTATTTAGATTTTACATAAAAATAATGATACAGCTCTGTGTTGATCTTTGTCGAACACTAAATTTGCTCTTTGGTTGATTGATGTCTGGCTTAGAATTTCTGATTTTGCTAGTTATGTTGGTAGCTGACCAGTTTCATTTTGGTTTCACACGACATTGATGGAACCGATGTCATTTGGTTGTCATGTTGTCCACAAAAGAATACATTTGATTTTGAATGCTGAAATTGATCACGCAGTTGGTTTACCAAATTTTGCAAATCTAGTTTCTCACCTCATCGACTTTGAAGATAGTCGCTGCCCTGGCGATCTGCCCGACAAGGTATGTCTGCAATTCCTGTGTCTGTGCGTTGTCCAGGATGGAGCCGGCTACTGCGATGCTGAGTCGATTCTTGGTCTTCGGCCGTACTACTTCTTCATTTTCTGCTATCGCCTCGCCGTTTTCCGGTTTCCTCATCGCAAGAAGATACTTTTCGACGTCTTCGCGTTTCTTTTTCTTCTTCTGCTCCCGCAGCTTTCGCCAGTCCAAGTGAGCATTGGCGACAGGGCCCATTTTTATAACAATGGATATTATTCAAAACACTTTAAACCGCAATATAACATATACTAGTTATTTGACAAATCCAAATTCAAACACACGTGGGGAAAAACAAATATGCTGTTACATCCTGAGTCTTTAACCTTAACACTTGACTGTCCAATGTCGATACTATCGACACGGTACCAAGTTCGATCATTGCTGATCCCTGGGCAGCTGACTTCCACTGTAGCGTTTGTATACATAAAAAATAATCTACTTTTCTATTTAATATTAATTATTTCTTACAATTAATTTCGATGAAAAACATCATTTATATTTATTATGTCTTTGGACGGATTTGATTACACATTCTAGCATTAGCAACAGATAGCGGCTCCTTATGTGAAAAACTGAAACCCGAAAATTAATGATTATTTAAAGATGAGAACAAGAACAAGAATTAAAAAATTAAAAAATAACTGGTGCGTCGGCCCCGCTTGATTGGAGCCCTGGGCCAAAGTTTCGGGGCGAAAATGACCCTGGTGTCCTTTAAAAAAAGACCTGTCCCTTAAAAAAAAAATTACAATGATGTGCATAATTATTCAGATATCGTGAGATGCGGTCGGGTGCATAATGTAGAAATTTTAGGTTTAATAAAATTATTTGTACTCACTCAAAATGTGTGATTTTGTGTAGATGTGTCCGTGAGGTATTAATGTTATTATATATTACCCTGAGCCATGAATACTTTCACTACAAGAACATAAAGAAATACAAACATATCCTACTTAACAATCTCTAGACACTACCCTACACCCACAATTAGCAGAATATTCGACAACTACAACTCAACACTACTAACACCATTTCCTATCACTAATAACACTACATCAATTCTATCAAACACAGACAAACCAACGTCATACCCATCCCATTCATGGTCCATCACACAAAGTAAACATATTTCTCTCTTCTCATAACTTTAAAATAGCCTTCAAAAATTATAAACCTATTCATACCCTTTTTTCCAAAATTAAAGATTCCACACAAGTAACAAATAATTTGTTCAAAAATCAAATGTATAAACTGGCCAGCAACTTACATCGGAATTACATCCCAATATCTGGATAAGATAGTAAAGCAACAAATCTGTGATTGCGAAAAACCCAAACAAAATCCTACAGCACTGGCTACCCACCATTTTGAACACCAACACAATTTCATTTTCAACAATCTGAAAATATTAGACACAAAATAATTGTAGCTTTTTAGAAATTATTTACATCAACAGAGATAAACACAGCATCAATTACAGAGCAGACACTTGTAAACTCAGCCGCACCTATGCTAATATGATATATCAAATTCATTATTAATAACATACATATAACACACAGAACATAATACAACCCATATATGTTTAGTGGCCATAATTGATCATATTAATTATTCCAATTAATTATTGTTTCATCTTAACCAACAACCTTAAATGAAAAGAATAATTAATTGATACAAACATATAAAACAATCATTACACTCCACACATCAGACAATTCTGTATAGTCTAAATGTTCAACAAAATATCTCTCCTTTCTTTAATAATTATGTCTATAATAATTCTGAAAGGCTAACTAGGCCCGAATGACAAATCATTACCTTTTTTCCATTGTCGATCCTTTTCCCCTCAAAGAAGTTTCCTCATAGAATATAATCATCACTCTTAGTTTCAAAAATAGCAGTTTACAATGTTCTTTCAAGATCAACTGACCAAGAAAAAGCCCAACAATTTCAACACTGTTGCAGTCTAATCCATTCATTCCAAAATTATAAATCGATATAAATGATAAATGATGGAGTGAGTGTGGTGTTCAATCCTTTTTAAAAAGATAGTCCTACTCACAGTAAGTTGTTTTGCAACGATCCGGATTTCGAGCCTTTTAGCTCATCATCATGATGCTCAGCTGATGATGAGCTAAAAGGCTCGAAATCCGGTTCGGTGCAAAATCACTTACTGTGAGTAGGAACTATCTTTTTAAAAAGGACTATAAATCGATTTTTAGTCATATTTAGAACTAAACAATTTGCATTAAAATAGTCTTAAATTATATCAAATAACACTTTTAGCACTGCCGATTCACAATTGCTCATGAAGCTGGTGTCATCAGCAAGTTGAAAAGTTAAAAGGCCCTCATTTATATTATTTACAAACGTGTACAAATCATTCAAATAAATAAAAACATATGGGGCCTAAAATGGCACACCAAACATGGACTAAACAACACATTGTTTATTATCGCAATTTTGGTTCTATGTGTTAAAAAATTAACGCAAGAATTTAAAGCTATACCCTTGTATACCATGGTGGTGCAATTTTTCTAATAAAAGTTTGTGGTTGAGCTTTTTTATTTAAGCTGGATAAAACTTCACATGATGCCTTATGTAAAGAAAACCCATTTCCAGAAGTATATGTAATTAATTTTCATATTTCTTTTGTGAATCAAAGAATCATTTGCACAACAAATTCGTTATTTATTATGCCAAAATTAGCCATTCACAAAGAAGAGAGCCTGTGATTTGGTCATCACTGATTATTTTGATCTATCTATATCACTGGGTTGGTATGACAAACACATCTTCAGTGTGTCTTTTGACCCAGGGAGGATGAGCAGACCAAAGTGTATGGTAATGGTGAAATTAAGTTAATAGATTCTAAAACAAAAATCCCTTTATATATTTTGTGTCCAATAAAGAAAACAAAAGTGAGAAAAAATAAATAAATTTATCTTTTAATAAAGTTAATACAAAGTTCAAAACTAAAGAACAAACTAAAACGAAGAGGGTTAAATATCTGGAACAACAAAAGAATGCACAATTTATTGAAAGTGTAAACACAAACAGGATAACAAGATAAAAAAATAACAGAGAAAGACGATTGTTAAATTTGTTGAAGTCCCCGTGGCTAGATGTGAGGACACAAAGCCAAATAAATAAAAAATAATAAAGTGGTACAAAAAAAGGTTCTACGTTTTATTATTTCTGATCTTTGAGTGTTGTCAGATCGAACAGTGAAGAAAAAATGAAGATTTCACATGATTTCTCGTTCTCTTTCTTCTATTTTGTTTGATCAATGAGATGATGGCGGGGTCTTTGTATTATGATGGCAAGTTAATTCTATGGTTTTTACGTTCCTTATTGGGCTCGGTTCGTTTTTACAATTTGGTAGTGTGACAAGGATAAATCTGAATCTTTTTCGAGTTAGGAGATCTTGAGCGTCCAATTCTCACTGTTTTCGTTTATAAGTGTTTTCACCTTTTCGCCATCTTCAGTGGTTGGCCTGTGTTTTATTTTCACAGTAAAGTCCCTTTTTATACATTTGTGAAATGGAAATGGAAGGGGCGAGTCGGTATTACCTTTGTTCTGTCGGCATCTTTCATGGATTATTTGACTTTTCCCCCTTTGTTTCTGTTCTTCAGTTTTTTCTTTTTTCAATTGTATAAATGATTTGTGTAAAATGTTAGGTATTAATTTGCCCTTCTAGCTCTTCGGCAATTCCGTGATCTACAACAGTACGTTATGCAATAGAAATCATAACGTAAAAACAAACAGCGAAACTGGGCGGATCAAGTCTATCATGACAGATCAAAACGCGAACACCTTCTACCAACCCCCAAGAGTAACGGACAAAACTAAAACAGTCAAATTATAAGATATTGAAAAAAAGAGAAAAGTTTGTTCACTCTTATTCTAATAAAAAACCAATTGGTCAAGTAATAACATAAATTGGGACTTTGAGCCCTGAAGATGATCTCAATAAAAGATCGAAACGTTGGCACGATAAAGAAAATGTTTTTCTGAAACCTACATCACACCCGACCGCATCTCACGATATCTGAATTACTATAAATTGGGAATAAATTGCTTAAATAGATTTTTTTACTAAGCTAAGGGTTATTCCTGTTTCAATTTTGAAGTTTTATCTTCTGCCTAAATTTGACAAATTTGTAAAATGATGTTCCATTTAAGATTTAATTGTCGTAAAAATTGCATCACCCTTTACATTTTCCCATTAAAAAAATAAGGTTTAGTGTTTTTCTATTTATTAAAATAATGATAATGAATAAATATTGCACAAAATTGTAAATGTACAATTGCACTTTTTGTTTTTTACATTATTTTGATTTTAATAATTTTTATAGATGTGTTTGTAAGTGCATCTTTTAGATATAATTAAGCCAAATTTACGTTTTTCCTACTACATATACAATACAATAGGATATGTTTAAATTCAAGAACATCCACTGTATAGGGCTCACCTGCCATAATTGCAAGCAATTGACCATTAAGTACCGGCTTCAATTAAAATATCCTCGGGTTTTAATATTAAATGACTGGGGTTCGTTTTCAACAAAACAGAAATGAACCTTCTGCACTACGAGTTAAATGTCAAATCTAGACCAAGGATGGTTCAATCTACATCTTATTTCGTCCGCCACGATCATCACAATAGGAATGTGGATTAACAGGCGCCGTTCTTCTTCAGGTGGGTTGGATTAGATTCAATAACTTTTTCATTTTATTAATTAACAAGCGGTTTCTCTTGTTTATATAACAACGGTTGGAAACAAAATGTCAATTTTTAAAAATTTTTATTTCGCGTTAAAAAATTTTTTTATTGTAATGTTACTTTAGAAAAACTTGCGATAATCTATGTGGTATGGTTTTTCAGCATTATTATTATGCATTCACAGGCATTAAATCCTTATATTTGCGTCTGAGAATAAACAAATATTGTCTGTGTTCAATCTATGAAAAAAAAATTATTACCTTGTCGAACATTTCAGAAGAGATGCGTCGAGTACACCCTTAAAACACATTATTTCCATTTTATTTTTGTTCCACTCATTCCCTGATGAAAATATCTTGTCAATGAAGGAACACGACATGGTCGAGTCTAACAGCCGAGGAAGAAAACTATTATGACAAATTGAGTTGTTAGATTGCAAGCAGAAATGGATGGCCGGGGGGCGTAACGTAGATATTCGACGACGAGTAACACAAGGAACACAGGGACATTGGAACACCTGTCATGAATTATTAATTATTACTGCTTAATTATAAAGTTTATTCGATAAATCGGTTTGAGAACAAAGGGCAGACATGTATTTTCATTTATCATTTATCTCTTCTGAACTTTGACTTTATCTTAAAGATTTATTGGTTTATTTAAAAAAAACCTTTCCATGTGTGCGTGTATCTGTTTATGTGATTGTTTTTTAATAATATTACACATTAGGTCAGGGTTCCTAAATACATTACTTTAGACGATTTCAGAGACTGTAAATGTACTTGGCAATGGTGGGAGTGAGTCGGTGTTCAAAGTAATTTGAAATTGTCTGTGCAAAACTTAATTTTGTCAATTTGTAGACTTTTTAAGATTATTTTGCTCTTACGATGACCTTAAAAATAGGTCGAAAGCTTGGCAATAACAACTGAATTTCCTATTTCATCAAGAACATACCGTGATTCAGAGTATTCGTGAGTAGAAAAGTGGTCGATACAGCCTACAGTTAAAACGATTAAATTGTTAAAAATTTCGAATTGGACTAAAAAAACCTATTTTATTATTATTTAATGGTCTCTGAAATTCATTCATTCAACGTTTTAGGAACTAAGATTGTTTGGCAATCTATACCGTTTGTTCTGTGGTATGGTAGTATATGGTAGTATTGTTAAATAAGATATTCTAGTAGATTGCATATTAATTTATGCAGGTTTGTTGACCAAAAGTCTCATTTCCATTTCTCCCCTGGTAAAATGTTTCCTCAAGCAAATGACGCCACCCAGTTTTCCAGTTATCTGCCATGTTTGTGGAGCAAATAACAAAAATGTATATTATCAGTGATTTATATTATTTCTTTAAACAAAAAAAAGACTCCTGTGTAAAAGGGGAGTCAGAGGAGGCGAACCGTCCAAGCCGTGCGATGTCTTCGGAGAAAGAGATCCGGAATGGAAAGGACGTTGCAGGCGATCCAGACGATGCTGAAACTGTTTCCGGTAAATTGGGGAAAATTACAGAGGAAATTGGCCTTGTCATGTTAAAATTTCTCCTATTGAAATTAACAAAAATACAAACAAAAAATAATAACTTAAAAAATGCAAACCATTTAAAAATTGGGCATTTTAAATAGTTACAGTCATTTAGGCAAATAATAAGAATGATAGTGGAATCTCACCAGAGGACGAAAACGTATTTTTTATATTTGAAATAGTCCACCATAATAATTTAATTCCACGAGCCTCTATTTGTAACCATTTGGCAAATTGAATTCCAAAAGTACGTTTTTCAATTTTTAAAATGAATATCTTTATATTTATAAACAAAACACGTGACTCCTTTTCCCCTGGATTTTTAAACCAATTAAACTCTGTTGTGATTGAAATAAATAAAAATAATGAACGTATTCTGCTCTGACCAAATTCGACCACTTTTCCGTTCTTACTGACGAACAAACCGAAAATATAAATTAACTCCAAGGCAGAAAACCTTTTTAATATGATTTTCTTTAAACACTACTTGTGGAATTTCAAAAATCGAGTAAATCAAGCACGCTATAAACGCCAAAAATGATTGAATTTACTACTGAGTCAATTGTACATCTAGTAATATAAATTCAAACATCAAGGAAAAAGTGCTCACGTCGACATAAACACAATTAATAAATAACAGACTTTAAAATGAATGAATTAATCAACCAGTAAAAATTATCAATTTAAAAGCCTCGACTAGCATCCTTATGTTCAAAAATAAAAATAAATAAATTAATTAAAAAAATAAAAAACAAAAAACAAAACAATTTTAAAAAGTATGAAAAGTGAATCTTTATTTGATTACAGTATACAATGAGGAGGATTCGAAATGTGGTTTGGGCACATTCAAGCCAGACTGGCTTCAAAAAATGGCGAGTAAAAAAGTGTTCATTGTGATATTTGGCTTGCTTGGCATGAATGAGATAGCAGTAGGATCATATTTTGTAGGTACAATAAGTACAATTGAAAAAAGATTCAAATTGCCGAGTTCAACAACAGGTAGTCAAAACATTTACATTTTTTCAAAAAAAAATTTCGAGCTGATTTTTTTTTCTTTTTTTTAAAGGAATGATTTCGAGTTCCTGGGATGCAGGAGCAACTGTCGCTTTAATATTTATTGCTTACTATGGTGGAACTGGCCACAAAACACGATGGGTCGCCAGGTGCAGTATATTTGCTGGAATCGCTTGTTTTATGATTTACCTACCACATTTAATCTTCGGCCCTGGAGAACTCTACACCAGCCCCAAGAACATGACTTCAGGAAATTCATGTAATCAATTATAATTAAATTTTGTTGTATTTATTTTGATGAGTTACTTTTCTTACTTTACGTTTTACTTTTCTAGCATATTTAAGCTATGGGAATCTTTGTTCTGACCCAAACCAACCGGTAGAGAACTGTTCTTTAAATTCTGAGGGAAGGATCGCTTTAATAATTTTGATCTGTGCATACTTACTTTTGGGGGTTGGAACAAGTTCTTACTACACTTTAGGTGCTGCCTACTTGGATGACAACGTTATGAAAAATAAGTTTCCATTCTTATTTGGTAAGTATGTTTTCACAAAAAGTTTAATTTTTTAAATTAATTTTATATAGCTCTTGTTGCATGCATTCGTTATGTTGGACCAACATTGGGGTACTTAACTTCCTCCTACACACTGAGCACATATGTTGATCCAAATGTGACACCTGATTTCACTCAAGAAGATCCGAGGTGGATTGGAGCTTGGTACAAAGGTATAAAAAGTGCTGTATGTTTAAATAAGTTGTACTGTCTAATAAGAATTATTTTAGCATGGATACCATTTGGAACCATTGAAATGACTTTAGCATTGGGGATTGCTTTTTTCCCTAGATTACTCCCTAGAGAAGCAGATAGGCGCAAACAGAATGACAATATGCGTAAGACAAAGAAAAAGCAATCATTACAAGGTATTCTACAATATTTTTTAATGGAATGCTGAATACAAATTAAAAAGTGTTAATTGAAATTCACCTGGACCATATTTCAGATTTCAAAGAGACGATTGGGCGCCTTTTGAAAAATCCTGTGCTTATGTTCAATACATTCAGTTCAACTTTTTATGTTTTTGGCCTGATGGGCTACTGGATATTTATGCCCAAGTACATCGAAACTCAGTTTCGCCAGACTGCTTCTAAAGCAAGCCTTATCACAGGTCAGTCATTGAGAATTTTGCAAGTTGGCACAAGACAACGTGTTTGATTTTCAGGAACTGTCGGCCTTGTGTGCACTGCAGTTGGAGTTGTTTCATCAGGTGCGGTAATATCGAAGTTCAAACCTCGACCAAGATACTTGGCTGCATGGAACGTTTTCACAGAGCTTATTGATGTAATTGGGCACATTTCCTTTGCCTACATTGGTTGTTTCAAGGAAGATTTCCACGGGTCTTACAACGACGAAGGGAGGTAATTTACTTTATTTTTTCTTTTTTAAATTATGTTTATGTCAATTATTCAAACAATGTTTCTTCTAGCTGGGATTTGATCAAAAGCTGTAATTCGAACTGCAGCTGCAGCACAAATATGCAATACACACCAGTATGTTCTTATGACAATAAAACAACATTTTATTCACCTTGCCATGCAGGTTGCTTGACTTCTACTATAGCCGACAATGGAGCAAAAGTAATCAGTAGAGCATCAAGTTTTAACATTTAAATTTTAAACATAATCAAATAAATTGTTTTGCAGATTTTCTCTAACTGTAGTTGCATAGGAGGTCTAGGACAAGCAGTTGACGGTGCCTGCCCTGTTGAATGTGAAAACCAGTTTTACATTTTTTTGGTAATTTTGTGTTTTATGAAATTTCTATCATCCACTGGTCGATCTGGTAACACTATAATTCAATATAGGTAAAAAAAATTATTTACTTTTTTCTCTATTTTAAGTTTTATAATGATAAAAGTGCTTAAACAACAAAACATTCATTAATATTAATCATACATTTTAAGAAGATTTACCATTCTGTTAATGTGCTAGTAAATGAATTATTTTTTAGGTCTGTTGCACCTGAAGACAAAGCTATTTCAATTGCCTTTACTGAGGTCATTCTTGCTGTTATAACATTTATACCGTCACCTATAATTTATGGCTTACTTTTAGGTAATATTTAAAAAATAAAATTAAAATCTACAAGAAAGTTCATTCTTGAGTCTTGTTATAGATTCATCGTGTCTGGTCTGGGGCCAGACTTGTGGAAAGACGGGCAACTGTTGGCTCTACCATGGAAAGGAGTTGCGATATCTTCTCAATTTCACGTCATCAGGTATGTTTTCCTCGATTTCTACCTCATTCGCCGAAGATGAACAATATTTTCCTTAGCGTTCCTGTTGCTTGGCACGTTGTTGGATATAGGTGTCCTTTACAACGTCGGGTCACTACAAATATACGATGAAGTGGCCTTGAACGAAGAACAAACCAAATCCGATAAAGACAATGAACAACCATTGCTGGACTTAAAGCCTAACTCGGCGAATCATATACATACAGAAAATGCAAACAGTTAAATTGATACCATCTCTTTAAAATATTATTTGTACATAAAATTTTTATTTTATATGTATATATTTTGTAACTGACATGCTAATAAAACAACCATTACTTTAAAGATTTTTATTTTAACAAATTAAATGCAACTAAGTTTAGAACTTTATAAGGCTTGAGTAGAGTGGAACACAATGACTCTTTTAAATTACAACCAATTAAAACAAAACAAAAAATTGGAGCAGAGACCATTAATTATTTACTTGGTCAGAAAACAATAGAAATAATCCTGGAATTGCAGATAGCTATCTGACACTATTATCAGCTCATATTTGGAGAGCAAATATATTCTTAGTGGTGTATTTTTGTTAGCAATCTTCCTCCTTTTGACACAACCTGGTTATCCTCAAAAGGTAAAAAGAACAATGCCCTTACATTTGTTCTTTTAATTGCTTTTTATTTTAAATAATTTCATATCTAGAGAACTGTTTATGATTTGGCACAAGCTTGGAATGATTTATGATGATAGATGCTACTTTTGAGAGCAGTAGACTTGCTTATCTGTTGTAAATTTGACTCATAACTAGTAAACAAACTCGTATGTGCTACAGTAGCAGTTCTGAGTTTGAATCCCAGCGTAATCCTTGGAATTTTACAAGATTCTGCCATGATAAAGCATTAACACTTGATGAGATAAATTACTGACTCGATATGAGGATTATGACTATGAGGAAATGTTTCAATCCTGTAGAGTAGACCATTTAGGATTACAAAAAGGACACACAGCGTAAATCGTACACTCAACTGGAAGATCTCAGTTAAAATGTGATACTTGTGTTTTTTATTTTTTAATCACAATTGTAATACGTACGAATATGTATAGGGTACAAATAAAAGAATAATTATATAAAAAAATATGGTCTTGACTTTTGGGTCAAATTTCAGCATGCAGAAAAGGGATGCTCGATGTATTGTGTTTTCATGGAAATTTACTTTTCTTATTCTAGATTTCTGGAACCCTTTTACTTTTTTCAAATAGAGATCACCTGCTTGTATCTTAATATTTTTATCAGGGTTCACAACAGAAAAAGTGATTTCCACCTCGGGATGTCGGTGTTTTGTGTACAAAAGCCCATTTTTGTCAATTGTCGGGTTCGAATGAAGGGCCGCTTGATTCGAACCCAGGGCCTTTACCTTACAGTGATGAGTGCTATTTCAAGCCTTAACCACTGCGGCCTTCGACGCCTCTATGAGATTTTATTTATCATATTTTATGGCAGATCGGCTTTCGCCTAGAAACATGCTGCTTTGTAATCAATGTCAAAATGCAATGAAAACAGGAGGAACATTAAACATCTGACATACCTTGAATGCTGAAATTAACTTAGTTGTCAGCAGGCAAAAATAAGGCCTGAAATCAACAAAAAGTAATTCTTTTAAAAAATAATATGTTTAACTGTTTTATCCCACAAAATTTTTTTTTGATCACTTGGGATAATCACCAAGAAGCTACAGAAAAAATGATTTTGCTTTCCCACTTTAATTAATTAAATTACAAGTCTTAACTTAATTAATGTTGATTGTTGACTTTACAACAACATGTTGACAGTTTAAAAATCCATAGACTTGGGATAATAATAAAAAATTAAACAACAGAACAAAATTTATTTTCTTGTGGAAAAGACAAAAATATAACAAATTATTTCAAAATACAATACTAAGGAAAGTCTTTAACAATCCAAAATTAATAGTTAAGGATAAATAAATATACACTGAGATTCCTTTTTTTTAAACAATTACAAGGTAACTAAACAAAAAATAACAGAAACTAAAAAAATGAGATTCTGATACAAACACGAGGATTTGTAATTATTTAACTTATAATACAAGAAATAATTAGGAAAAGTTTGTAATATATTCATATAAATGAAACATTCGTTTTAATTTATCACCAATTATTAAGATTTCATTTCTTAAGAAAATGGTACAATTTTTTTGGCATTTGGATACTTACTTGATAAAATTATCAAAGAGGGTTTTGATTTTACTAGTTTTCAAGGTGTAATCCACCTTTTTGACATACTTATTGTTAATTCAAATTTTACTCAACTTTGCAAATATAGTTTAAAATACACATAATGATAGTAAATAAGGCAATTTGTAACTTAATTTTAAATATATAAATTTTGATTTTATAGTTGAAAAATATTTGATTTAAATGCATTTTGTTTACATAGGTCACAAAGGCAAATGGTTACACACTAAACTGATAATTCAAAAGTGTAATTTCTAAACCAAATATGTATACGACTTACTGTTAAACAATCACAATAGAAAAAAAGTTTAATAGTTCAAACTATTCAACTATCAGCGATATAATAACATGTCTACCGTTAATCACTATTTAATTCTATATTTTTTTATATCAAATAAAATTGAAGCACTGAAAGTAAATTTTGTAGCAACAGTTAAGTGTATCTACATAAATAAAGAAAAAGTAGTAAATTTAAATCTTAAGCTTGTCCAAGATCATTCACCCTTTAGTGTTATTTCAATTGATCAACACCTTCGAAAACACTAAAATATTTGGCAACATAGCTTTTTAAAATTTATCAACTATCCTACATTCAAAGCAATCATAGTAGTGACTTTTGAGCACTTGGAACAATGAAACCTTCATAATTGTCCTGCACGAGCCTCTTTATTTATTCTATTATTAAGTTAAATTTTATGCTCACATAGGAGTATGTTTGTAACTTAAGGTCAGATCAGAATTAAAAAGAGTCTTTACAGTAGCAGAATTTCCTTAGTTGTTCAAATGTCTGCTCGATGCACCTTGACTGTGCACCATACTCGTTTATCCGGCTAACGTCTCCAATCTTGAAAAAGAAAATTAATTATCTCATAAACATAAATAATGAATTAATTATAAATTACCCGGAATTTGAACTCGTCTTGTGATATGTCGTGTGTGAGGGACATCTCAAAAATGCCACGTCCAGGTAGTGTGGTCAATTTGAGCTGGTACATAACTATTGTAACAGGAGTATCAGCACTCATATTAGGCACGAAGCCGTCTTTGTCCGCGCTCGAGTGGAATTTCCTCAATGCTCGAGAAGGAACAAGACGTGCTGACCAAAGCACCTCATGTAACTGTGATTCAGCACATTCATCAGTAAATTCCGAGTTATATCTGCAAAAGGTCATCAGCAGTTAATATAATGAAATCTTTATCAAATAACAATCAATATACATATATTATAGAAAGCTTTTTATCAGCAATATAACCTCATCATACTCATAGGTAAGTGAGTGCATGTCGAATTTAGATTCAATCCCTTTTGGAAAGCTTTTGCTTGTAAAGAGTCAGTGCATCACCAGTGGCTCAGAATTTTATCAGTGGAGTTACCTAAATTTCTGATCTTGTTCCTATCAATTTGGTTCAAGTACTGAACTTTACCAAACCGCCAGGGTAAGTAAAAGTTATTTTTAACAAAATTCTGTGGGATTGGTTAAGGTATTTTTCAGGATTTCCTTCTCTCGGTCAGACAGAAATTTTCAAACTTCTTTGAGTAAGAGCTGAAATACGCAGACATATGCGAAGTGCTATCTTTGTTTGAGAACAAAAGATAAGACTTGAGGGCTTTGTTTCTGGAGTACCTGTATGCTACATCAATGGGGTTGATCTTCTGTTATACAAGGACTGAAGAGGCTTCACATCGTCCATACATTACTGGCAGTCCTACTTTACCTATCACCAATTCAGCAAAAGAAAAACTCAGATTTTGCGTTTAAATTAAAATTTGTATCATATATCGCAGGATTTAATAATACAAACAAATATTTTTTTTAAATCTTGTTTGTTTTGTTTATTTTAAAACTTAATGCTCGTTCTCCGGCAAATGGCTATTACAGCATAGTATGCTTTCTTTTTTTAGTTTATAATTATATTGTAAAATATTATTCTTTTATAGCAGATTGAATAAAGTACTTTTTCATTCATCGATGCATGATTCATTGTTTGAAGTCAACTTTAGTAATTAAAAACTTCGTTATTATGGTGCATCGGTTACAAAGATCTTAAAATTGAAAAATTTCCATAACAACACTAACCACTGCGGCCATTGATAACCCTTAAATTATCCATCCATGAATATATTTTTTATTTCTGATAACAATTCCAATGTGTGATGATGCAACTGGTATGTTTCTAGGCAATGTTTAGCTTTCTGCAATTTAATTTGGGTCTCTTCTAAATGTTCTTTTTAGCCCTGGTTGCATAAGCAGCAATTCATGCTTAAATGTTCTAAAGATTTTTTTATAAAATAAAAGCTTTGCCATGTGGTTAAAAACCTCTTTAAAAAAATCCATGTTACGTAATAAAAATTATGATTAAATGTTCTCAACTTTGTTGTGTTTTTGACAGTTGAAGAGTAGTTTTGCAGAATTTATTGAAGATCCGCATGGTTCACAACATAAACTTTGCCCCCGCTGTAGATTTGTCTTTTTTAATTTTTTAAAACCACTTCTCTACAGACCACTTACTGTACCCTCCTCTTCAAACGTGTGGACCAAGCAGGCTTTGGCGACTTAATTGCCTTTCCAATATTTTGCAATATTATCAGAATATCGTAAATTTCATAGCATACCATTTTTATTAAAGGGATCTCAAACTGCATAACAATGACAAAATAATTTAACAAAATAAAGGATTAAAATGATGCTAACAATAATGTGTATACATAAATTCAAAATATTGTTACTAATATGAAATAAAAATTTTTTTTTCTTACTTGTTCATGAATTTTACATAAGCCCTTGCTGCTCTTTGGACAATTGGATCATTTCTATCCACACTCTCCCAATCCAAACAAGCACACCAATGTGGTTCAATATAAGCATCCATGCATGTCCTTTCTAAAGGCACCTGTCAAACAATTCAATTAATAACCAATCATTGCAATAAATAAATTTAATATAAGACCTCTTTGAACAGAGATATACTACGCTGCCCTAGATCGCCCTTCCCAAAGTCAGTTGGATGGAGTACGTTAAAGAAGGTTGAATAGATGTCAAACGGGGTCGTGAGCCTTCGTGAATTTTTATGTAAGTTTTCAAATGCCTGCGGATAAGCCTTTTCAAACCACGGCGGCACCACAAATGAAAACCAAGGAAGCCTCTCCTCAACTTTGCCTTGTTGAGTATTTCTAATTTCCGCAAACCTAAACAGACCACATATTCATCGGGACACATTACATTGCACTGTTTAACAATTTTTTAACAATTCTGCTCTGCACCAAGCCCGATTTAGTTTACTTTTTTTTATCACTTACTTGTATGCCCCCCTTATTAATATCCTCTTTTTCTAATACAAATGCTATCATTTCCAACTATTATTTAAACATCAAAATCAAGTTTCACTGGGGACAAAACATGATTCAGTGTGATTATTGTGCCCTGATCCTAACTTGTGTAATTGTAATATTTCCTTTGTAATTCGTCAGAAGAGATCAACTTATAATCACCATACCTGTGGCCATGGTCACTCATTATGACAAGAAGAGTATTGTTAAGGTGGCCGTTGTTCTTCAGCCACTCCATCCATTCTTTCAAGTCACCATCTGCAGCACCAACAAGATTGTAGCTGTCATGCGAAATCTCTCCGTGAAAGCCAAAAAGAAATTTCGGCCTGTCTTTATACACCCTGTAGATATGCTTGAGATAATCCAGCATCACCTAGAATGAGATAAAGTAATTAAAACCAGATTAAAACAATTTTGTACCGGTCAAACCTTATGGCGGGGTATGGAGCCTATGCAGTAGTCGCTGTACTGGTCATAAGTGGATTCGGCATCAATATAAAACGGCCTCATATAATGATCAGTCGGACTGTCATCAAAACCTTTCAGCCTGTATGTAAATATTCCAAATCTTGGTGTGTCCTCCATGAACCCTGACAACACGAACAAAAACACTTTTATTCTTAAATTTTATCATAAAAAACACAAAACAGAATAAATTAACAGATGAAAGCTTTTATAGAAAAAAGCGCTTATTTTTTTGTTTAGTTTTTACAAGTGTGATAAGATTGAAGGTTATATACTTATAATCTAGAAATAATTAGTCATTAGTAATTAAATTTTCACTTTTAATAAAACTAATTTCTTTTAATTAATTAAAGATTAACAAATTACCTGTAATGTATCCATTTTCCTTGAAATTTTTCCAAATAAATGGATAAGCATTAACATAAGTAGCTTTTGACCCCATTCTTTTCCTTGTATCAGGAAGTTCTAATTCCGTTTTTCCTTGGGGGAAAAAATGAATTTATCACAGATATACAATTTTTATTAGCACGAAATACATTACAGTAAGAATATTTTAAGTTGCATTGAATTACCTGTGAGTATCGGGATGAGTGCCTGAGGGGTTCCATCACCAACGATATTATAGCCCTCCAGTACGACCGCATTGAGCACTTTTGTCAAGTAATTGTAGCTTTGAGGTAGTTTGCGTAAAAAAGTGTTACGAGATATGGAATCAAAACCAAACATAAGCACGTTCAGTTTCATCGCATCTTTAGGCAGCAAATGCCAACCAGTCTGGTCCATAAGGTCTTGGTCGTAACGAGCCCCGGCCATAATGCTACTCCATCTAGTTTATAAATCATTACAAATTATTTCCTTTAAAATTAAGACATTAAGACCATATAAAAGCGATTCAAGCGTGAAAACGAGTTATATAAAACATAGATAAAGAAACCTCAGCGGTCAATTTGAGTTTTCTATTTTGAATTATATTTGAAGGCTTTTTGTTTTTCAAAATTATGTGTTAATTCAAGACAATAATTGTATTTGAAGATTTTACAAAAAGCAAAATAGACATAAAATAGGTTAAGCAGGTTGTAACCTAAAAATGTTAGTTTATTAAATTTTTTTATAACTGTTGGTTTGTAAACCATGTTGGCATTTTCTTTACCCAGCACACATATTGCGATAAATGTACATGTCAATTTATAATTAATTTCGCCTTGTTAATATTTCTAAGCCTTTGGACAAAGACTCCAAGCTAAAGCCTACAAAAGCTTTACATAATATTACAATTTAAACTGTTCGACACTTGATCACTCTTTTGGGTCTATCTATTCTCTCATAGGTTTAGATGTCACAAAGGCAAGTTTCAGCTTACGCAGTTTAACGGAGAGATCGAGTGCCGATCAGTTTAACATATGTTCACCGACTCAGATCACCCATGCCAGTAGTAAATATTTCCCCATTTATTTTATTTTATGTTAGTGATCATGTAATATTTCCCGCATTTTATGATTACTAGTACCTATCATTGTTAAACAGTGATTTTCCGCCCTAATGAATTTCTCCTTAGGTTCTGAGAACTTTTTTTAACTCTGCCGCATGGCCAACCAAAATGGCCTTTTTTTGTGTTTTGGATGATCCTCCAATATGTGCTAAGTACAACAGACTAAAAACTAATTTAAACTAAAAATAAAAATAAAGATTAATAACGACAAAATGATAGAAAAGATTATGTGAAGTAAAAGAAATAATTAAAGGATTAAGACGAGCATTTAAGTAGCATGAAAGGCCAACAGAAGCAGATAGAAAGAGGCTGGGAATGGAAAATAATTTATCACTTGTATAAAAGTTAAACTACTCCTTAGTACTTTCTGATGGGACAGGCATAAAAATTTTTTTTTTACTTTCTTGGAATTATAAAAACAAATGGATGGTTGTAGTTTTCAAAAAGTTAAATTTCAATTTTGTGGTTGCTTCAATGTGGGCAAATACAGGTAGAAATAATCTAGAAAATGAATTGCCTAAGTCCACTCAGATTAAATATCTATGGGAATTTGATGTTTGAAAATTGCTATTTGTTAATTGAATAATGTGTGTGTGTGATCCAAGTGGTTGATTCACATTCTACCTTTTTAACTAAAAATGAAAATAAATTGTAGAAAATTAAAATTCACTTGAAAAGTTCTTACACTCATACAGAGCTATTCAAAATTGTAAAGCCTCTTCTGGTACTTACTTAAGAAGGAAAAATGTTCTATGCAACTACAGTGTGAACTAGTAAGAGCCTTGCTTCACATGTGCTTGGGGTAGGAAGAGTTAAAAAAAAAATCGGCTAGCAGAAAATTACCTTTTACCAGAATCACCATAACAATCAACCCTTACAAAATCGCTCGATTCGAGGTTGTACTCCGTGTGAGTCCTTGTCGTAAGCCCAACATGCGTTGTAAAGTCGTTGGTTCTTAAAATATCTAGCAAAAATGAATATTATAATTTTATACTATAATCTGATACAAATTATAAAATGTTCACCGGTAAAAGAGCATTCGACACGACCGTGCTTTTCTTTTGCTTCATTGGTAATGACAGCACGGTTGCCAGTTATCTCAACCCAGTCTTTTTCACCCGAGCATATGATAGGGCCCTCATCCTTGACAAATTTCATCAACTCTGTATTGTTCACGTCTAGATTTGGATGTCGACATGCTTGCCTTCCTTTCCTAATAGGTCATAAAGATGAGCATTAACTCGGCTGATGTATACATACAGAAGAAAGTGATATTTATTTTGTATACTTGTATTTTATTGTTTACTATTTTGGTTATTATTATTAAGGGTGTATTACCAACAACGAAAGCTATGACAGGTTATATTTTCAACAATCTCACTCTTCAGATTGATTTAAAGTTTCTTGTTCATAGAAAGTAAAATTATTAAAAAATACAAAACAGTAATCGAGTTTGCTTTTAAGAGGTACAAAAAGTAAATAAATAAATAAAAAAGAAAAATGAAATTTTATGTTATTATTCTATAAGTCATCCAGAGGATTTTGTCTTTGTTGTTATGTCTATTACAATTCAAATGTTCTATATTGCACCAACATATAATAAAATACATAAGATCGCATTTCAAAAGAAAACTATGCTTACCATAGATGTGAATTTAGGTTGGTTTGCTGGATTGCTTTTGATATTTGCTCCCTGCAAGTTAACATTAAAAAGTTAATTCTTTTTTAAACATTTTAACAATTTGCAAAACTTTTATTACAAACTATAACTTTTGAACAAAGATTAATCATTCCTTGTTTTTCATTTCTGAGGATATTTTGTCTTTTATTTGACGTTTTGTACAATTTAAAATTTGGCCTTACTAGCTGTCAAACATAAAATACTCTGTAGTTTTCTGAAGTCTTGAATCATACTGGTCTGCTAGTCCAAAACTAGAGGCTCTACACCTGCAAACCTCAACAAGAGATCTCAGCAATTTTTTGTTGGGTTTTATTTAATTAATATACCATTAGCTTGTAACACTAAAAGAAATTAATTTTCTTTGTTTGAAATTTTCCAATTTATTATGGCAGCCAGTATTATCAAAACTTTTATAAACATTAATCCCCATACTATAAACAAGGGAAGTGTCACGTCAGTCAAACAGAGGTCAAATTCATTGACATTATTTGATTACACAATTGAATAAGTAATGTGTATTTGTCTGATTGCTTCAAGCAACTCAATTATTATTTATTTCATTGTTCATACCACATTTTTAAATTTTAAAACTACTATTAAAAAATCATTAACTGAAAAAAAAGTTTCAACAATTAGTTTATCTAAGTTAAAATTTGATTTTTATTTTAGTTGATTTGTAATTAAACAATGCAATCTTATTTTGACTACGTGAGAGGCACAAATGTATTTTAAATGGGCAATATAAATAGCTTTATGATAGGATCCTAATACAAGCAAGTTTTACACGGGGTCATATTAACCATTAGACCTTCGATGATCTCACTGTAATGACGACTGCAAAGTTATAAAAAATTGACCATCTAGTCTTTATATTCTCACAGCAGGCCATCNTGTAATTAAACAATGCAATCTTATTTTGACTACGTGAGAGGCACAAATGTATTTTAAATGGGCAATATAAATAGCTTTATGATAGGATCCTAATACAAGCATGTTTTATATGGGGTCATATTAACCACTGGACCTTCGATGATCTCACTGTAATGAAGACTGCAAAGTTATAACAAAATTGACCATCTAGTCTTTATATTCTCACAGCAGGCCATCCACTAATGATGGCCAAAATGTGTCTTTAAAAAAAAAGTGGCAAAAATAAGAGTTCTAAGATGATCAGAGATGATCCCGCAATGTTGAGTTTAGTAGTTGTATGCATCTTTTTCGAAATCATGGTTTCATTATTTTAATTCATCACGTGATGGGGACATTTATTGAACTTCACCTCTTTTTTTATTTACTGCCTCTACATATATCAGGTACATGCTGGTACCCCTTTTTAAGACTCTATGTACTATATCTATTCTCTCATAGGTTTAGATGTCACAAAGGCAAGTTTCAGCTTACGCAGTTTAACGGAGAGATCAAGTGCCGATCAGTTTAACATATGTTNTTCATCACGTGATGGGGACATTTATTGAACTTCACCTCTTTTTTTTTTTTTTTTATTTACTGCCTTTACATATTTCAGGTACATGCTGGTACCCCTTTTTAAGGCTCTATGTACTATGAGCTAGTATGTTCCAAGCTTCAACAAGCTTTGAAAAGACATTTTTACAGGCAATAAAACGTAAAAAGAAAAAGAAGTTGTGAAGTTCAATACATATCCCCCATTGCATGAAGAATTAATATAAAACATCAACCAAAATAGGGGTTTCATCTTTATAATTTTACTTCTATGCCATTCGTTACTAGGTACTGAATAAAACCCACTTTTATGATTGAATGAAGTATATTTTGATTAATTTTTATAATTATTCTTGACAAATCCATGAAATAATAAAAAAGTATTGTAATGTGGTTTAACCCCTTGTCTATGATAAGGGTAATTGGACATTAAGCTCTTTAGCATAACGGAAATTACTTAACTAGAGTGCAACTAATTAAACTCACCTGTCCTGTGTTGTATGTTAATTAATACTACACACTATGCTCAAATGAACACTACTATGATAATCAAATATTTACATATATTAAGCAATCAAGATGTTTTAGGCACAATGGAACTTCATGTACCATTAATCTTTATTTGCATCTTTTTTTTTTAATTTACATGCACTTTTATTTTACTTACATTTTTACATCTTTACAATAAAAAAATGTAGATTTTGTTCCATTTTACTCTAGGCAATTGACATAAGATAAAACTACTATCTTTTTTGCAGTCTGGCTTTTATCTGTCAGGTCCTAATAAATGAAAATGATAAAAACATTACTTCATTCTTAAGTACTTTCATTTCTACATACGTAAACAAGGATTAGTCAGTATTTCTCTATCAACCACCCACATATAAGTTTAATCACACATTGTTAGACACAATCTAACATTGATTGAATCTCATGGTTTCATTCATTCATGCTAATATGTAAATACATTTCTGCATACAAACTGCAATATAAATCAACATAGCAGATGTATAGAGACTTGCTTATTTTAAATAAAATTTTCATTCAAGTAGCATGCCAACACACTTGCTAAGATTTTAAAATGTTGAATTCAAGACCAAGAACTACGATAATACATTAACAAACTCCAGTGAAGATGTCAGAACACAACTGGACCTCTGAAAACCATTTATTACCTGTTATAGGTAATAAATAATAACAGGCATTGTATTAAGTGTTCTGAATTTACAAGTACAATGGTTAATCCTAATTCAACTAGAATTTTTATGACTTTTTTGGTTGTTATAGGTCCAAATATAATTTTTTTTGTACAGTGTAACTACCCAGTCTTGCAGAATCTACACATCCTTTTTTTCATTGACGCCAATCATTTTCATATGTACAATAAGTCTGTAGTGCAAGAATATATAGAACAATTCAGTTTCTTCCTGCTACTTATTCTGTATTGCTAGATTTGTTTTCAGAAGTTGCTGCAAATTCGATGTTGATAAAACTGTTCAGGCTGCAATTTGACATCATGTTTTTAAATTTGCTTTTATATATGATATGGGAGGTTGAAGATGCCTGGCTTTTGTCAATGCTTTATTTTCAGGGAGTTGGTAAAGTCACATTCTGCATTATCTTAAAATACCTCATTGTACCAAATACAGTAAGATCAAGTATCAATGATAATTTCTTTTGTATAAACATTTATTTATGGTTAAATTATAAACCATTTATAAATTATAAAAGATAGTTAAATTATATTTTCAGACAGGATGTTGATATATTATTACAATTCAGCATAAGTGTTTTTGGAGCAATAGAAGCAATACAAATTTTAGGAAGCATTATAACAAAAAATTAAAACTTTTTTTACATAGTGAAACATGTTGAGGCCTGAATATGCAAGTTGATTGTTCCTTATATACCAATTTTTGATAGTTTGACTATCAGGCACATTTCAACGTTTTCAGTTGGTATGTTTTATACATGCTGGTATATTTTTCGAGACACCATAGGAAAAAATAAACACCAGCATTGCTCGCAAGAATTCAAAATGCATTAGGTATTTTCCTAAATTAAAAACAAGTTAGTAAATTAAAAATGCTTAATTTTATTTTCAAGTGCAACGCAGTAACCCAATCTGTCAAAGAATTCATTTTGAACATTTCTCAGTTGTACTGGCATATATGATCACATGATTGTATAACATATTAGGAAGAATCAAGAAGCGCAAGGTAACCACTCGAAGGATGTTCCATGTGGGGTTTGCCTCCACACTCAATCCTCGCATAATCGTCCATATTATGTGCTGGGCACGTATTTTCACCGACATCAAATATTCTTGAGATCGTTTTCTGACAGTATCGTATGTTGTTTTCATTTATAAATATTCATTTATAATCTGTTTTATTAACAAATTACAGCATGGCATTCAAATATGTTGAGATAATTTCACCAGTACAATGGGAAATATCCACCTGGAATTGCCCAAGTAGGAGGCATTTGACTTCAAATTTATACATAATAATATCAAGTTTCTTTTTTGCTTTGATTCTCCAAACGTTACGTTTTTTAAATTTTATTTAGGAAAGTACCTAATACATTTTCATTTCTAATCATTGGATATTGTAGCATTATTTATTTATTTAAATACAGAGTGATTTTTGATGAAATTAATTTTAATTAGGAAATTAAGAAAACTGCACCTGAGTCCATTTAAGCAAGTGGTGCATTGTTGAAAAATGCCTTGTGATGATGTATCTTGGATGTTTTCACAGAAGTCAACAAATTGAATCAACTTCTCTTCTCAACAGCAGGTCAGTGCATTGTTAGAAACCGAGAAAGCAAGAGCACTTCTTGTGCTTGCTCTTTTGCAAGAAGAGAAGCAAAGAAAGGAACCAACATGGAAAAAAATATGGATTTATCCGTTATTACAAAATTGGGAAACAGCTTTCTCACAACTGCGCCACTTCCATACAAGCGTATTTTTAATTTCATGACCCATATTGTGGGATTAATACAAATTTCTTCAATGAACTGCTTCTCGTTGAAACTTGCAATTCACACAAGCTGTTTTAGTTTATTGAACTGAGTTACCGGGTTGACATTCAATTATTTAATGCCGTCTGCCCAAACTTTATTTGGGTATATGAAAAAATTGAAAATTTCTTCAATAAACTGTTCCTCATTAAAAATTGTAATGGAAACACTTTCCATGGTGAACACGGTAGACTCAACTAGGCAATTGGTGTGAACGACAAATGCCGAGATGAGTCTTTTGAGCTGAGTCAACCAGTGAGTATGAGAACGTGAGCAACACTTGTCTTCTGGCCACTCGCTTGGGCGGACTTTGAAGGTTTTGGGTGGTCCCTAAATTCCATTCAACTAGTTGACTGTCTGAAAGAGGCCTTGAGCTTATTTTCCTAGATATTTTACATAAGTCAATGTTGAGGCAAATTTCTTATTAATTCACAAGATTGATGAAAATTATGATAAGGGGTGATTTAATAATTACTAAACCGACAAGCAAAAAATTCACCCACTTGTCATAAAACTTGATAGATTAATCAAAGTTTCAAGTTATTTAACGTTTAATAATTGAGTGTTTATCTAAAAAAGTAAAAAAAAAAAAAATGTAAATTGCTAAGGAAAATGAAGAAAGAACAAAAAAAAGGTCAGTGTTTACGCGAGAGAGAATTTTATTCATTTTTTAACTGTTCAAATTTCCATGGAGACGAAAAACAAAAAAAAAGGTCTCAGGGTCCAGCTGGCCAGTTAGTATTTGAGAGTGAACGAACACGTTTGTTTAATTCTTTTTTGATCTGGATTTGTAATCAAAGTTACAAATTACAAGTACACCGCCGGAATACGAAGTTGTTTTCTCTTCGCCCGCTCATCGCTGTGAAATCAAATCACCAGCACATCATTTTGCTGTTCACAGGTCAGATCTTTCCTTTCGGCTGCTCACGTCTTCCAATAAGACTTTAAATTGAATTGTTTGTTTTCTTAATTGTTAACTACAGTGAAAAACATTTAAGACCAAGTTTTTGTACAGTTTGATTAATTTCCTGTAATAAGTCTGTCACTTCTCTTTATTCTATGGACCCTGGCCAGGTCACTTTATTGTTCAACTTATGTAAATTAAATTAACTTTATCAATTTATGTATATCAAATTAATTTAATTTAGTTTAATTTAATTTATCTTTCGTCATATCGCGTTCTGCTTCTGTCAGGGAGTCAACGTGGAGGAACAGGTTCAGGCGAACTAGCAAAGGTAAGGAGCGTTGCTGCCAATTAAGGATAGCCCCTTCTTCCAATACAGACAGATAAAATTTGTTTTAGATTTTTAATTAACATTTCAATATCGCGTATTTCTTCCTCTTGCCTTAATTATGGGGTTCAAGTCTGGAGAACAGCTGGCCAGGCTAAGACCCTGATGTTATGCTGTTGAAGGTATGTTTATACTATGTGAGCGACATGTTGACGGGCATTATCGTGCACTAGGACAGGATTGTCGCTGATTTCATCGAGGATAGGCTACACGTAATGTTTCAAAATTTCATCCACATAGTGAGTGGCCGTCAAAGGCCCTCCACGAACAACAACCAACTGTGCGACACTTCATTGAAATTCCCGCCCACACCATCACTCAGCTACGCTGAAAAAGGTTGGCTCTGGGAAAAATTACAGGTTTCATACCTTTCATTTCCCCTTCTCCGTATTCTTTCATGCCCATCTGGACATCAGAGAACAAATCTACACTCATCTGTAAAAAGTGTAGCAGACCAATGGCTGTGTTCTTGAGCAAATGGGAGATGTGCAACTCTGTGTGTTCTGGACAATTCTGGTCCTCTTACGGGGTTAAAAGCCTCAGTCCATACTGATTTAATCTTCTTCAAGCAGTGCGTTCAGAAATTTGGACACCTCAAACTTCCTGGAGCTGATGAATAGCTTGAACAACATTAAGGTACCGGTTTCGCAAAATTCTCAGTCAAAAAAACGGTCATCCTGTGGTTCTATTACCGTAGGGCATCCCGAACCGTGCCTTCTATGGTAGGACCCAGTTTTTCAAAAACTTCTAATGGCATCTCCCAGAGTTTCATAGGGCACTATGATGGCAATAGCCGCATACCCGATGGAACGCCCATCATCAATAAGTGCCACACCATGCGCAACATCCTCACCACTAAGTGGTATTTTTAAGTTTAAAAACTGAAATTAAGAAAACAAAGATGAAAACTAAACAGTTTATTGCTTCAGAATTCAAATGACAATGAGACAGATTAAGGGCAGAATTTTCTTTTATCAAGAAAATGAACAAAAAAAAAATCAATCGGGTGGAATTTTTTGCCTGTCAGTGTAAACGGCCACATTGCATGTACAATACTAAAATATTTTAAATTAAAATTATAACCAACCCTTAGGTCATTTTCCAATCATTTTGATCTGCCTATCCTCAATGCTTTGGTTTGTCAGATTGTAAAACATGTCCGTAAAAGGAGGATACACAGAAATTACAAAACTGAACGAATTTTTAATGTTACAAAATGTGCGATTATAGCTCTACTTTCTACTGATGTTGTGTGCCTGGCTGGGCAAAACATTCTACTCCATGCACAATACAAGCTGAATGATTCACCATGCTAAACAAATATGGATAGTTAAAATAATTAACACAACACAAGAGCTCTGTTGTCTGAGATTCACACAGACCTCTAATGCATACCAAATGTAACACAAAGCAACATCTACATTGTCACACTTACAACTGAGCCGCTCTGTCAGTGTTGATCTCCTTTTGCGTTTGGAAATGCACAACAGCATAGACAATGAGAATGACTATGCAGAGATAAATCAGTCTCCGTCCGTGGAAAGACAACAGGCTCATCCTTAAAGCACACAAGTTATGTTTCATTTGTACAAGAGATAATTGAGAAAAACGAGTATATGTACTAACGAATTAATCATCGGGAGATTGAAAAGGGTGTACAAATTAAAGCGTAATCTATACGATTACCTTGATGGAAACAAAGGACAGCGACGTTTCATAGAGTCCGGTCCTTTTTTATGCCATTGCAATAGCCGGCGAAGGCCTCGATACGACACAGATAAAACGCATTTTGATTGAATTTATTTATATTTATTTTATTACAGGGAGGTGTTTTAATTATTTAAATTACTACCTTTTAAGCCTCATTGGTTATTGGGCGCTCGAAATTATCGAGTAAACGTATAGATTACTTTGCTATCCAAAACGCTTGTTGAGATAACAAACCCCGATACAAGATTGATAATGTATAATGAAACAGTTCAGGGCTGGTTTGGGCAGAGGGCACCGACTTGCACCAAAAGCCCCCACCGTGACCCTGATGACGACTCGAACCAATTGGCGGATGAATAGCGTTCGCCTATCAAGTATTTCATCTTTCCAACTCTAAATTTAAATTTAACGCCTTCACAGAAAATAAATACTGCAGTTTTAACATAAAACTTGTTTACTGTCAATAAATATTAAATTAGGGGATAAAGGAAAGGCTATTGCATATAAATATGCACTCAAGGACAAAAACCGGACCCCAGACATATTTTGTTGTTTATTTCAAATTGTATTTTTTGATACGTTATAATAATCATAATAATAAATAAAACCGTTATGCAGAGAAAGGTTGCTCGATGTGTTCCACATAATAGAGGCGTGCCATGCCTTGGTTCCATACAGAGAGCGTATAGGCATGCAGCCGGATTTAAGAATGGTTCTCGGACACGGTAGCGAGTTTCAGGGTCCCCTCTTCCGCTTTTTAGGGTAATTGGTAATTTTTTATTGTATATAGCCATCAAGATATGTGTTTTGTATTTCTGTGTTTTGTATGAGTGAGTGTATTTATTAGAGTGAATGGGGAAGAGCTGATGGTGGAATAGCATTGTGTGTTTGAATCCTGCTTGTGACACTGACTTTTTCATCTCAACCAAGACTTTATTTATGGATTACACCCATTTACATAATAAAATTACACTTTACAGGGTAAATACAAATAGTTTCAAAAATGAAAATATTTAAAGAACAAAAATAAAATAATAAAACAAAAAATACACATATAAATATTAAACACAATGACACAAATGAGATCACTGATTAATATAATTTTGTTTATTTATTTAAACAGGTTGATACCCAAAATACAATATACATTTTGCAATTACATTTGTATTAATTGAAAATAAAGTGCAAATCGTAAAATATTAAACAAAAACATTCTAATTTAAAACCTACCTATTTATAGAGTATAAAAATAAACATAAACATTAATTTAATATAATTATATACTAAGCAACCAGAACAAATTTTATATTCTGCTAAGCAATTAAAAACTTATAATTATAAGAAAAAAAGACAATAGTGAAATCTAATTATTTTGAATAGCTAGGAGTTATGATCTAATTGGATTGTAAAGAATTACTGAATTTATTTATTTGTGGAAACTTCTGAATAAAGGTATTATCTATTTTCTGTAGTCCGTTGGTATCAGAATGAAGCAAATAATTATGAGGAATGAAGAGTATGGAATAAAATCTTTGATGGAACGGAACTTGGAAATTTAAATGAGGAAGTAATAAAGAACAATTGATTCTATTATTTATTAATTTACAAATAAACACAAAATCAAAATAAATGCGAGAAGAAACTAATGAAGATAAGGGAATAGTAGATTGGAGAAAAGGAATATTATGTAAACTTTAAGGAATATTTAATTTAAAGGAGATGAATTTAGACAATCTGTGTTTGAAGAAAACTTGTTTTAGTTCCAGCACTGTTTAACACAGATGAATTTAAAGAATTTATTTTGAACTTGTTCTAAAGAATGTTTCTAACAGAGAAGATGAGGAGACCAGAAAGGAGAAGAAAATCCAAGATTAGAATGGACAAGAGAGGAACAGAGATGTTTAAAAGTTATTATTGAAATTATGAGTATCGTGAGATATGAAGCCTAGCAACTTAAAACATTTATTTACTGTTGAAGAAATATGCAGTTAGGACATATTGGGCTGAAACGTGACTCCTAACTCATTAATATAATTGACATTTAAAACAATATAATTATTACAATTATAAGAATAGCATAATTTTTTAGAGCCTCGGTAGAAAGACTTATGTAGGTTTTTGAAGCACTCATACCAAACTATTTTTATGAAACCAATGAATTACCCCTGAGAGAGTCTTTTGTGAGAGAATTATGTCCTAAGCACTCAAAATTTCACGGTAAATTTTAAGATCATCTATAAACAAAAGAAAATTAACATAAAAAATGGAAGGATTATTATTGTTAATAAATAAAAGAAACAGATTAATGAGAGGCTGTGGTACACCAGAAATTCAAAAGAAAGGAATGAAAGAATTTTTTACAATTTGAAACCTATCTTTAAGATAAATTTGAAACCATCCGAAAAGAACATCAAATATTTTATGAATGAAAAGATTAAAACTCTCTCAGTAATCTCAACGAATTGCTGAAGAGCAGTTCAAACAGAACTGCTGTATTTGAATTTCAGATGATGCTAAAAGTACTCGCTTCAAATTTTAGGACATGTACTAAAATTGGAAAAAATGCTTATATGTACCATTTTTTTTTTTTTTTTTTTTGACACAACCTATTATTATTCCATGTATGAAACCACTTGTTCCTGCAACAGCATATACATAAAAAAATTAAATTCTGGCTGCTTGATTTTTTTTTTTCAGTTGTGTATTAACGTACCGCGTTGGAAAGTTTCTATGGAAGAGAATAAACAATAAAGACAACTTTTCATGTAATTAATCGTTTTCTCTTGAACAAATCACCAAAGAAAGAAGTCAATTTGTCATTTACGCAACTATCATGACGTCATTTGGTCTTTGAAGTAAGTCAAAATGGTCAACAATTTGCGAACTTGCCCATATGGGTAAGGAACTGGAATAAGGATAAAACTGAAAGCTAATTAATCTTTAGTAAAGAATAATATGTAACGAATATACGTATTTGTTTGATATTTTTTTGTATTAAGCGGCAAAAGAAGATTAAAATTAAAGTCAATTTTGTTTCGAATTGATTTGTTTCATTAATGAATTTTAGGTGTGTCGTAATTTGATGCTGATATATAAGACAATTCTGAGTTATTTTTTCTCTAGAGCTTTTGAATTTTGAAGTCATTTGACTGTTTTTATATAACTTTGCTCCATTTCGATACCCTTGGCAGTGCTATTCGAGTCTCCATGGCAAAGCGAAGTCTGACTATGCTACAGTACCTCAAATTATTTGTGTTTGGCGTCGTTTCTGTTGTCACTTGACAGTAGGAAAGTTTGTTTCAATCGGTTTTATTCTTTGTCTAGCATCCAACGACGATTTGTCGATATTAACCTGTGACCATGGTGAGAGCCGCTGCTTCATTTATACCGGGTTTCACCAACTACTCTTAATACCATAGATAGTCCAAAAAGATTGATTTAATACAGTTTTAAACTCGATTTGAATAATTTTCTTAAAATTATAGCTAAAGTTGATTGAAAATAGTTTTAATATATAGAGTCAGGTTTGGGTAGTGTTTAATACCAAGTTAATTGACATTGCTTATAAAATGATGTTTTGTTGAAAAGTTTCCAAACAGTGTAACAATGAAACTAATTTCTTTTTTTTATAAAATACAAGTTTAAGACCGGAAAGTCAACGAAACAAAGTTTTTTTTTGTCTTGTTTATTTTGCCAACCGCCTGAACGTGTTCCAATTTTTAGGTTAAAAAAGTGACAAAGCCCGTTGTTTCAAAAGAGGAAGAGGAATATCGTAAGGACAACTATTCAGGTAAACTGGAAAGCTTATTTTCGTGTATTTTGTTTTGCCCCTAATGGGCGTAAAGTCGGTGTCGGTACTCGGTGCTCGTTCTCGGACACCTTGGCCAACCGTATCATCGTTTGTTTCCCGCCAAACAAACTAAACACGTAACACGTTTTAAAGAAAACATCCTTATCCTATCTCAATCCAACCTTCACGACATTTCATCCCTTAAATCCGTTTTATTACTTTTATTATAATTATTATTAATTTTTAACGGCGTTTAAGAGCGTTATTTAACGGCTAAGGCTGCAACCAGCGTAAATAAAAAGTTGTGTCATAATTTGATGATCAGAACTTCATACTTAATCACTCATAATAATGAGATAATCAAACTAAAAATAAAAAAAAGCTTGTGCTACAAAATTGATTTGGGTCTACGAGTTGTTCTGAGGCTCTTTTTTAAATATTTTTTATCTGCTGCCTAGTTGCATATAATTCCCTCAGGTCCTTGGACCTACTATAGCATTAGGCTATTTGAAGATAGTAATTTTTTGTGCATTAAAACAGTTACAGACAAGTTTTTGAGCTAATCTCATGTGCTTGGAGAGTCTTTTGAACTGTTTGAAAAAATTATTATACTTGCACCTGTTAGATTTTTATTATTATGTGCGCATAGTCTGGCTAGCAGTTCGTGTTGAAAAGTAGTTGTAGTGCAGCCGAGGGCCGTTTGGTGCACAAAGTTAGGGAACCTTTATGTTCATGCCTATACGATTTCTTATCTTTGAGGTGTCCGTGAACATAGAAGAGCTCCAGGTTTATCTTCTTTTCCAATCATGTTGGTCTGACTATCCTCACCGGTTTGGTCTCTCTCATGCTTTTCACTAAATTCAGGGTCAGTTTGTATACAGTGCAGCCACAGACCCACTATTGAAGATGGTGAAAAGCCAAAATGATTCTTGACAGGCCAAATCAGCGAGCAGACAAGTAGTCGTTCCCAAACATACTAGAAACAGTATTTGGGTTTTATTGGGTATGTTCTCACTATTCAACTTTTGCCAATCGACTAAAGTTAAATAGTGAGAACGTGTCTTTTTAACACTGCTCAAGCCTTCGACAGGTGATTCTAAAAAAGCTTCATCCTACTAAAATTGTCCTTGTGCGCTATCCTTTCATCTCATGAGGGAAAATTCTAGGATCACTTTAAATGATTTATAGTACATATACATTCCTTCCTTTCAGAAACAACCCTGTTGACTTTTGCTGATCATAGTCCCTTTTCCTGCATAATGTCTTGTCACTGCCTTCAAAAATCTCCAGTTATTTGTTACTAAAGTATGTAGTAAAAAAAGAAAAAATGCAACGAATAGCTAACACATTCACTGTATATACATAATTTGCACACAAGAGTACTATGTCTACAACCACTAATGTTAATCTTCCTCATCGACTGAAACTTCAATGACCATTTAATGATATTGGTCAATAGTGAATTGGTGTGTAAAAAGGTGGTTTTAAGAAGTCATTTTTTGTTATTTAGTAGGCGGCCCTCCATTTGCTGTATTCTCCTCATGCTTTCTAGTTTTTCCCTTATATAATGTTCGTTTGTTTTTGTATAGTAATTAGTTCGTAGGGTTGTTCACAAGGCTGATGATTGTAATTAAACATTAATTAAAGTTTCAAGATTATTCATATACCAATAATTTGTCAGCCACAAAAAATTCTGTTCATATTTGTTCAATTATGTGCAGTTGAACAAGGGGTTTATTGTAATTATTAAGATATTGTAAGAAACAGTTATTAATATAAGCGTATTTTACATTTTAGATGTGAAAAAGGTACTGAAGAAAAACATACTATGCACATCATGCAACGGTTCGGTGAAAAACCTCATCACAAAAGGAAAACCAAAGTGTCACCCTTTTATGGATACGTTACTGTGTGATGTATGTATGCAATTTTGCTTTTTTGCTTCAAATATATCATATTTCTCAGGCTTTTGGAAGAGAAAATATATATGAAACCATATATTCTTCATTATCAGTACAATTCTGAAAGAATTCAATTTAGTAATGTTATTTAACGTATTTATTTTTAGTTTATTTTATTCTGGCTGCTTACCATTCCCCAAATGCAGCATAATTTAATTCAAATCTTCGTGAAACAAATGCTGATGTTAGAAAATAGAAAAAGTTTGAAATTCCAACAGATCAAATGGGATAAGAGAATTTGAAATATTAGGGGTAAAACTAATTATTTTGAACAATTCATTGCAATTATTTATGAATTATTTCAAAAATTGTATTTAAGTTGTATTTTAAATTGTTTGGTATACTTAACTAAGAAGAAGAAAAAGAAAAGTAATAATAGAAATTTCTTTCATTTTTCAGAAATGTTTCCAATTTTTTGGTGATGGAGAATTTTCTGTTGATGAAGACGGAAGTGACAAATATTGCCGGTGGTGTGGTCAAGGGGGTATGCTATACTTATGTTCCAAATGCACTGCTGGTTTTTGCAAGGTAAACATTGTTTAGCTTTTAAAAGTATACATGTATAAAACATCTCTTATTTCTTTCTAGAAATGCATAAAACGAAATCTACCAAGATCTGTGTTAAAGGAGGTGGACGACGACGATTGGGAGTGTTTCTGCTGCAATGTCAAACCTTTGTATGAATTGCGGGGATATTGTTGGGCAGCATTGCAATACACGAAACAGATGGAAAAAAATGTATGTTTATAAGCCTAAACAAAAATTGTTTGTAATGTTGATATTGTTTTACCTTTTGCCAGGGTGAAGGCACAAGCAATAAACGCAAGTTGAAGAATTCTAAGGACGATGATGACGATGATAGCGATGTTGCACCGACAAAGAAAATAAGAGTTAGTGATAGGACCAAAAAGAACAAGAACTTGAAAAACAAAGATGTGAGTGACAGTGAGGAGGAAAAAGTGGAGGAAAGTACAAATTCGAATGAGAAATCCAGTGAAAAAATTAGTAGAAAAGAAAAAAAGATGTTTAAAAAAGTCTCTGCTAAATTTGAAGCCGTTCTAAATGATGCTTTAACAATATCGTCTAAAGTTAAAACTAAGGTACTAGAGTGTAAGAAGTCCAACGACAGTTTCAAGTTACTCAAGGATGTCAAGTCTGTTGATAAAGCAACACATAGTGTGGTCAAAATGCTCGAAACGTTGGAAACTGTTTGTTCAGATATGAAAAAGGATTTTCAGGATTATGTGGAAATGTGGAAAAGAGATTTGGAAGAGTTGAGACAAATGGATACCGAACAGGAAGAAGAACAGAGTGTGAAAAACGGTCTGTCTAAAGATAACGATTTTAAAGATGATACTAACAATGAATCCAAGGAAGATAGCAAGGAGGAAGAAGACTTGAAGGAAGATGATTGCAAAGAAGAAAACACTGAAACAAAGGTAAACCATTAAACCGAAGTACCTTTTGTCTTTACAATAGACAATTTTTGTATTGCTGAATCTGGGGAATAGTTAAATTTGAAGTTTAGTTATTACTGATCATTGATAACCAACCAAACTAGAGGTCATCTTCCTGCACACCCTAAGGAGAAATCTTGAAATTTAAATCAAATCAGTTTTATCAAGCAACTGAAATAACATTATTTACAATCTATTCCTTAACAGATATTTGTATTATTGTGTGTTATAGAATATTTAATTTTTTTTCCAGAATGATACAATGTCAAACGACGAGGAAAGTAAGAATGACAATCCAGTTGATTCGAACGACATGGAAGTCGACCAAGAGGAGAATAATGAAACAAGTAAAGATGAAAACGAGAGTGAACACAAAGTGACAAATGACAGTTCGAGAACAGAAGATAATGATGATTCAGTCTATCAGAGTGACAAAGATGTATCAGAAGAAGAGTTAGCAGAGCGACAATTGAAATAGATGCTGTACACTAATTAATTTTAATTGTTTTATTTTTTTTTTTACAGACAGGTTCCATTTTTTAAACATCCAAATTATAATTTGTGTGAGAGAATGTGTTTAAATTTAAATTGAATGGGGTTTTGAAGTGAAACCAATTGAAAATAGTTTACTTAAATGAGAAGTGAAATATTGTATATACCACATATTCATATATAAAGCATTGTCATTATTTTAAATAAATTAGTACTTAGATTGTTTGTGCAAGCTGTCAAGAGACTTGTCAGTAGAACATTAAGTACTAATTTCTGTAAAATATATTTTCATTTTATTGTTTCCTTGGTCATTTTTCCTAAATATAAATAATGACGAATGAGTGAAGCCATGTCAGCAATTGACGAGGCACTTATACATAAAATATCCGTATAAGAATTGTATTTCCCTCTATATTGTGCACTTATCTAAAAGCTAGAATCCAACTAATAATGACTACATTTTTTAAAAGATATCTTATTTTTCCTAAAATATATTTTAAAAAGTAAATTCCAGTTTGTTTTGAAACTTGCTTTATTGATACTTGTCAATGTACATAAATCACTTATCTGGAATGAGTAGAATGAATGAATACCACAGTACAAATAAACCTGTTGGCCCGAACCAACAAAATAATTTAGCATTTTTTTGGTATGAAACCAATGAATTACCCCTTAGAGAGACATATCGAGTACTCATAATTTCACGATAAATTTTAAGATCATCTACAAACAAAAGAAATTAACAAAAAATTGGAAGGATCATTATTGTTAATACATAAAAGAAACAATTTTAACAACAGATTAATGAGAGTCTGTGGGATACCAGAAATTCAAAAGAAAGGAACGAAAGAATTTTTTTCAATTTGAAACCATCTTTAAAATAAATTTGAAACCATCCGTAAAGAACATCAAATATCTCATATTGGTTAAATTTTAAATAAAAGGTTAATCTTTACAGAATGAAAAGATTGATGCTCTCTCAGTAAACTCAACTAATTGCTGAAGAGTAGTTCAAGGAGAACTCATGTATTTCAATTTGAGATGGTGTTAAAAGTACTCGCTTCGAATTTTAGTAAATTGGTAAAAATGCATAATTTTTTTTTGATACATTATTCCATGTGATGAAACCACTTGTTCCTGCAACAGCATATACATGAAAAAATTAAATTCTGTCCTCGATTTTTTTTTTCAGTTCGGATTAGGGAGAAAAGCTCTGCACATTCACAAGATAGCTGAAAGTAGTGACATGGGATTACTTAATAATTTCTTCGTGGCCACGCAATAATCCGGTGTACATGCTGTTAAAATGCTTTATATTTAATATAATAACTTATGAAGTTGAATTAAAATATAAGCCATATCGTCTAAACTTTAAAAGTTGTATATTCACGTACTGCATTGGAAAGTCTCTACGGAAGAGAATAAACAATAAAGATAACTTTTCGTGTAATTACTCGTTTTCTCTTGAACAAACCACCAAAGAAGGAAGTCAATTTGTCATTTACGCAACTGTCATGACGTCATTTAGTCTTTGAAGTAAGTCGAAATGGTCAACAATTTGCGAACTTGCCCATATAGGTAAGGAACTGGAATAAGGACAAAACTGAAAGCTAATTAATCTTTAGTAAAGAATAATATGTAACGAATATACGTATTTGTTTTATATATTTTTTAGATTAAGCGACAAAAGAAAATCAAAATTAAAGTCAATTTTGTTTCGAATTGATTTGTTTCATGAATGAATTTTAGGTGTGTCGTAATTTGATGCTGATATATGACAACTCTGAGTTATTTTTTTTCTCTACAGCTTTTAGCGGTTTTGAAGTTATTTGACTGTCTTTATATAACTTTGCTCCATTTCGATACCCTTGGCAGTGTTATTCGAGTCTCCATGGCAAAGCGGAGTCTGACTATGCTACAGTACCTTAAATTATTTGTGTTTAGCGTTGTTTCTGTTGTCACTTGATAGTAGGAAAGTTTGTTTCAATCGGTTTTATTCTTTGTCCAGCATCCAACGACGATTTGTCGATATTAACCTGTGATCATGGTGAGAGCCGCTGCGTATTTCTCATACCGGGTTTCACCAACTAGACAATACCATAGATAGTCCGAAAAGATTGATTTAATATAGTTTTAAACTCGATTTGAACAATTTTCTTAAAATTATAGCTAAAGTTGATTGAAAATTGTTTTAATATATAGAGTCAGGTTTGGGTAGTGTTTAATGCCAAGTTAATTGACATTGCTTATAAAATGATGTTTTGTTGAAAAGTTTCCAGTGTAACAATGAAACTAATTTCTTTCTTTTTTTATAAAATACATGTTTAAGACCGGAAAGTCAACGAAACAAAGTTTTTTTTTGTCTTGTTTATTTTGCCAACCGTCTGAACGTGTTCCAATTTTTAGGTTAAAAAAGTGACAAAGCCCGTTGTTTCAAAGGAGGAAGAGGAATATCGTAAGGACAACTATTCAGGTAAATTGGAAAGCTTATTTTCGTGTATTTTGTTTTGCACCCCACTCGGTGCTCGTACTTGAACTTCCTTCTTAGCCAACCCTATCGTCGTGCGTTTCCCGCCAAACAAACTAAACACGTAACACGTTTTAAAGAAAACTGATCCTTATCCTATTTGAATCCAACCTTCACGACATTTCATCCCTGAAATCCGTTTTATTACTTTCAACGTACGTCGTTTTAACGGCCGCAACTTAATTACGCGGCTAAGTGAAAGGTCTCAGAATGCAAGGCACAGTTCGGATAATGGAGTACGGCACTATTGGGACGAAGAGAAAAAGAAACAGTCGTGTGTAAACAAACCCTCCCTAGTAGAAATAATGAATGATAAGAGTGAGTGAGGTGTTCAGTCCTTTTTAAAAAGATAGTTCCTACTCACAGTAAGTTGTTTCGCACGATCCGGATTTCGAGCCGTTTAGCTCATCATCAGGTTGAAGGAGTTCTTTTTGAAAATGATCAAACCATCCCTTTTCTGTCATATCAGATGTACTCGTTAACTCGTCATTAGTATCTCTCGTTCAGTTAGCAAATATGGATGTTTTAATAGATGACAAGGTGACAACAGAACGAGGTAACGTAGTATTGTAGACGGGTACCAACTAAAGAAGTGTGTGAAAAAATATGGTCTTGTGTGCTTTAGATGTATGAATCGTATGTGTAAATTCGCAGTTTTGACTGATGCGACTGATAATACGATCATTTCTGTCGTGAAAGAACATAACCATGCGCCGTTTGATGAACGAAAATTGGAATGCGCAAAATTACAAAACGCCTTGAAAAGGAAAGTGGCTGAAGACCATACGAAACCCAGTAAACTCATCAGGCGTGAACTACAGGAACATCGAACTTCTTCCTTAGAATATAGTGACATGCATCTCACCCGTAAGTCAATTTACGACGTATGAAGAAAACGTCCCGACTTTACCTAACTTACTTGATGATGCTTTATCACAGCTGTACGATATGTCGCAATCTGATGACCCAAAAATGCGCCACATGGAATCCTTTCATGACATCCCAATTTTCACAAATCAGGGAAATTGCTCGTATTGATTAGCACTATTGTAATTTTTTCAGACGGCATTTTTAGATTTGCTGCGAAGTGGTTTCGTCAACTTTATACAGTAGACACATTTAAAAATAATTTTTATGTGCCCATTGTATATGTGTTTCTTTCCTCCAACTCCGCTGAAGAGTATAGTCGAATGTGGTCTCGCATCACAGCTATTTGTCTTTCAGAGGTGGGCTTTGAGCTGTCAATTAACACTGCATTTCTAGATTTTGAAATTGCAGCTCACAACGCCATTAAACTGCGATTTCCCCATTGCATACTCCGCGGTTGCAATTTTCTCCTAGGCCAGTTGTGGTTTCACAAAATTCAGAAGGACAAAAGGCTACTGCAACACTATCGCAAAAACACCGCCGTTGGTAAGTGGGTCAAACTTTTTTTGGACTTAGTTTCTTAAGCCCAAACGATGTGTTCAATGCCTTCACGACTATAATGGCAACTGCTCCTAATGAAGGCATGACCTTCAGTTACAGATGTATTTTCCCCTCTCAAATGTGGGCAGCACCACCAGAACGTATGTGTCTTAGGACCACGAATGGTGCAGAAGCGTTTCACCACGACTTCCAACAAGCAATAAAATGTGCCGCACCCAAACATACACAATGTCATTGGAGTATTACATGAAATACAATCAGAAACGACATTGAAAATATGTAGCATTGAACGTGGTTCTTTCAGTGTCATCAGAGCCAATGATCAATAAATTTCATAATCGACTCATACAATGAATATCAACAGTCACGTGATATAATTGCTTTCCTAACAAAATCGGGTCAAAGAACTGCAACAACAATACAATAATAGTAATGTGTTACATTTCATGTTAGTCATTAACACCTAATATTTATCTGAGACCTTTTCTAGTTAATAATGTATTGTTTATATTACAAATGTCTATATTGCAATAAATTTCCAAATGTCCCAATTGTAGCTCCATTCACTAGTATTAGTGTTCCAATAGTGTTCACTTTTCGTCCCAGTCGTTATGTAAAACCAGTCATTTGTCCCAATCCTTCTGCAACGGTTTTAATAGCTAAGATCATTTCATGCCCTAACATCCAAATACTTTCTATCTTAGCTAAATCCCTTGTGAGTGCTATAAGGCTCTGACTCCAGACATTCACTCACAAACTAATCTATCCCATTGCCATCCAAAGCTTTAATTTATCCTTTTAAAATTCTTAATTTGGAAGGCCAAATGTATGCAAAAATCCCATTTTAAATTGCCCATAAAATTTATTCCTGTTTTTTAATTAGAATTTCAAATTTTTGTTTTTTATTATAATAATTATTTTTTAAGTAAATGTATAAATTAATTTTTAATGAGGATGGTTATTTTTGTGTGTGTAAAGTAATTAGAAAAAATAACATTTTAAACCGTCGGTGGCCGCAACAATTTTGGCGTTGACACAGCACTCGTCACTGTAAGGTAAAGGGGTCCAGGGTTCGAATGCAGGGTCACTAGATTCAAACCCAACATACTTACAAATGGGCTTTTTTTCTTCAAAAACACCTGCACCCTGGTGTTCATATAACCTTGTAGTGGAAATATCCCCCTTAAAAAAAAAGTTTGTAAGGAAAAAAAGTTAAAAGAAAACAGTACAATTATGTGTATCGTGTTAATTTTTGTGTGAGCATGTGTGCAATCATAATTTGATGATAAGGCAGAATAGCCAGTGACGCACTGTTAAATCACACTGTGAAGATTTGTACAAAAATACTTAAAGAAAAGCTTCATATGTTTCAAGGAGAGCTTTATTTAAGGAGAAAATTTATTTAAAAATGCTTCAATATTTGTATCACGCTGACTTGTTTTTATTTCCATCATATTGCGTTATCATAATTAGAAGATCAGATTTTATGATAATCAGTGACACACTGTTAAACAAATCTGTTTAAATGATCCATAAAATTTTTACACAAAAAAATGGAAAAGTTCAGGGCAGTTTCTAAGAAAGTTTTGAGAAAAAAGCTGCAATTATGTGTATAGTGCTGATTTTCTCATAATCTTTTTAATTTTTTTGTGCTTATTTTATACGATGGTGCCATCACAATTAGAAGATCAGGAATTTAGTCTGAGACACATTGTTAAAATACCATGTAAAATGTTCAACAAAAATTACACACACAAAACAAAAGGAATGGACAAGTGCTTGGTTGTTTCAAGCAAAGTTTCTAATAAATTTCAAAGATAAGATGATGCTACAATCATACGTACTGTGCTGATTTTCCCTTGATTTCTCAGAAAGAAATGTTATAATTTGAAGATTAGAACTTTATGAAAAAAAATCCCAGGCCCTGAAGATGATCTCAATAAAGATTGAAATGTTGGCACAATAAAGAAAATGTTTTTCTGAAACCTACATCACACCAGACCGCATCTCATGATTTCCAAATAATCGACTAACGGTCACTTATCACCACACATTTATGAAATAAAAGGAATGGAGATTTTTAAAAAGATTTTCTGAGAAATTTCAAGAAAAAGAGCAGTAATTATGTGTAATAGTACCAATGTCTTTTTGACAACAAGTTGTGTCATAATTTGATGATCAGAACTTCATACTTAATCACCCATAATAATGAGATAATCAGTGACCACCAGTTCATTTACACTTTTACGCTGATAGATTAGTCATATTAAAAAAAAAGTGTGCTACAAAATTGATTTGGGCCTACGAGTTGTTCTGAGGCTCTTTTTTTACACATTTTTTATTTGCTGCCTAGTTGCATCTAATTCCCTCATGTCCTCGGACCTACTATAACAGGCTATTTGAAGATAGCAATTTTTTGGACATTAAAACAGTTACAGGCAAGTTTTTGAGATAATCTTATATGCTTGGAGAGTCTTTTGAACCGTTTGAAAAAATTATTATAGTTGCACCTGTTAGATTTTTATTATGTGCGCATAGTCTTGCTAGCAGTTCGTGTTGAAAGGTAGTTGTAGTGCAGCCGAGGGCCGTTTGGTGCACAAAGTTAGGGAACCTTTATGTTCATGCCTATACCATTTCTTGTCTTTGAGGTGTCCGTGTACATAGAAGAGCTCCATGTTTATCTTCTTTTCCAATCGTGTTGGTCTGACTATCCTCACCGGTTTGGTCTCTCCCATGCTTTTCACTAAATTCAGGGTCAGTTTGTATACAGTGCAGCCACAGACCCACTTCTGAAGATGGCGAAAAGCCGAAATGATTCTTGACAGGCCAAACCAGCGAGGACAGGCATCTCATAAGGGAAAATTCTAGGATCACTGTAATGATGTATAGTGCATATACATTCCTTCCTTTCAGAAACAATCCTATTGACTTTTGCTGATCATAGTCCTCTTTTCCTGCATAATGTCTTGTCACTGCTTTCAGAAATCTCCAGTTACTAAACTATGTAGTAAAAAAAAAAAAAAAAAAAAAATTGCAACAAATAGCTAACACATTAACTGTACATACATAATTTGCACACAAGACTACTATCATCACAACCACTAATAATAATCCTCCTCATCACTGAAATTTCAATGATCATTTGATCATATTGGTGAATGGTGAATTGGTGTGTAAAAAGGTGGCTTTAAGAAGTCTTTTTTTGTTATTTAGAAGGCAGCTCTCCATTTGCTGTATTCCCTTATATAATGTTTTTCCCTTATATAATGTTTGTTTGTTTTTGTATAGTAATTAATTCTTAGGGTTGTTCACAAGGCTGATGATTGTAATTAAACATTAATTAATGTTTCAAGGCATTCATATACCAATAATTTGTCAGCCACAAAAAATTCTGTTCATATTTGTTCAATTATGTGCTGCTGAACAAGGGGTTTATTGTAATTATTAAGATATTGTAAGAAACTGTTATTAATATAAGCATATTTACATTTTAGATGTGAAAAAGGTACTGAAGAAAAACATACTATGCACATCATGCAACGGTTCGGTGAAAAACCTCATCACAAAAGGAAAACCCAAGTGTCACCCTTTTATGGATACGTTACTGTGTGATGTATGTATGCAATTTTGCTTTTTTGCTTCAAATATATCATATTTCTCAGGCTTTTGGAAGAGAAAATATATATGAAACCATTTATTCTTCATTATCAGTACAATTGCTGAAAGAATTCAATTTAGTAATGTTATTTAACGTATTTATTTCTAGTTTATTTTATTCGGGCTGCTTGCCATTCCCCAAATGCGGCGTAATTTAATTCAAATCTTCGTGAAACAAATGCTGATGTTAGAAAATAGAAAAAGTTTGAAATTCCAACAGATCAAATGGGATAAGAGAATTTAAAATATTAGGGGTAAAACTAATTATTTTCAACAGTTCATTGCAATTATTTATGAATTATTTAATTTGTATTTTAAATGGTTTGGTATACATAACTAAGAAGAAGAAAAAGAAAAGAAATAATAGAAATTTCTTTCATTTTTCAGAAATGTTTCCAATTTTTTGGCGATGGAGAATTTTCCGTTGATGAAGACGGAAGTGACAAATATTGCCGGTGGTGTGGTCAAGGGGGTATGCTTTACTTATGTTCCAAATGCACTGCTGGTTTTTGCAAGGTAACCATTGTTTAGCTTTTAAAAGTATACATGTATAAAACATCTCTTATTTCTTTCTAGAAATGCATAAAACGAAATCTACCAAGATCTGTGTTAAAGGAGGTGGACGACAACGATTGGGAGTGCTTCTGCTGCAACGTCAAACCTTTGTATGAATTGCGGGGATATTGTTGGGCAGCATTGCAATACACGAAACAGATGGAAAAAAATGTATGTCTATAAGCCTAAACAAAAATTGTTTGTAGTGTTGATATTGTGTTAATTTTTGCCAGGGTGAAGGCACAAGTAAAAAGCGCAAGTTGAAGAATTCTAAGGACGATGACGACGAAGATAGTGATGTTGCGCCTACAAAGAAATTAAGAGTTAGCGATAGGACCAAAAAGAACAAGAACTTGAAAAACAAAGATTTGAGTGACAGTGAGGAGGAAAAAATGGAGGAAAGTACAAATTTGAATGAGAAATCCAGTGAAAAAATTAGTAGAAAAGAAAAAAAGATGTTTAAAAAAGTCTCTGCTAAATTTGAAGCCGTTCTAAATGATGCTTTAACAATATCTTCTAAAGTTAAAACTAAGGTTCTAGAGTGTAAGAAGTCCAACAACAGTTTCAAGTTACTCAAGGATGTCAAGTCTGTTGATAAAGCAACACATAGCGTGGTCAAAATGCTCGAAACGTTGGAAACTGTTTGTTCAGATATGAAAAAGGATTTTCACGACTATGTGGAAATGTGGAAAAAAGACCTGGAAGAGTTGAGACAAATGGATACCGAACAGGAAGAAGAACAGAGTGTGAAAAACGGTCTGTCTAAAGATAACGATTTTAAAGATGATACTAANTAATATTCGTGTGAGAAAATGTGTTTAATTTTAAGTTAAATGGGGTTTTGAAGTGAAACCAATTGAAAATAGTTTACTTAAATGAGAAGTGAAATATTGTATATACCACATATTTATATACAAATGCATTGTTATTATTTTAAACTAATTAGTACTTAGATCGTTTGTGCAAGCTGTCAAGAGACTTGTGAATAGAACATTAAGTACTTCTTTATGTAAAATATATTTTCTTTTTATTGTTTTCTTCGTCATTTTTCCTAGTTGTAAATAATGACAAATAAATGAAACCATGTCAACAATTGACGAGGCACTTACACATAAAATATCAGTACAAGAATTGTATTTCTCTCTGTATATTGTGCACTTATCTAAAAGCTAGAATAACAACTGTAATTGACTACATTTTTTAAAAGATTTCTTATTCATCCTAAAATATATTTTAAAAAGTAGCAAAATTACAATTTGTTTTGAAACTTGTCATTGTACATAAATCACTTTATCTGGAATGAGTAGAATGAATGAATATCTCAGTACAAACAAACTTGCTGACCCGTACCAACAAAATAATTTACTAGCAACTAGGCTTAGAATTTTATTAGTAACCGCCCACCTTTCTGTACCTTTAAGTGCAGGCCTTTTTTTATGAACTTTTTTAATTGTGAAAATTGTTAAATTTTTAAATGGATAGAGAATCTACTGAATATACTTTATTTTAATTAAATGCCCAAGAAAAAAAGTAATATGGAGTGAAAAATAAAAAATAAAATATTTAGTAATTGTTTAATAGTAATATTAATTAATTGTTTAATAAATTAAATAAATATAAATAATAAGTTTTGACATTGTTTAAATTTCATTTCCTCGACTCTTGTTTTACAGGAGTTTTTTTGTTCATTTCCCTATATTTGTTGATGGCGTCAAAGACAAATTTTGTTGCGGTGTTCAGGCGATCTTCTGTTATGAAAGACCGGACACTTTCTCTGCTGAACCCATGGCCGAGGAAGGAAATGGTGCAGATTGGTGTGAAGGCGCAGACTGCAGTGGTGACAAGAGAGCCAACTAAGAAGAGCGAGAGAAAGCCGAGGGTCCAGAGGCCGAGTTTCCAGCCGAGTTTAAGACCGAGCTTGGAAAGCGGTGGCAGGATCGAGAGGACTCCGGCTGTCTTCAAGAAGTCTGAGAATGAGAATGGGGGCTCGCTTGGCACCAAGTATCCCTCGAAGCCAGACTGGACGCTGAAAGCATCACCTTCGTGTTCCCACTTCGTATAGCTGGGGTTGTTGAAGCCATGTCCCGCTGGAGCATGTGCCACCTGTGTGGCCACTGGGTACGGAGCTGAGTAACTACTGCCCAAACTGTTACCAGTTACTTCTTGTGAGTAAGATGCATCTCCAATGCACAAAGCAATTAATCCAAGAAGGACGAATGCAACTTTTGCAGAATCCTGAAACAATAATTCTTTACTAGATAGACAATATACAGAACATTTTGACTGGCAGACTAAAGTCCAGTGTTTCAAAATTGTGAATAATTGTATTAAAAAAAAAATAAATAAATAAAACAATTATTATTCAGAAACATTTTCTATTAGTATATCTCTCCATAGTTTGGTAAAACGACTTCTGTGAGATGACAAATCAATATTGTCAGGGTATTCTTACAGGCTTTGCGTGCCATATTTTTCAGCATTTCTAGATACAGACTTACGAACCGAAAACATAAACATTTAGAAATGTATCGGACGACAAAACCAGCAAGAATCGGCAGATCAGGATGATCGGAGTAGATGAAAATGTACTGACTCTTTGATTACAACTATGATTCATTTATCTATTAGAGGAAAATATAAAAATTAACTTGGTAACAAGATCAAGGTGAATCATAAAAATTCATAACACCATAAAGATAAAGTTAACGTGAGCTAAGGCGCAAATATTTTTTCTTTAAAATTTTTTAAGTTAAATTTCTATTAAATATTTAGTTTGTTATAAGAAAAGTTATTTCAACCACTGAGTTTTTTCAGTAAGAATACTAAACCATTGGGCATACTTCAATTACAAGTTTTAAAAAAATTAGAAGCTGTTGAACAAAAATGCACCACCCTTAAATTTTAATATATTTAGGTTTATTTATATTTTGCGTACCAAAAATAGGTTTGGTTATTGAAAACCATATATTATAAAAAAAGCTTATTATCTAATTCTAAAAGAACAATTATTTAGTATTGTTAAACGCCTTTGCATTCATTGGAAAAGATTGCTGATAAAATCCTGAGAAATTCTTTCCCTTCATCAAGATCAGCCGTGTTGAACTTTTCTAAGGTGTTAGGACATCGGTTTCACCAACGTACTCGTCACTTACGTTGGTCCCGATTGTGTTCGAATTTGAACTTCTAGCTGTCCACACCAAGCACTATTCCAGCCTCATTCAGGCAGTCATTCACAATGCATGCTGTATAGGGCCTGGTATTATCCTAGAATAGATGAATCTCTCACCGATGTGGGGGCAAATAGCTCTACCTATTCTTCAATTATGCCACACCTTCCTTGCACAACAAACAATTTGGTGAGAGCATCCACGGAAAAGCCATCCCCAGAACATCAATGACCCACCATGGTACCACCTGAGGAACCATACAACATGGGTGAATTTTTCTCCTGAGCATCTCCATATGAAATTATGCCCATCTGAAGATTTGAAGCCAACTCTCACTTCATCTATAAAGAAAAATCGTCCCCATTTTTTCAACGTCCAATTTACCATGTGAATTGAAGCATGGCAATTTTCTGAGGTGTGGCAAGAAAATGTCCACGAGCTGGGTTCCAGGCCCTGAGCCTTCTTCTTACAGTCCTGGAGGAAGTCGAAATATTTCGGACATGTCTTATAAAATTTCTCATTTCCCATAGTGCTGTGGTTTTATAGAGCCTGATGACGGATGAATGTAGACCTACTGTTCTTGCTTTCTAGTTTGAAGAACCCAACCCATTGTAGAGTGATTTGCACTCTGCCTCCTTCGAGCTGGCTGTATTCTTCTCTAATAATGTTATGACCCTGGCACTGTCTGTGATACTCAAGTGGCTGACTGGAGCTAAGGAAAAAGTGCTACTTTTTGTGCAAATGAGATTGATTACAAAAGTAAACATAATTATTTATGATTTTTGGACTATGATAGCTCTTAATTACCTGTAACTAATGTAGGAAGATAATGGATTTAATTTTAAATTAAATTGACTGGTACGTTAAATTTGTCCTTCAATGTATACAAAAATGTTTTAAGTTTAGAATATTGACGATCTTTAAAACAGTTATGCCTCTGTTCAAAATGACTGACATTATCCAAAAAAGGTGCGAGGTAAGTTTTTCTTACAAAACGATCTTAGCACTCGAGTTCTTCGCACTTTCTAAGAAAAGGGACGTTAAACAAAAGTTTGAGCTGGAGTACTTACCATTTTTCCCGTCTTGTACTTCGTACTGAGCAACGAATGTGACTGATGGGGGTTTCTACCCTTGTGGGGCTTATATAGGGAAAATATAACGGTAAACTTTAAATATAGGACATTTTTCTCAATTATTTTTGTACATCCCAAATTTTCACCTCGATTTGCTCGGACAAGACCAAAATAACTACTGGTAATATTGGAAGGGCTTGTAAGAATTTTTTTGATCACAGTGGTGCTTTGTAACAGACAAATCAACGTCCGAATTGAAAATACAATAATCCTTGGATTAGTACATCTTTTAAACAAAATGAAATATAAAATAATATACACAAAAATACGTTAGTACATTAAGAAAGATTTTTGATGGTGAAAATCGAAATGTAGAAAAAACAACCGAAAGAAAAAATCCAAGCACAAGAAGCAACCACATCTCATGGAAAACAGAAGTATCAGACAACTATCTACTAAAACTTAAGTTTTTTTATTTCTGAGCCGATTTGCAAATACGTTGAACAGGAATATCAAAGACTATTATTGTTAATTTCAGTTTTATTTTTAGATAAAAAAGAGAAGAAGTAAGCCTCATATTTTATCAATCTTGTGCGTATGCTTGGCTATTTCCGTATAATTTTTAATTGGGACTCAATTCACATTTTTTTAATCAATGCACAATTTTAAATTTGTCCACTGTTCCATTGACGGAATCGTAACTACTATAAAATTATTTTAACATGTCCCTTCCGCACAAATTCCGTAATATAATTCAGATATTTACGCATGATTTTTCTCCGTTTTCCATTTCTTCTAGTCTTTTATCTATGACAACCAAACGAATTTTCCTTGCTTTACAAAATAAACTTGATTTAGTTATATAAAAAAAAATTGCATTGACATTTCTCATCAGTGTCAGAAGCGTCAGGACTCCCACTATTGCCAGTCGGCCAATTTATTGATCATGTTCTAAAAATAGTTAGAACATTTTAACGCAAAACATCTCAATTTCAAATAGGCTCGATAGTTTGTGCAATAGGAGCTTAATAGGGTTTCAATAATGATTTGTTGACGAATGATAAAAATACTGACAGTGACACACTGCTGATTGATACTGTTTAAAATCCTAAAATCCCTACGAAAATGTAAGTGCGAAGTGTTAAAGAAAAAATATTTGTGAGTAGTGAGGAAGTTTGGCGGGACAATATGCCTATCTACTCTGAGATAAATGGCGATACATTGTGTAAAGTTTCGTTTTCTTAAAAATCCTTATACATAAAAAAGTAATGATCGAGTGATCGAAAGTTTCAAGGATAGTTTCTGAGATAGTTTGAGGAATAAAAGATGCGATTTGAGTATCGTGCTGATTTTGTTTTCTGTGTATGCACGTATGTTCTTAGAAAAAAAGCTTGAATGTTTCAAGGAGAGTTTCTGAGAAAGTTTGAGAAATAAAAGCTGCGATTTGCGTATCGTGCTGATTTTGTTTTCTGTGTATGCACGTATGTTCTTAGAAAAAAAAAAACTTGAATTTTTCAAGGAGAGTGTCTGAGAATGTTTGAGGAATAAAAACTGCGATTTGAGTATCATACTGATTTTTTTTCCTGTGTTTGCACATACGTTCGTACGGTATGTTTGTAAGAAAGTTTACAGAAAAAAAGCTGCTATTTGTGAATTGTTTTTCTTAGTCAGTTGCTTGAGTTTCAAGGAGTTTCTAAGAGATTTTAATGATAAAAGCTACAATTATGTGTATCGTGCATACAATATTGTATAAGTATTCAAGAAAAATTTCTTTATAAAAAAGGAATGGACAAGTATTTGGAGAGTGCTTTTGTGACAAGAGCTTTATAAGATTTATTGAAAATGCGTCAATATTTGTATCGTGCTGACTTGTTTTTTTTCATCATATTGTTTTATCATAATTCAAAAAATAGAAGATCAGATTTTATGATAATCAGTGACACTCTGGTAAACAATGCCGTGTAAAATGATCCACAAAATTTTTACAAAAAAAAGGAAAAGTTTGGAAGTTTCAGGGCAGTTCCTAAGAAAGTTTCGAGAAAAAAAGCAACAATTCTATGTATTGTGCTGATTTTTTCTCTTTATCTTTTTAATTTTTTGTGCTCAATTTATACGATAGTGCCATCACAATTAGATGAGGAATTTACTAAATCTGTGATACATTGTTAAAATACCTTGTAAAATGTTCAACAAAAATTATACCACACACAAAACAAAAGGAATGGACAAGTGCTTGGTTGTTTCAAGCAAAGTTTCTATTAAAGTTTAAAGATAAGATGATACTACAATCATGTGTATTGTGCTGATTTTCCTCTCATCTTTTTATTTTTTTGTGCTGATTTTATACGATAGTGCCATCACAATTAGAAAATCAGGAATTTACTAAATCTGTGACACATAAAATGTTCAACAAAATATATATACGTTTTTCCGAAAATTGTATTAAAACAGATTTTGGAGAAAGTCGGGGGGGTGGTTGAAATTTTCTACCAGGCTGCATGTTTGGGATTCTCACTTTCTAATAACGGTGTTCCAAAACTAATGCACCAGATAATTAGCCAAATCCAGCCCATTTTAATGAACATTGTGATAATAAAACAACTTCCAGTGGTACGACTTTTCGTATTAAAACAGGGTTCAATTAAATATAGAAAAATATGTGTTAAAAGCGGCCTTATAAATTCTCGTGTGTATGAGATGTGAAAGGTTTTTTAAATTGTTTTTTCCCAGCTTACTTTGATTAATGATTTTGAACCGTCTTGTCTTTGGTTTAATTCATTTTATACATAAAATACACAACAGAAAAGTGTCTGTGCCGAATAATCTTTGCCGTGAAAGTTTTGGGTTCCAATCATATGTTACCGCTATAGATGAAATTGATAATTCTGGATTTCCTTTTTGAGTCATTTTCCTAAAAGTGGCCATGGAAAATTTTGCACCGAGTTAGAAGCTAATGCCAAGACCGTATTTGAATTGGGAACAGCTTGCATATGAAAGCAGAGTCTAAACGCCACCGCCTCTTTTGAAGGATCTTGTTAGTAATAAATAATTCCGTCTCTAGCCTCGTCTCTATATTTAATTCAAGACGTTTCGATCCTGTCGCGATTCCTCGACTTTCGAGGCAGAAACTCTTAAAATGTCTAATCTAACAGAGATGAAAAACACGACGGAGCAGGAAACGGCCAACTTGGTGCCGGAAATTTACAAAATCACCATCGAAGACTCCAATTGGATCATGACAGCAGCTTTTATCATATTCACCATGCAGACTGGTAACGAAAAACCCGTCTATGGTCTATATAAAAATGTCTACCCACCAAGGTCAAAAATACATGCCATTATCAATTTTTAGTATATTTATTTCCAATGTGTGGCGTTTATCTATTTCCAATAATGACGTAGTGGATGGATTGTTATGAATTAATCGAGTTTTTTATTACTAGGTTGATATACTATCTATGATGCCTCTCTATAATATTAAAATCTTAAGTATAAAAGCAATTTGAGTCTGATACGCATAAAATCAATTTTCGATGTTGCCCGGTTGGACTCAATGCATATAAACACAAATCATTTCAATCTGGGACCTTGCACATAACTTTTATTACACATTTATTTCCAATAATGACGTAGTAGGTGGATTGTTATGGATTAATCGAGTTTTTTATTACTAAGTTGATATTCTATCTATGATGCTTCTCCATAATATTAAGATTTTAAGTATAAAAGCAATTTGAGTCTGATACGCTTAAAATCAATTTTCGATGTTGTCTGGTTGGACTCAATGCATATATACAAAAATCATTTCAATCTGGGACCTTACGCATAACTTTTATTGTCGAATCTTTCACATTTTGTCTATTGGAGGTCCGTCATTCTAATTTGGCTTCATCGGGTTTTAGGTTTTGGGATGCTCGAGTCGGGTTGTGTATCTCGAAAGAACGAGATGAACATCATGATGAAGAACATCGCCGACATCTTTCTAGGCGGGGTGACCTACTGGGCTTTCGGCTATGGTTTGTCCTTCGGCACCACTTGGACCTGCCCTTTCTTCGCAGTAGGCGAATTCTTCGTTGACGCCACGCCGAACGACGAGACAATGGGGCCGAAGTTTACTGCCTTTCTTTTCCAGCTATCTTTCGCCACGACGGCGACTACTATCGTCTCAGGCGCTATGGCAGAAAGGTAAGGACATATAGAAACTATCAGAGACGATTGCTTAAAATATTGTCTCTATGAAAACGAAAAAGATATCATAGGAGTCTTAGACCACTTCTCAATTATTATACGTTCAATTAATGAAAGGAATTCTAAAGAGAACACTGGGATTCGAACCCAGAACCGGTAAGAATCACGGAAAATAACTGATTGTATATTAGATAGATGGAATAGGGATAAATGAGGCGGCCTCAAAGCCTTCTGCACCTCGACCTGAGTAGATTTATTGTGCTCTTCTATTTTTAATAACTAACTGGCCAGCTTCAGGTTCCACAGCCTAGCCAGCGGCTCCTTACTGTTGGGTCTTGCTTGCGGCTTTTGCTCTCCTGGTTTGCAAGAACCTACACTTCGTAGATCCTCAGAAAAATATATGATGTGTTCTGCGGTTTCCTCTTCTTCCTGGTAGTATCATCATAATGTTTCTTCGGTCAGTACTCATATCCGGTGCATAGGCCTTCTTAGGCGGCCGTGCCCTGTCAAAAGTTCAACCAGAATCTTGGTTCTGTTGCGGCGACTTTCCGTTAATGCTTATGTAATCTTGCGGTGGCCCTTTTATGAATCTTTTCACGTGTCTCATGAATTGTTTCACCAGGTTTTGGCTTCTTAAGTATATTAGTAGTCTTAGTAAGTAGTCTTAAGTATCCATTTTTGTGGCCAGGTGCTGGGCTACAGTAGTGTTCGGCGTACAGAGAATTCACATTGGCTCTTTTTCTGGCTAACATGTCTACTTTTTCATTGTGAACCTCAACCAGGACTCAGTCACTCCCAGGACTCCAGCTCCCGTCCTTCTATCCGTTTTTGAGCTGTCTCTATACGAGTATGAATTGGCCTCATAATTTATGAACCATCGATTGTTTTATTTCTTACACAGAAACAAGAACTATCATCTAACGTGTCATCAATTCTAATAGATGTCCTGGAAGATTTTAGTTTCTTTAAACAAGTATTCTTCTCAGTGGAAGATCAATAGCTCAAGAGCGGTTTTCCCAGGTACTATAACATTTTCCTAGCTCTGCAGGGCAGTTGCATAGAATGTGTTCAGTTCTTAGTATGTATATCTGCCCCTTCGTAATTCCCTCATGATCCAAGATTCAAGTTTTTTAGGATATTTAAGCAGTTACAGACAAGTTTTGAGATGATCTCGCCGGCTTGGAAACCCTTTAGAGCTGTCTGGCAGTCTGAAGAATTATTTGATTTAATTTAATTCATTTGCACATGTTTCTATGACTAGCAGTTCGGCTTGAAATATAGTTGTGGCGAGGCCGAGGGCCATGTGGTGCTCAAAATCCATAAACCATAGTCTAAGAGCTCCACATTTATCTTCTCTTTCCAATCTTGTACGTCGGCCTTTCTACTGGTTTGGTCTGTCTAGAGTCCCCTTTTTAACCCTTTTTGCCATCTTCAGTACAGGGTCCTGTATAGACAACGTAGTAGTCACAGACGCACCACAGAAACCAGAAACAAACCAAATCAGTGGGGACCAGCAGGCCAACATGGTCGGAAACGACCATACTAAAAGCAGTATTTGGGTTTAAGGCGCGTCCGTATACCATAGAAGATAAGTCCAGGGAGATATATTCTTGATTGATCTTTCGCTGCAGTTTTATTGGTGCAAAAATTCACAATTGTAGATTATGTTCTGGATTTTTGGCTTCTAGGTGCAACTTCAAAGCGTACTGCTTATTCTCTTTTCTTAATACGATAGTCTACTGCATACCAGCGGGTTGGGTGTGGGGCAGTCACGGCTTTTTGAAGAATATGGGCGTGGTGGACATCGCCGGCAGCGGACCTGTGCACTTAGTCGGCGGAGCTTCCGGTGACGAATCATACATTATTTCTTTTTGATTTTTTAGGTGATTCATAAATTCAATTGTTTATTAGCCTTGGCATCTGCTTTTCTGCTAGGACCTCGTTTGGGTCGATACGATATGGGAGAAACGCCTCTTCCTTTAGGGACACCGGTCAACTGCGCCATGGGCCTTTTCGTCCTCTGGTGGGGTTGGTTAGCATTCAATAGCGGAAGGTTAGCAGCAATCAGCAATTTATCATGCTTGGGATAAGAAGCTAACTTTTTTAAGCACTTACGGCGTATCGGGGGCAAAATGGGCCTACTCCGCTAAAGCAGCAGTGATGACTATGATATCGTCTTTCGGAGGTGGGATTTTCGGCCTTTCGTACACCATGTACAAGAATAACGGATATGCCAATATACTCCACGTGATAAACAGCGTTTTGGGCTCACTCGTCGCCGTCACAGGTAAGGGTGATGAACAAATCCTATTAAAACTTCAATTACTAATCAAAATTTTTAATTTTACAGCCGGATGTTTTTTGTACAGTGCTTGGTACTCACTTGCGATTGGATTCATCGGGGGTATGTTAACGACCTTAACCACCCCTCTGTTCGACATAATTAAAGTCGACGATCCTGTCGGAGCTTGTGCCGTGCACGGTGTGTAAACAAAGTATAATTTCTTTTATCGGAGGCGACTTTATAAAATACGGTTTTTCCAGGGGTTTCAGGAATCTGGGGAGTTTTGGCCGTTGGGCTTTTCGCCGATGATCCCTTACCTTTATGCACTACCAACGGACGCAAAGGGCTGTTCATAAGTATCAATGTGTTTCTTAAAAAAAATCGTTATATAGTTTTAACCTATCGTGACGTGACAAATTACATTTTTTCCAGGCGGTGATCCTTATTTGCTTGGAGTCCAGGCCTTATCGGTTCTATGCCTAGGAAGCTATAGTTTCATCGTAACATACATTATCCTTTCAGTGCGTTGAATTTATTTTTAGTAATTTTAGCATTATTGGTAAACACATTTTTACTTTCAGACTGTAAACAAATTGATACCTATACGAATGTCAATGCATGAGGAATTATTAGGAGCCGATTTGTCGGAGCACTTAATCAAGTAAGAAAATTGTGAGATATTGAGGTGTGATGAATCCTTTCGTGAACGTTGGTAATCATCCATCGTGATCTACCACTGTTGATGTCGAAAAGTCGAAACTTGCCTGACAGACCAAAATTAAATTAGTTATTAATTTAAACAACCGAGCAATTATTTTATGGAAATGTTTGTTTTTAGGCACAAGGGGGTCGGTGTTTCACGCGCCGTGTCGGCTTTGATTTCCGTCGGAGAACATCCACTCGACATGACCGATATCATGACGATCGGGAGCAACCCAGGTATGCTTAACTTGGTATTATTGGTTGGACCTTTTAAATTGAAAATTGTTGCGATTTTGTAGGGCACGAGCTCTTCCTGAGGCAATTTGTCGAAGAGAAGAACGGCATGAAACAGGGGAAAATCTTCGGGAAAGTCTTGTCGATGTTCAACGGGACGAAAGTTGGAGACACACCCCAAAATTTGGCCTGGATCAATTGAGATGCCATTGTAATAAGTAGATAAAGCAACGTGCAATATTTTCCTATATTCATCCATATAATTTTAGAACGTGCAATTTATTACAAACAAATAAAAAAACACAATCACACTGGAACGCCGTTGTTATTTTTTAAATGTAAGTAATTTCTTGGCATTATCTGTTTGCGAAATAAAGTTTTATGATGTTGGAAATGTATAATAAAAACAAGAAAGAGTACAATTTAAGAATTGTATTCAAGTACTTCAGTAAGTATTCAAGTGATTAAATTCAATTGTACAAAGGTAAGAATACAATATTGAATCATACCATCAGTACTTTAATTACGGTAGTACGCGAATTCTCTTCTTCTCAAAAGTCGATGGAGGATCATTCAGGAACAAAGCGGACAATATCGGGCCCAAGAAGCAACCCTGCCAAACTCCAAATTTCACCTCAAACCGATATTCCTTCTTGATCTCGTACACAGGAAGATATCACCGAAAATGATTTCAAAACATTTATCAACTTAAACGAAAAACCAAAATTACCAAGACAAGAAAATATTTTTTAATAAGAGATCGTCCGAGAGGCTCTTGCTAGTCAAGAGCACGACCTATAGATGGCACCCCGAAAACCTGAGCCGGAAACGAAGATTAGTTCTTACCAGATTATGCATAGGCCATATGCGGTTGAGACACTGGCACCTGCTTCTTATGCAGAGAAAGGTTGCTCGATGCTACATGAGCTTGTCATGCTTTGGCTCCTTATAGAGATCATGCCGACGAATTTAAGAATGATTCCCGGCCACGGTAGTGAGTTTCTGGGTCCCCTGTTCCACTTTTTGGAGGACGTGGTTTTTCACCGACAACCATCTCCCCTCCAGGAGTGTGTGCGCTTAGGGTCGATGACGGAATGTTTATAAAAGTACCTCATCGACCTTAGATTAAATAGTTAATATCGTGCTTAGGTCGAGGAATAATATAGCGTATTTTACCGACTAATCAGAATATGTGCAGTGTACATAGTTGTGAATGTATTTATTTGTGCGACTGTATTATAAAAGTTAGTTAGTTTTAGGCTAGATTATATTGTGCATGCGTTGGGTGTTGAAATGACCTAACTATCGAAAAACCCCGTTGGGGCCAAATTCTATGGTTGGGAAGTGACTCCGGGGCATACTACTAGCGATCCAGCCGCATAACGGGTACGTGAACGCCCCTGAAGTACAGACCCCCAGGGCACATCGGGGAGTGACAACCCTTCGGGGTGAAAGTCTAACAATAACATTGAGCAGTTCATTGAAGGAAAATGGAGTTAATGCGGAATGATTTATTAATGTTACAATATTTACATACTTACAAATTTAAACAAAAGTTTATATTTAAAAAACATTCTTACCCTGACAATACCTTGACACAATCGCATTTAAACACAATATAAAATTCTTAAAAATAACGCCATTAAATGTGTCAACACTTTGATCATTGCCGACCATTTTGTTTGTACATTTGATTAAGCGTTACACTTTCACAAAATTTAATTAATTTTGTATGGGACAATTGTTAACATTTTAGACGATTTGTTTAACACTGTAAAGTTTGAGATCAGTTCGATGCATTAAGAAATTGTTTTCCTTCCCTAGGAACACAATTTATTGATCATTTGGTAGAAATATGATGGTAAAGCAGTGATGCATAATCAAAATAATAAATCACGTTATTATAGTTAATACTGAACGATATTGAGAAGGTTTTTAGGTCAGCCACTTCTGCTACACGCTTGTCCATAATTTATTATAGATTTATGTATTTATTATTGGCAATAATAAGACTAGGCTTCTTTGCCATCGTGGTTCGAAGCAAGGAATTTTTCCATTCTCTCCTGGTACTCTTTTCGACTCTCTGGGAGCGGGAGGCCGTTTTCACCCTGGCCAACGACGTAGAATTTTTTGATGATCTTGTTGCCGACAACGTCCTTCGCAAGGACGGATGACTTCTGCAGCCTGTACAGCTCTTTCATGACGTTTGTGTAGTTTGTGACTTTGTTCTCTGTATCTTTGTGGTTGGGGAGTATGTCTGGTCGGTGTGGCTCGTTGCCTCCGACGCCCTCAGTCCGCACCGGCAGGATGGGCCTTTTCTGGTAACTATTCTTGACGCCTTTCCACGCAATCTTGATCGACACGGCCGAGACGAGAAACTCCATTATCGCCGTTAGGATCATGTGTATGTGTAATTCTTTCAATACGGGCACATCCTCGTTTTCGTCCAGTGGTTGCCTCGAAGGCTCGGTACCGTTCGACTCTCGGACCCTGATCGGGCCCAATCTGAGAAAATAAACCGTCTGAAGGGACGGGCACACGAGACAGTAGATTGTCAGAGAGATGGTGAACACCGCGGCGACTATGGAGACTAAAGAAGCAGCAAAAAACCATCTGACGTACCGGTCCACGTACCACCTTTTCCAAGCGAACATCCCAGTGATGCCGCTGAGGAGGGAGCCGGTGACCAGCGTCGCTCCACCCACCAAATCACCTGAAATTAAAGGATTTTTCGTTGAACAAGCGATGAACAAGTTCATAGGTTTTCATTTACATCTGCAACTTTATTTACAATAAGTAAATTTAATAAATTGTTTAATACATTGGTGACTCCTCAAACTGCACCTCTCTGAAGCAAATCGCTAGGCCATTGCATTTTCTGCTGACTTGGAGGATTTTCAGTTAGGTAGGGTTAGTGTGAAAAGTTGTTGGAAGAGGGGGTTTAGGTGCACCGAAAGGTATTGTAGAATTTCTGATACAAATTCTCACAAGGACATGAACGAATGGAAATATAGAGGTCAGTTGTGGGTGGTTTTATTGGAGAAGTAGGAGTATTAAGGCTTTAGGACTTTGGATTGGAGAAACTGGAAACGAATGGATTGAATGTTTGGTTAAGCTCCCAATTTCCACTCCGGAGGTCCATATCGGACGAAAGAGTATTTTGAAAAGGGTAATTTTGTTGTTAATTTTTAGGTGGGATCTTGGTCGAGCAGTTTCAGCAAGAGTTTGTAACGGCTGTTCGTGTCTTGTCGAGTATGGATTCCACGTCAGTCTTTTATCAAGGTACAGTCCGAGGTATCGTACCTTGTAAACAGTCGTTATCAGTACGTAATTCAGTCGTAATGGGTCCGCAGTGCCTTTCTTAGTGGTACAGTGACTTGAACACATTTGTTTTCCTTCAGTTGGATTATCCGTTTGCGGTACCAGTCTTCAAATTGGGTGAGGTGACTTTGCAGAAGGACTGCTTTGGACCATTTTGGACTGCTTATTTTTTTCCTTTCAGTCTGTCAGACTCGTTCGGCTTTTGGATTATCAAGGGGTAATCACAGACAGTGCGAAATCAAAATTGGCATAGTAAATTACTGGGTATTTAATAATTTTTGGCGATAAAAAGTCATAGTGTCGACCATCCTGAAATAATAATTATAACAATGGCAACACTTAACCTGACTTTTGGTAAGTCCTGATTTTTAAATTAACCAAGAGAATTGAAGGTTTTATATATATATATATATATATAATCTAATTTTATATCTTTTTATTTACCTGTATTTGACAAAATGGCACATGAAAGAGCTACGCCTAAGCCGCTGAGGAAGAGATGGATCACTGCGAGTCCTCCAGCCGTCGAAGAGGAATAAGCCCTTTCCGACGGGTATTTTTGACTAGGGTCTGGACGGGTCTTCACGTGGACGGTGTAGATTTCCTCAGTGCCACCTGAAAAACAAATCTTCATTCATTCATTGAAATACAAAAATACAATCTGAGAGGTGTTAAACTTATCGATTATCGCTTGTAAAACGCGGACGAGGCGGTTAAAAGGCCGGGACGTCCCAATATACGGACATAACCACTGCGATCCGGCCCAAAAATGCAATAAAAACACTATTAAAAGACGGTGGCAGCATCTGTGGGCCGGATCTCTGGACAAGCTCTCACGTATCAAGAGCTCAGACGATAGGTGGCCCTCGGAGGATCTGAATAGTAGAAAACGGGTCATCCTCACCGATTAAGAATAGATCACGCTTTGACACATGGACAGTTACTTTTGGGCCAAAGCGTGTGCCCGGCATGTAAAGAGGTTGCTGAGACCTGAGAAAGGTTGCTTGATGTTTTCCACCTAGTTGAAGGGTGCCATTCCTTCGTTCCATATAGAGAGCGTGTAAGAATGCTATCCGATAAGAGACTCGTGATTGAGCAAGGGTAAAGGGTGATGGCGGAATATCGAGGTCTGACCCCGGACTGCCAATACCCAGGGTGGGTGATTTTCGAGGCCTGTCGGTAATTTAATGTAAATTAAAAAAGCTGGAATTGTGGGCTGCGAGAATTGTAGGCTCAACTCTGTGCAAGTGCAGATTTGAACTTATATAAATTAGTAATTACTGATCAGTATTTATTATTATTATTATTATCAATCAGTCGAAAGTCGTGGGTTCAAATCCCGCTCGTGACACTAACTTTTTCATTTCAGCCGCAATCTTACATAAAAGGTTAATTAATTGAAAGAAATAATTTGGTCAATCAGACCACTAAATATAATGAATTATTATCAATTAATAACCAGCAAAAATACTCAATAATCAGTAATTATCGCTTGTCTCCTTACAACTGAATTATCGAATTGGTTTATACTAATGTGCTAATCAAATTTATTTTTCCTAACGTGATAATATCCACAAATTATATGGAATTTAGAAATTACATTCAAATATTATTTCCAACACGAAAATCCCGTCAAAAAGGGGTTATAATAATCGAAATAAACAGTATTAATATCTGGTGACCCTGAAGGTTCATTTCCGCCGAATGTCTTTGCAAAATGGCGACTGCCCTTTAATTTTTAACAAACAATTAATAAAAATAATTAACTAATAACAACTGTAAATAAGTAATATATTTTTTTTAAGCAAGTGATATTATTTTAGCATCAATACTGTTTAAAATTTGCTGTTTTGTTTTTTGAGAGGCAAGGTATTCCAGAGGCTTATGAATATTTTTCTCTTCATTATTGGAACAATTGTTTAGTAATTTTTAAAATTTTTTATTTTCTACATATAAGTTTTATTTATATTAGGCCAACATTCATGGATAATTGGCTCATATCTTTCATCTTTGTTGTTTTGAAATTCTATCTTAATTTTCTTTTTTATACTGTAAAGCGAGAGCAGTGAAACTGAGAAAAGTGAGCAGCTATAAAATAGTATTTAAAGTAAAAAAAAATAAAAAACAAAAACTGAAACGACTCGCATTTCAAAGAAAGTCGACGAAGAAAGTTGAGTCCTAATCTGTTAAGCAATTCAGCTTAGAAAAACGCTAAAACAAAAAATTAATTAATGTTAAATTGTTTTAATATATTGATTGAGAATTAGAATTAAAATTCCTTTCGATTTCAACCTTTTAAAAGTCCATCTAGTCGGATTCCTGGACTAGAAATCCGTCGACATCCTCCCGAACGATTCCACTACTCTGGATCATTTGTGGTTTCGTAATTTCGAATTTAAAGGATTAGAAAGTGCGTCAATCTTGATGCTTCTTGTCAAAAAAGCACGGCCGGCTCATTGAGATACGGAATAATGTCTTAGGAAGTGGACTGTTCTCTGTCCTTGACAACAGGAGCCTATTCTGGAGCGTGCGAGGGTCACCTAGGTCAAGGAGGTCTGCACACTTTCTTTCCTACGCAGCTGTATCTGTCGACACAGGAATGCAGAACACGCAAAGATATGTGAAGATAATTAAAAGGTTGTTTCAAAAGTCCTGCCGAAAAAAAATTGGATTAGAGGGAACACACCATGAAAAATAAAAATGATCATTATTTTATGTGTCTCCTTTTGAAGTTTGTATATCCGATTAGTATTTTTAATAAATAGGTTTTATTTTCTACTGGCCCAAACTTTTTTGTTTAAATTTATGTTTTAATCGATCGTACCAGATGATAAGCTGAATTCACAGGCGTATTCAACTGGCGTTTTTGCTTCCTTGAAGCCATGGAGGAAATGATTGCTCTTTGAATCATGACTGTGCAAAGAAGAGGAATAGAGGAATCTTTCATCAAACGATTATCCTAGAGGAACCCGACCTTCTATTTTTTTGCACAATTTCAACCATTTAGAGCAATTTTTGCTTAATAGACAAATCAGACACCAGTAATTTGCGCGTTGAGAGTACTGTAAATGTCAACTGATTTAAAAAAATACGCGAAAGTGCCATGAAGGAAGTGGACCGTTTTCTCTAGTCACGTTAATTTGTCAACACGAAAGAATTTGTGAGACTATTCAAAAAAGCTCAGGAACGGTGACCACGTTCACGTACTGAAATTGAAAGTCTGCTGTACTCGAGGGGGAAAATGTATTTTCAAAGATCCCTGAGTTTTTTCTCTCATTCCTTTCACACGCTCATTAATTTGTAAAAAAGAATGGATATTATAACAGTTAAAGTCAGGGATTGCCGATTCATCAATTGCGAGAATGGAACGCCCGTGTTCTATTGACTGTTGATCAATTTGTTATGAAATAAGACCTGACGGTATCGTGAAGACGCAGCCTTTTACTGCACGACGTACTTCCCTTTCGTCCCATGGTCTTTCCACTCACGGATTACCTTATCGACGCGATGCGCTAACAGGTCTAAAGCCGAACACGACTCAACGTAAGAATTTTGAAAAATTTACATTTTGACATTCCGCTGAGATTTTCCTAACACGAAGTAATTAAGAAGACCAACCGATTTTGTACTAGTCAAAATGACAATCCTTTTCAGATCTGTCAGACAGTGAGCACTATTCACTTTTCATTTCATATTTTATTCTAAATTTTTATGCTGTTTTCCAAGACAGATCTTTGGCCAAACTGGCATTCAGCGTTTGTGGTGTATTTAATGTACGTACTCCTGATTGAGGAAAAGGAACAGAACAAAACCTCGTAAAAGTACTCCATACAGCTGCAGTGGTGGGAATCAGGTTTGGACGAGCTCTTTTACAAAAATAAAATGTCTTTGGTTAAAAGAAGATTTCAAATCAATAACTTTGGTGTTTGAGTAGAGATAAGATTACATCTTTGTTGATTGTTTGAGTAGGGTTAGGTCATTGGTATTTGAATAGAGCTAAGATTAGATCTATGTTTGATTACATAGGATTAGGTCTTTAGAGTTTAATTAGTTCTTTGGTTTTTGATTAGAGGTAAGATTAGATCTTTGGTGTTTGATTAAAGGTAAGAATGCGCTAAGNCTTTGGTGTTTGATTAGGGGTAAGTTTATGTCTTTGGTCATTGATTAGAAGTAAGAATGGGTTAAGAATATAAATTTGGCATTTGATTAAGGAAGAACGTTCTGATGTGAGATACTTACGGTTTAGTTTAGATTGCTTAATGGTGTCCATTATTTCAAGTTCGTAAGATCTTGAATATGCAAAATTCATTTTTTGGCGTCATGTTACTTTGTTTTGCCAGTAGAGTTTTTAGAACTTGTAATACAAAATTCTAATCTTTTCTCGCCACTTGGCGGATTCCAGTTAGGTTTGTTGTCGAGATAGAAAACGAGGTAGCTGACCCGCGAGGATACTGTAATATAATAGTATTACGTGTTACAAGGCGACAGGGATATCTTTTCAAGATAAAGGCCACATGCATGGATTCATTTTTCATTAATTTATAAGCGCCATAGTTTGCACCTCACTGCTTCCCTTGCAGATGAGAAGGGAGGCCTGAGATGAAAATTTGAATCTTCGTTGGTTGCTGAAGATAATAGTTTCCTCGGTATATGTAGGCAATTTTGTCTGGTGTAGGACCAATAAAATTAACTTGAGGGTGCCAGCCCATGACACTGATTTAAGCTCAGGGTATTCACCTTACTTAAACTTCCAGAAACGGTCGGAAAGATTTTTAATATGAGTAGAGGGTTGAGAGGAGGATAAGGTTGTGCTTGTACAACAGACCTAGAAAGCATGGTGACCTTTCCTGCATAGTAATTATGAAATTTCAACAACCCGAAGTCCTTCCTGGACGGTAATTTGGGATGGTCGGAATTTATCAACGGCCAAGAAAAGACAGGAGTTATTGTTTTTAGAATTAATATTTAGCCAGAAGAATATTGAACGATATGGATTTGGTTTGTATTGTAAAATAAAACATAAAAATTTTGAAAGAATGTACTTCCGAATTGAACAAAAAGATGACCGGCCAGCAACAAGGCGGTATATTAGGGCCAATTTTACACCTACAATTCCCGGACTACCGTAAACAGGAAAAGCACCACGACAACGGACTTCACTGATGATACCGCAATGTAGAATCAGGATATGACATCACCACAGGCCTGATTATCAATTTGCCCCGGAAAATTGTGGTCTAGGTCATCAAACTTACTTTCGGTCCGTTAAACATATACCACAATCGGAAAATCACAGAGGTAATTATGAAACCTGGTAAACTATACCGTACAAACTTGCATAATACAGGCCAATCTTGGTAATTTGTTTGGTTTTGGGTAATGTTCGATAGATGTGGTCAATTGGATCACAAGAATCGTTGGACAAGCATTTGAAAAAAATTGTTCTTTCCTTAGTATTCACTAGGCATTCAATAAAGTTTTCGTTTATTGGGTCACATTACTGTTCTGCGCTACTAATTGACCAGAAAACGAGGCAAATAATTTACAGTAGAACAAAAGAACGACGAATCTTTGCTAAACTGATTCTTTAATCTTCAGAATTGAAAAAACAAAGAGATAAGTTGAAAATTAGATTGAAGGAAAGAAATTCACGTGCAAGTGGACCTGAGCAACAAGAATATTTACTACGTTTCAACCAATTCAACCAATCATACGCCCGTGTCGACTAGAATCTCTGAGGATATGTCAAGCATTGTAAACAAATATAAAACAGCGAATTGAAGACATAAAGCATCTCAAATGATGCCTTATAAATGAAGTACTCGACCGAGATCTCAAGATGAAAACCACTTTTTTAGAATGGATAAGTTAAAAGCTATTCCTTGTTCTGTACTGACAGGCCTGTTTGTCCTGACGGCTGTACTATTTTTACGGTTACGTTGTAAATTTTTTTATGCGGAGAAGTGTAGCTAGGGCATCTGGGTTTCAACTGCTTTCTACATATTTTTTAGAGACCATTGAGTCTGCAGTCCCTAGTTGGTTACTATTTTGAGTTTGTTCCATTTGATTATCTTCAAATCTTGTTTGCCATGTTTTAACAATTTCTCTTACAATGAGCAATTCTATACGCAGAAGGTTCAGCAGCGTTGCGGTAGCTTCGTTCCTGGGGGTTAATTTCCATCCTGGAACCTCCAAATGAAAGGTCTCAACATGACAATTCAGAACCATCTTCAAACTGATGATGTCCCAGTTGATCTGTCATCACATCTTTCAACCTTAAGAACTTCATCTTGAAATATACTGGTGTACCTGCTTATATTTTCTGAATATTTGATTTACGACCAATACTCATCGTGTACCTAATCCTAATGCCACCTAATCGACGTCATTACTAGGCGACTCAAATGTCTGACGAATTATGCAGTTAACGTGTTAGGAATTAAATTGAAATCAAACTGTATTGTTCAATTATGCTTCAATGCAACCATTGAAGTCAGATAAATATTAATTATCAGCTAGATTGTAATTGAAGTAAAATATTCCCACCCAAGAAGAATAGGAAACAGAAATGAAAACTGCATATGTTATTTCTGATAAACTAAGCATTCTGAAAGTAATGAAAAAAAAGTTTCAACATAGTAGGTGCTAATTTATGGGCAATTAAACCAAAGAACATATTTTGCTCTGAGATGACTCACTTTATATGTGCACATTAATCAATGATTGTCAGGTGATAAAACAGGTTTTATTATTCAGAGTTGTTCTATTTCTTTTCCAATTTTTCTTTCTGATTGAAATTTTTGCTTTAAAGGCACATTGCAAAAAGTACAGGAGCAATGGATCATGACAACTTGGTCAACGGGTACTGCGGTCACCCAGACTATTCCGCTTTCTAAACAATGACAGATTAGTGCGACGTCTTATGCACTAGAGACCGATCCGATCGGAAGATGAAAGACCACATTGGAGAGTGGTACGGCGGATAATCCAATTAAACCGTAAAGTCCCTTCGACGTTTTTCACACACCTGGGGCACCTCTTGGATTTTTTTCTCTCTCCATAACTCTTCGCCCCGATGGGCCGTTACGAAACGAGTATTGTTGCTGTCGTTACTTCACAAAAGAACAATAGGTCGACACTCGGGACTCTCGCCTAATTTCATTAAAATTTCTCCCATGTGTTAAAACTGCAATGATAAATGACTAGAAACGAGATCATTGGGAAAACAGTTCAGCTCAGGAGGTATAACATGTCTGCGTGTTATAAAGTATTAGCCTACTACAACAACCACTAAGTTTACATTATTACATTATATTATAATCAAAGTGCTAATAATTCAGTTTTTATAATTAGTTTAATGTTTGTTTAATATTGCAATACATGTATTTTCTTAATTACAAAAAGAAGAAGAAAATAAAAGGCAACACCTAGTATAATTTTAACATTTATGTTGTTTCATGGAAAATATGTTTAGAAAATTAATTTACTTGTTCACTAGAGCACTAGAGTTAAGTTAACCAGAAGTGCATTGTTGGACTTGATTTTCAAGTTGAACTGCACAAATGTTCAAAGAAATTAAAAATTCAGGATTGATGGCATGTTTCAATTAACTTAATTTTTGGAAATTAACAATACAATTATCCCACTTTATTTTTTTGACTCAGGAACCCAATTACGTTGAATATATAAAATTGTGATTATGAAATGCATTTATTCTGAAGATAGCGTGAAAATAAGTACGCCCATTCTTGTGCTTATAACAATAATTATAATACAAAGATTAATACTTAAATTTAAAAAAGTGAAATAATATTCCTACTTCATACCTACATTTAACTGTTAAAATAATAAATGTTTTAAGGATAAAAATAACTAAAATTTTAAAACACTTGACTGATATGTAGTTTTAAAGTTTATTTTCGTGAAATTAAATTTTTTTCCAACGATTTTTTTCTTATTTAAAATGCCAAAAAAGACAATACACGATTATATTTACCAATTTTAGGCCAGAAATTAATGAAATATGACGGAAAGTACGAGTATGCTAAAGTTGTGAAACTTTGATATGTGGTTTATCAGCTAAATTAATTGTAACTTTTTAATTATCTAAACCATTTTTTACCCTGTATAATAATAAAAAATTAATTGTTGCACTCGCTTTGAACGTATTTATTGAATATTATTGTCCATTTTATTTGTACTGCTGTGCTTCATTAAACTATGTTTGAAGATTAAAAAAAAACTTGTAAATTAATTAAAATGAAGCCGGTTTTTTAATCCAAAGAAATAAAATATGCAATTTTTTAATAAATTAAAATAAAAGTTTATTTTTTACTTTTATTCTTAAATAAATGAAAATAACAAAATGGGATGCGAATATTTGACTCTAAGTAAATATATTTTTTGTAGTATTTTAAAAAAATCAATTTTATCAAAGGCAGAAAATTGAACATTTTGAAGACGTACCCATAATTTTTATGTGGTTATTCCATGGGTTTGCATGTAGGCGGTGACTTCAATGCGGTTCTTCTCAGGCCCAGGCACTCACTGTGATCGGACCACTCTCCATTTCAACTCCCTTCCCCCCTGATTCCCCACCGTTTTTATCATTCAATTTTTCTCTTCAGTCCCTTAACTTCACGACGCGTCCTTTCAAAAAGCAAAAACAACGTTGTTCTCATGTTGAGTTGACAAGAAAAATGAATTTGTTTACATTTTGGGGCCTAAAAACTAAAATTAGCCATATCCGGCAGTAATAAGACCCTCATTATCCTATTGCTCATTAATCTGGCAGACCAAAGCTCAGCAAAAACAAGCTTCCCAAATATTAGGCAGCATACAAAAACAGACAAACCTATGTATCACAGGGACAATGGAAACAACCCCGTCAATTGTACTAGAAACACTCTAGCCTCAAGAAACAATCAAACTGGATGGGAACTAAACACTTCTGACACACAACAATAATCAATCAATAAAATCAGACACCCATTCTTAGAAATGGCAACTGACTACATTATCTCGGAAATAATCTTTATGACAAGCTATAAAATCTCAATAGACTACAAAGGAGAAAAATAATTCAGGAGAACATCAGATACAAATTCACTAGTTTCGTGGTCCGCTTAACCAATTAATATCTTACAATTAATTAAGGTTTTCAGTTGAGATAAAAAAGGCAATGGCACGAGCGGGATTCGAACCCACGATCTTCGGCTAGATACCTTTTGAATTTTCCCTCCTTTTTGCCATTTTTCAAATGTCGTGTAATCAATTTGATTCTCGGCGACAAATGAAATGGCCACGGAGAGCTTTAGTGAAGGTATACTTCATTTTAAACTTATTAAATTTACTAGTTTCGTGGTCCGCTTGACCAAGTAATATCTTACAATTAATTAAGGTTTTCAGTTGAGATAAAAAAAGTCAATGGCACGAGCGGGATTCGAACTCAACCGTGTGGTTGAGATGGGAAGTTAGTGCCCGAGTGGATCGAGGTCACGATAGCTCAAGTGGTTATAACAATATTTTTAAATGGAGGTTATCTCAAAGGATAAGCTAATCCCTAAAGCAGGATCGGGCAGTGCGAGCTGAGCTACGAAAGGACGAGGAAGGACTCTCTCAATTTTGTTTGAAGACACCTGCTCTTTTTATGTAAATGGTAAGAAGTTAGTTGCGTATGTCAAAGATCACATATTTTTTTCAAATCTGAATACATTTATTTTTTTTAAGGTTTTGTTATAATTTATTTGGATCAGGTCCCAATTTTTGTCTTTTCCGTTTAATTAAATTGAGTTTGTGGCACAAATATTTTTTCTTATTTTTATTTTATACTCGCAATGAAACGAGTTTTGCATCGTGTGAAGGGGATTCACCTTAACGCGTAATATGGTAGAGCAGCGGCGTATCTAGCCGAAGATCGTGGGTTCGAATCCCGCTCGTGCCATTGACTTTTTTATCTCAACTAAAAACCTTAATTAATTATCAGATACAAAGATATGGTATACAGACGGCTCCAAAAGTCACGAAGGAACTGGATCAGGCGGTTTTTGTACAAGCCAAAAAACATTAAAAATCAAACTCACTAGGGAAGTACACCTCGGTCTTTCAAGGCGAAATACATGCCATCAACGCTAGAAAATCTTAAAAGAGGTTACATTGACAAAAAAAAACTTTATTAGTAGTAAAGCATTAGCATGTGAATGCATAGAAAATCTCCAAAACCTGGGGAAACAAAACAACCTGATGATATCTTGGGTGCCAGGACACAAAGGAATTTTGCGTAATGAAACGGCGGATACGCTTACCAGAGGAGGATCTGCAAGACCATATATAGACCCTGAATTCTTGATTTGAAAAAAATCAATCACAGAGTCCTCTATGAGAGAATGGATCCAAAAAAAAAGACAAAAGAAATAGAGGATAAGCTAGGCACAGTAAGCTTATGCTGAAACAACCCTCATCATTCTGTCAAAATCACTGCAGTTAGATAGAGGGGTTAGACTCTAAGGAGTGTATACCAGTGACAGACACTGTAGACATTGTGTATACCAGTCACCAACTTCTGACAAAACATCTATACAACATTGGTATATTGAACGATGGCTCCATTTGTAAGTTATGCAATGATGAGGAAGAAACAGCTACCCATATCATCTTCGAGAACAAAGCAACCGCCCAATGGAGACATAACCCGGCAAAGGAATTGTAGTCAATGACCTTCTTGGGAGAAGGATTGAGTCGATTGCACTGAACTAAGGAACTAGGAAAGTACAAAGCCAAGTACAAAGCTGCAGTGCTTGAGAAACACAAAATCCCCATTTTCTAGATTTCCATCATCACATCAATAAACATGACAGACATTCTTGAGGAATATATGGTGCCATTTGTTCCTGTTATTGGTGTGCAATTCTTGTTAATACAATACCATATGTCACCGCCAGTGTTATACAGTACATTCTCGATAATATTCTTTAAACTGAGAATAGCCCCCCCACATCGTAGTATCTCATCATCATCGTCATCATACGTTACAAATCCGAGTTGATATAATGAAACTCTGATCAATTAAACATGACAAAATTGTAGCTTTGTTGATAATTGCCAATCATTTTGGCCTTCTAATTCTAGTTCTTTTGGTCTGACAAAAAACAAAAACAGAATAGGCAGACCAAAATTATCGGAAAAGACCAAGCTGCTACAAGTTACCAGACCTTGCAGACCTCAAGAAGAAAATTTAAAAAAATGTTTTTCCATGAAATTGAAGAAATTAAATTACATAAATTTTAACAAAAGTACAATAAATAATGTGTAAAAAATATTTTATCTCGTATAAAATATTTAATACGTACGGATAGGTTGACCTTTACGAGACATGAATTACTTATACTTTTAATTTGCAATACAAATAAAATAAATTTATTTTAATACTTTTGACCCAAGTTGATCAATAGAGAATTGAATTAGCATTAAAATAAAAGAAAATCAATCGACTGACGGCTTCACAAACCTTGTGAAATGCCTTAGAGGAGACTTGGCCAATAGGTTTTATGAAATGTTTACCAGACTGTGAAATTAATAAAAAGCCAAAGGATTTCAAAGGAGAAGTGACTTTCATTCCTACGAAGGAATCTGATCTTGAAAAGTCGAACAAACATAAATCTGCCCATCAAAAAGTTCTTAACTGATGTTTGTCTTCAAATTACAGAAGTATTTCGTAATTTATTTTTTAGAAATTGTCCTCTCCTACTGATAATCTTGTGATTTGACAAGAACTTTAACGAGACTTCAGCTTACTAATGTTAAGAGAAAAGAAGGTTTGGATTGGACAAAGTTGTAACTGTGTAAAATCACAATTTAGAAATTGTTCATAAAGCTCTGTAGTTTTGGAGTTCTACAAGGTAACGTTATGAGCTCATTTCTTTACTTAATTTATAACGATCACTAAACAAGCCATAAAACTAACATAATTACAGTAATGTGATAGTACGATAATTTATTGTTGATGTAAAAAGATACACTCTTCAAAAGTAAACTTTTCGTGTCCATGAAAAAAGCAAACTCTCATTTAAATTCTATGCTGTCTAAATTCTATAATGTCACATTAATATGGGCAAGTTATATAAAAACGATAACATAATCGTTTGAAATATCTTTACGACGGAAATAATCGCTGCATGGTATCGGATAAGCGCTCGTCAGATCTGGTAATACTCGCGTGACCTATGAGTTGCGGCGGGTCTAGCAATATATTCACAAACCGTAAAAATTACGAAACAAAAATAATGATTTTTCCATCCTATTAAAATTTTTTAAAGAAGGCCAATTTTCAAATCATGTCAAAATTTATTCCAAATTGTTTCATTTATTTGAGTCAGAATACGCCTTAGTAGGTTGGCACATGGTTTAAGAAGAGGCCAGGCCTGGGTTCGATGTAGGGAGCGTGCAGGCGGACAGTATTACATGGCCTATGAATTGATACAGACCAGCATTATACTTTAAAACCGTACAAATAACAAAACGAAAATAATGATTTACAATCCTATCAAAATTTCTATAAAGGACACTACAAAGAAAACAACCAATGAGAGACCATAGTTTTTAATTAAATTTGAAAAATCCGGAAAATTGTTTAATTTATCTCACTCAGAATACGCCATACTAGGCTGGCACATGGCTTAAGAAGAGGTCATACTTTGTTTCTATGCAGGGAGCGAAAAGGATCGCCTGGTTTTCATTCCATTAACAATGCTTTATATGAAATGCTTGCTCGAGAACATGTTTTAATTAGCACGCATGTACGGAAAAGGTTCAATGCTTAAAATATAAAAAAATCTATCAAAATGTACATCGAAATTATTGGCGAGTCTTCTTTTAAAAATACTATTCTGCTTTCTGAAAAAAAGTTATGCTATAATTTTAGCATTTTGCTCATTCCAGTGGCTCACTGTTATTTTTACAATTGAAAAAAAAAGTTTTGCACGTGAAAATGTGTGTTAATTTAAATTAATTATTTAGCAATCGTGAGATGAGGTCTGGTGTGATGTAGGTTTCAGAAAAACATTTTCTTTATCGTGCCAACGTTTCGATCTCAAGAGATCATCTTCAGGGCTCAAAGAGTTTTTCCTCTGTATAATTGTGCCATTCTTGCGTGTCGTGTTGAGACTGCCAGTGTTAATTTAAAATTAAATAATGTATAATTTGAGTGTAGGATTCCAAACAATTTTGATATGTTGTAAGCACTAAAAACAAGCGTAATAGAAGAAATATATTGAGTAACAATCCAGGACTTAATGGTTTATGAAAACTTTCAACAGCACCGCTTTGTGTTCAAGAGTCAAATGCGATCATTTGATCCGAAATGTACAGGGATTAACGTCAAGAAATGGAATTGCGATGTCCCGAGGAGTCAAAGTTCGAGCTTATTGCAACATAGAACCTTTTGTGAACTGCCAACTGTGACCTTTCACGTTTACACCGACAGTTACCATCTTAACCGTCTACAACAATGATAGCGCAAGGCTTTTCAGCCCTGTAATTAATTATACAATTTAAGTTGGAAAACGTTTGGCCGTTTAATTATTCGACTTTATTTTTTAAAAAAATGGACGCACTTGGTATATGCACTTTGGTAACTTTGATTTCTAATAGTTTCGCCCTATAAAAAAAGCTGAAGGCGAAATCCTTCGAAGAAGATTCATGACAACCTTGAAATTCTCAAAAGGGCAAGGTAAAAAGGTCAATTTGCTTAAAAAAAAGTAAAATGAATAATTTCAAGAAGGCTAAAAATCCATTCAAACAAAAATTAAAAATAGGCAGAACATAAAATCACGAGTAGTTATATATATATATATATAAAANGGTTTTACCCAGCACATAAAGAATATTGGTCTAATTTAAACGATGCAAAGTTCGCAAATAATACTATGTATGTTTAGTAACACGAAAGCAAAACAGTTTAAAGTGTTAATGAAATAGAAGAATTTTACTGTTTTGAAAAACAGTATTTTATTTCTTAAATTAGGTTGACTTTACGAATGGTATAATCTAAGGATATTAAAGATTGTAAATGAAAGTTAATTATTTCCTATTGCGCTAACATCTGTCGAACCGCATGCTAATCGGCCAACGTCTCATGCCTTTGTAGATTTTTGAAAAGATTTGAAAAGTAATTTCCAGTTTTTCGGCTAAATTTTATTATTACAAAATTTACGAAAAAATCATAATAAAATTAAAAATAAAGGAATTTAGAAGATATTTGTTGTATGTTGTTATTTAATAATAAAGGGACTATTCAAATAAGAAGAATGTGAAGCAAGCCTTCGATCGGGCATAGGCACTCGGAAACTTAGGTGAGTCCTCCCTTTTACCTACTATCTGATCCTAAAATCCTACCTATCCGACTATACTTTAAGTCAGTGGCCACTCTCTATCAGCCTATCGCACAGATACAGGTGTACCACAAGGAAGTTCTTAGGACCCATCATTTACACGGTATATACCGCAGACACTTCCTACTCTTATTGAAACGATCGTACCGCCATCATTTGCTCTGTCATCTCAACCAAAACCTGCAAACCCGTCACATTACTTGTACAGCTGTTCAAGCGGTGGAAGATGACAACGAACATACAAAAGTGTGAACATGGCACTTTCAACCTTCGGAGAAGAACCACTGCTTCCATCTACTACAATTGTATCCTACTCCCACTAGCTAATGTAATCCGCTACGTTTGGTTATACATCGACAAACGGCTTACATAGAACACTCCCAGACAATTCAGACTTAATATATTGCAGGACAAAAGATGTAAACTCACTCCATAAAATAAACGACTCATTTATATGACTATTTTGAGGCACATACGCCATCGGCCTTTGGGGTTCAACAAAACGTTTCAACCTCCAACGTATCCATTCCTTACAATCAAAAAATCTCCGAACCAGAGTCAAAAAACGTTTGCTTATCTCCGATAATCTCGTTCGTCGGTAAATTATCAAAAACCGACCGCTCAACGTTCATTTTATAGAACAAAATCCACTTTGTGTCATTCTTGATGATGGGGTGAATCGTTCCGCATTCGGGACCGTCTGAATAATTGAGAATCGTGTTGTCAGTTGAGAATAGAAAGAAAGGCAACTCGCCGAAGAATAGAGCCAGGAAGTGGATTGTCGAAGAAAGCATGTTCATGATCCATGAGCATCGTGACGCTCCGGTTTGAATGAAACCTTGAGCACGAACTTGGCAATATCGGGATAATCGGTCAACACAGTCGTTATCTAACTGGCTCAATTAAAAAACAAAAACCTACTTCTAAAAATAAAAAATAAAACGCAATTATCTGCAAGAATTGGCCACGGGAGAAAAAATCTATTTAAAAAATCTTAAATACCAGGAAGGAACGGTGCCACAGGGTCACAAATTTATGATAATTACATAAAATTAGGTTCATCTGTGTCGTTTAAATTCTGTTCTTAAATAGTAAGACCGTTAGCTTTTTAACTCGCCTACCAAGGCTATGTTCAAGGTACATTTTTCTCTCTTCATATCTACCTTTTTAATTTTTTGATGAAATATTTATTAACGAGTATTCGGAGATCGTGAGATGCGGTCTGGTGTGACGTAGGTTTTAGGAAAACATTTTCTCTATCGTGCCAACGTTTCGATCTTTATTGAGACCATCTTCAGGGCTCAAAGTGTTTGTTTTCTGTGTAGATGTGTCATTCTTGTGTGTCGTTTTGAGAGTGCCAGTGAGATATGGTAGTATCACTCTCAGGCGCCACACAAGCCTGAAGATGATCTCAATAAAGATCGAAACGTTGGCACGAGAAAGAAAATGTTTTTATAAAACCTATGTCCCACCAGACCGCATCTCACGATCTCCGAATAATCATTGACTAACGGTCACTCAACACCACACATATTTATTAACGTGTGGTGATTAGTGACCGTTAATCGATAATTATTCCGAAATCGTGAGATGCGGTCTGGTGTGATGTAGGTTTCAGAAAAACATTTTCTTTATCGTGCCAACGTTTCGATCTTTATTGAGATCATCTTCAGTGCCTGGGATTTACAAACATTGTTTATATTTAACAAATACATGTAGGATGTGGTAAAAAGTGAATTTATACAATGCAAAATATATTTTTTTGTTAGATATAGAAAATAATTCCAAAATAGATCTTAGGATCGCCGTACATATGAAGAGAGATCATTAGGTGCCTCATTAAAAAATGGTACCAAAGTGAAATCAACCAAGCCAAATTACAATATGTCATGTAAAATTCAATTATAATCTAATTGATCAACTTGTTCAATCAATCGTAAATTGTGTTCAGAAATCGAGTTAAAGCGTAATTTCACAGCGTGTGATTACTTGTAGATGGCATCGAAAGAGTCGTCACCCGAATTGAGGTTAATGCTATACCATTATGCACAGTTCAATATTCGGGAACGAGCGCAGATAGCTCGAGGCGGCTGGGAAAATGTCCACAATACTTTTCACTTTTATTTTCTTCACCTTCTTCAGTTGTGGTCAGAGCAATGACGACATCGTGATAAACCAGTCGAAACGGATTCCTGCCGCTTTCGACGTTCTTAAGATGTTGACCGATCGTTACCCACAGGTCGTTAAAGTCCTAATCGAAGGTTCAGATATAAAAACCGACGCGTTTTTAAAGAACTTGTCGTTAGTTTGTGACTATAAGTTGTTAAACGATGTAAAACTCTTTAAGAACTCTTCTAAAGGCAATTGCATTCTGATTCTCAAAGATTCTTCAAAGATGAAAAGCTTGTTTGAAGACTCAATGTTCAGTTACGAATATTGTTCATTCGTTTTTTTACACGCTTTAGAGGAAAAGTCGTATAATGAGATTTTACTAGAAATAGTGCGCAGGCAACCAGTTACAAGTGTAATCGGCATATCAAAAAATTTGGATCTAACAGGAGTTCACATTCCACTCTGGCATGACTTCGACCATTCATTTTCTTACTTGCCACAGATGTATTTCGACAAGAGCAATTACACGATGCTTAAGAAGTTTATCCACCCGGAAAAAGTCAATTTTCACAAAAGGCCGTTCAGGGTGGCAATTTTCCAGAAGAGGTTCATGTCGATATCTGAGAACGGAAAATGGAACGGGTTCAACAAAGAAGTCCTCGACCTCCTACAAGAGATTTTTAATTTTACAAGAGTACTTTATTTTATCGACTCGAATCTAAGGTACGGTCATAAACTGAGTAATGGGACTTTTGTCGGCGTTTTAGGAGAGGTGTTGGGCGGAAATGTCGACTTTGCTGCTAATCCGCTTTTTATTAAGGATTATAATACGACGGGGATAGATTTCTCGACGCCTATCATGTTTGAACACCTCTGCGTTGCCGTTCCTTCTGCTTCACCTATTCCGAGATGGAAGGTCATTTTTATATGCTTCGACAGAACTACATGGCTATGCATTTTATCGATTTATACTTTCAGCATGTTCGTTTGGAAAGTCTTCAAGTTCCGGCTAAAAAGTAACAAAACGTTGAAATGCGTGAATATTTTCTTTTACGTTTTTCGCCTGATTATCGCGTCTTCGATCAAACCTCCTGTTATGCTATCGGGTAAAATATTCGTTATGACGTTGGTCTTTATGGGTTTCATTTTGGCGACATGCTTCGGAGGTTCTTTATTAAACCTCTTGACGAGGACTGTCTACGGTAGCCAGATTAATACGATGACGGCCCTGGACAAATCCGGCCTGCCTATATACACTTTGTCCATGAACCTCCAACATGACACTTTCGACGGGTCGAAACCTGAGGAGAGAAACCTGGCGGAAAAAGTCAAGATTTATCACGACACAACGGCCGACCTTGTCGAGATGGTCTATAAGACGAGGAATTCAGCCTGTCTCGGGAGGAAGGACGATCTGACCAGGAGGATATGGAAGCTAGAAGAGAGCAGCCAAACTCGCACAGTACACATTGTCGAAGAATGCCCCAGGAGCTACTACCTCTCGTACATAATGAAGAAAGAATCGCGGTACTTCACGACTATCGACGCCGTACTCGGCCGTCTCGTGGCATCTGGAGTGCTGAAAAGTCCAAAATTCACCGACAGTCCCTCCTACTACTACGCCGGTAGAAGTAAAAGTACAACGGCCACGTTTTCACCCGTTCCGTTAGGAATGGACAATCTTACAATAACATTCCTCATCCTTTTAGTAGGGTATTTAGCAAGTATTGTTATTTTCATTACAGAAATATTCTATTTCAAATGGCTAAGCACTGGGATGACTTAAGAAACCTTACAAAGAATGTGTAGTGTTTTGTGATCGTTAACCAATGATTATTTGGAGATCATGAGGTGCAGTCTGGTGTGACGTAGGTTTTAGAAAAACATTTTCTTTATGATGCCAACGTTTCGACCTTTATTGAGATCATCTTCAGGGCTCAAAGTGTTTGTTTTCCGTGTAGATGTGTCATTCTTGTGTGTCGTATTGAGAATGCCCACAAAGAATGCGACTTTAGTAACAAAAGTTCCCTATGCTTTATTATATTATTTTTTGTGATCACAGTTATTAAAATCAAATAAACAAAACCAATGTTCACACTAAAAATGGGCAAATTTTAACAACGCTGGTTTTCCTGTAAATAAAAAATTTGATAATTTTCAGTGAAAGTGAAGGACAACTGGTATCTGTTTAAACTGTACTACAAAGAAAGGGCTATTTTATTTAATACATTTATTTTTTAACTTTAGTATTGTAACTTTGTTTGTAAAGGACCTCCCTGAAGACAAATAAAATGCTGCTATAACTACTACTATTTTTACAAAAAGGCAAACTTGGTCCCAGGTCATCAAGTTAAAACTTTGATAAATTGGTAGATTTTTGCGAGTATAATTCAAATTTGAATTTTTAATTGACTTTAAAAAAATCTTTAGATATCTATTTAAAACTTTGGTTGATTGATAGATTTTCACTGGTACAAATTAAATCTGAATAAATTACTTAGAAATCAAGTTAATAAAATGGCCATTAAGTTAAAACTTGCTTTTTTCTACCTACTATCTCATACTTTCGGTTTTTACGAGTAACTGGAGGTAATTAATTTTCTACATATTATCCCATCCAGTCTGGTGTTCCTCAGGGTAGTGTACTGGCACCCACGCTGTCTCAAGTGGACCCAGCTGTATTCCATCGCAGATAAAAACGACCGTTTTAACTTTCGGAGGATATTCAGCAATTATTTAGAGTAAGAACGATCTTTTCGTCTCGAAACCTAAAACCAATATGGACGTAAGGACTAAAAGCCTGGGGTTCAGCTAAAATCTCAAGCACCTCACAAACCTCCTAAACAAAAAATCCTTTAAGTAAATTTAATAAAAATCTTCCACTATTCAACTCTTTCCACGGACTGAAGATATAATGTTTTAAAGATCTTCTAAACATGACAATGAGGACGTGAGTGTGAAAAAACTGACAAAATAGTTTATAAATTTTTATTAATCAAACTATTATGACTGTCTCCTTATGGTACTCAGTTGGTAGTTTCTCCATTCTTTATGTTTTTTCTTATATTTTGTTGTTAATTTACCATTGCATTGTCACTTGTTACCCTATATGAAATAGTTGTAATATGCGTTGATTAAGAAAAACAAAAAGAAAATGAAAAGAAAAACAAATGGAGTAAAGCACCTGCAAAACAGTAAACTTCCAAAGCAGGATTTATGTTAGATCCTAAGATTTGGACTTTTTTCTCCTATTCAAACAAGAACGAGTCAAGGCGATCCATTTTCTCCAGGTTTATTTAATTTTTTAAATTAATTTAATTTGGTCTTGAAAAAATAAGTGATGAATCTGCGTTTTGTTCATACTTGCAACTGTGCCGCTTATGTCTGCGTTGTCTTTTGACAATTGGATATGATTTGCCAAGTTCATTCAAAATGATAAAGGACTAAAGTGTGTACAAACATTAATAAATTTATCGTTAAAAACACACAATGATTTTAGACGATCGAACAAGTCATCTATCATATAGGCATACTAAGGAAAGAACAAACTGGACAGAAAAAAGTACTACTGTAGATAAATCAAGAAAACAGGCTCTAAATAAATAGTGAGGAACTAATTTGAGAAGACAGACGGTAAAACAAGGGAAAAGGTCATACAAACCATAAGAAAGAGATGAATTAACAGAAAAATTGTTAGACAAAAAAAAAATGTCAAACACAAACGCCTTTGCGCACAGATAAGCTTATTTTCATAACAACTTATGATTCAGGACTTGTGAATTTCACAAAATACATAATTGAGTTCGTTTCCAACTATCTAGTTAAAAATTATATTTTGATAAACCCACATTTCATGAAAATATATGTTTCCAAATGTTCAGTTCTTGGTTGGTATGAGACAATTTTTCATAAAAAATGTATTGAGGAACTGATTGGAGAAAGACGCTAAAGCAATAAAAAAAGGCTTATTTCAAAGTTGAAGATGTATTACAAAGCATATTATGAGAAGAAATAATAGAAGAATTGTAAGACAAAATAAAAAAGAGAAGTAGAAGAATTTGATCTTTGTGTACTGATAAGCTTATTTACATAAGAACTTACACTTGAAGGTCGAGTGTTTTACAAATTTCACAAATAGCACAGTTGAGTTTCTTTTCGGTTTTGTTTTAAATTGTATTTTGATAAGCCCACATTTTCTGGATGTATAAAATATAGTATAATGTTTGATAATGTTCAGTTCTTTGGCAAAATGAAGAGGGATGTGAGATAATTTTTCATTGTGAAAATCAGAGGCCGTGCGATGTTGACAGCGTATGAGCAATTTATGTAATAGACTAAGATTATCTTCGAATTGCAAGGCTGGAATTCGCTCGTAATCAAAACAATGGACCATCTCGCCGTTCACAGTAATTCCACATTGAAGGTGGGGTTTGAAAGAACGCGGAAACCAAACTCCCAGGTTCGAGTTTGAAAACCAAAAGAAAACATAAAAAATAGATAACGAGGGGTATTCTTTCTATTACACTAATTGATAAGGGCCATATATTGACAATGACCAACGCTACATGGCCGAATTGCATGCAAGGGGTTCCGCATTTCGAAATAATTATAGCCCAGTAACCTAAACAGAAGAGAACACGTTCGGAATGAAAATTTCCTTCGAACGGCCTTTAAAGAACTGAATACTAAGCGGTCGAAATAGCAAGGCTACCCTTTTTGGTACCCAGGAAAGGCTAGTTTCGCAAAAGTGCCCATAGCGTTGATTACTTAGACAATTCGCAAGTATTCAATGAAATTTTGTAAATATATCTATGAAGGTTTTAAACAAATTAATTTTCTAACGTGAAAGAAAATCGGGTCGAAACAGTTTCGATCGGACCCGTCTTTTCGCATCAAGGCAACGGGCGCAATTGCCCCTGACCTCCGCTTTGTTCCCTTGCAAGGATTGTCCCATTGTCCGATTCTATTCGGGCGCAAGCATTGCACATCCATCTCAATAAAAAATAAATAAATTGTGAATTATAACGAATATAGTGACGATGCATGCCTGTTTCCCATTGGGGGTCGCAATGTCTTTAGACAATGAGGTTCTTTAACGGGCGCACCTGGCACTTTAACGCGCATAGGCCTTATCACACGTTTAGTCTCTCAAGTTAGGGGTGACACCTCCGCTCACGGTAGATAGTAACACCGTGACGTTCGGTGTAGAAGCCACCATATCCACAGACTAAGCTAACAGACATGCTGACTTCTACCGCTTGCCCCGTTCGAAGGGGTGGGTTAACTTGTGCACTGCAGAGAGAAAAGAAATTTGCTAGGGCTACCTATAGTCGCAGCTCTCACGCCCATGGAGCTCCTTGATCCGTCCGTATAGTGAGTTTTTTTATTTTCAAAAACTCCTGCTGGTATACATGAAAAGGTGTAAGGGCTTTGCGACATTTTCCAAGCGAATACAAAATTTTCAGTTTGGAAAATGTCCAGGGAGGGTTGGGAGCCACTGATTCTTTTTGTACTGGAGGTACGGGTATTTGTAATTCGTGCAAGAGTGTATATACAGAGCGGAAAGGTTTTTCGTATCCTTTCGTACCATCCCTAACCATCCCATACGTGATGAGCTGTCAGATCTCAGACTAGTCCCTGGAAATAGACGATTTAGTGGGTGTGACTTAGAGGAAGTGATTTTAGCAAAAAACTTCAATCAAGAAAGTCACGTCTGAAACTTAAAGGCATTTCTCCAACATCTGCATGAAGGCTGTACGAGGGACTAGTCTGACTTCTCCGGAAAGCACCTGTCATCAACCTAAGTCCCGTATTCTGTATTGGGTCGAGCAGGCCGATTGTATTTTTAGTAGCGGAATTGTATGCATTACATCCATAGTCCAGTTTTGTTCTTATTAAATTTCTGTATAATATCATGAGTCCTCGGCGATCAGCACCCCAAGAGCGTGAACTAATCGACCTCAGTACGTTCACTGAACGAAAGCATTTTGTTTTTAATCATTTTATATGCGCATTCCAATTCAGTGTCCTGTCAAAGATAACCCCCAGGTATCGACTGGATCTGAATACGAGAGAAGACAGTTGGATATGTACAAGGAAGAGTAGCTGGAGTGGGGAGATGAGTGGACGCCGTTTTACAAAAAGTGTAGCAGTTGTTTTTTTGTGGGGAAACGGTGAAACCATGTTCACAGAGCCATCTGTTTACCTTATTCAAGGTGCTTTGCATTTGTGTTTGTAGAGAATTTATATTTCTCTCACTACAGTATTTTTGTGCAAGGTTGTCCGCATATAGCATTCCTTCACAGGAAGGTTCTATGCATTTCAAAACATTTTTACTTGCAACGCAAAATAATATAGGGCTTAGTACACTGCTCTGTGGCACCCCGTTCTCCTGAACATAGCTACCCGACAGTGTCGATCCACATCCAACTGAAAGGAAAGAGTGTTTATTTCGCCTGGTTTCCCGGACATGCAAATACTAAAGGAAACCGTTTGGCAGATGAAGCTGCAAAAGAAGCAGCCATTGCAGGCCTTCAAAACAGGGACGTCCCAAAGGGTGATATGAATGCAGTTTACAAGTTTCCAGTTAATGGTCAATGGAAACAGGTCTGGACTAATATACCTGAAAACAAACTACGGGAAATAAAGGGCTCTGTAGATGCACGGCCTACTTCATTCAGGAATAGTAGAAGGGAAGAAGTGGTTCTTGCACGGTTGAGGATTGGACACTGTAGAGTCACTAAGGGTCATTTGATGGGGCGAGAGGTACCTCCAATTTGCGGAATGTGCAATCAGATCATCACAGACAAACATATGCTTACGTTATACTCATTACATTCAGCCCATAGACTTCTGCACTCCTTGCCTATAAGCATCCATGAAATACTTGGCGATAACCACGATAGTAAGCGTAATTAGTTTATTTTTCTCAAATCAGCAACTCTGCTCGAGAAAATATGAGCTTATCACACTATTTGTCCTTCTCTTTTTCACTTTTTTGAGCTAATAAAATATATTAAAAGGAAGAAGTAGGGAAGGAAAAGGGGAAAATAAATAAATAAATAAGTAGATAAAAATTCTCACTATATACACTATTCTCACTACAGTGCATCAGTGCCATGTACGAAATCGTAAATACATCCGTCGTGTCCAATGTGTGAACAACATCCGAGAGCTATTCGTTTTTCAAATGTTAAAATAACAAATTATTTAACACAAACAACCATAAACCTTAAAGGTAATTTATGCACTTATCTCTGTTTTTCTCGAAATAATTTCAATTTTTTATCCTAGTACAACTATTTATTGGATTATTTGTGTGTGTGTGTGTGTTGTGTTAATTTTGGTGTAAAACAAAACTTAAACTTGTCTATTTTACTTAATCATACGTAACTTTTAGCTTTATTACACTAAGCGTCATAAACTTGTAAAAATATTTTAAGATTTATTTAACAATAAATTGTATTAATGTCCTGCCATAAGAATATTTATAAAATAAGAGAATTTCCACCATTAAATCTTGAATCAGAAAACCTATTGGTCAAACTGGAGGAAGCCACATTGTAGAGTTGGGACTTGGACTTTCGGTTTTTTATTACTTATGTTCTTTCTATTCAGGTTTACATAAATATGAAGAAGACTGGTTGTCTAAGCCTACATAAATTGTTGTTTCTAATGTTTTTCAGTCGTATATCAGAGCGGACAGGAGTGGTCGTTTGGAAAGGCGCGGTGGCTTACACAACGAGTCCGTGACCCCGGAGGTCTCGGTGTTAACGACTCGCGTTATCCACGGCAAACTGCAGCCTTTCGTTACAATTTCGTCAAAATCTATGATAGCTACCTGGTAAATAATAGACGGTTGCCAATGGACAAGTATGGCTTTCGAGTTCAGTTCAACATTCAGATGATTTACTTTAAGACCGCAAGACAAAAGGCCGTTCGCGGGGTAATTTCTGTGCCAATTTCACATCATGCTTGGCAAAAGAGGGTCAGTTTGGTCGATTCCGATTTTTTTAGGTCTGCCTGTCCTAGCTGTTTTCTGTGACGGGCCAAAACAACGAAGATACGAGAGGTTCATCACCTCGCATCATCAAAAATTGCCATTGACGTTTCAACATCATTTTAATTCTAAACACTTACCCGGGGTGATTCACTACTCTTAGGACAAAATTCGAAAGGACGTTCTACAGTGCAATGCAAAGAAAAAGTTCATGCCCCGATTCTCAATCTTTTCGCAAATTTTCAACATTTTATGTTTGTTTTTTTCAACTATCAACGGATTTTCTCATAAAGCTACTCGTAGGTCTTAAACTATTCATTTTTATTTTCAGCGACCAACAAAACAGAAAAATTGGACAAAATAACTACACATAACAAAATCCCAAATTATGGTCTGTCGGCAGGGAGGCGGAAGACTTAAGAAAAATGAAAGATGGTTTTTCAAAAGTGAAAGAGTGGACTGCGTAAATTAATACCTTAGTATCAATTTCACTAAGTCCTTGAAGATGAAGCATCACTGCAGAGAGAAGGTCAGCAGCGCTAAATACGCCGTTAATAGTCTGTGGCGCAAAATAATGACCAACAAGCTGATCCCACTAGAGAAAAAGATGGTGATACTCAACAGCACCCTGAGGTCTGTAGTATGTTATGGTGCGCAGGTCTGGGGTTACTTATTGAAGGAAATAGAAAAGGTCCAGAAATACTTCATCAAGAAACTGCTCTGCCTGCCAATTAGCACCCCAGACCACATATTATATATTGAGTGCTCGGTCACACCACTATACAGTCACACTTTGAGTCTGCATTTGAAATATATAAGAAAAGTACTGAATCACACACCTGGCAGTTTTTGGCCGATGTAGTAATAAATAAAGGCATATTATGGCACAAGCAGCTGTCAGAGTTAGGTAGGCTGTACGGTGTAGGAGTAAGTAGGGAAGAACTGAAGTCCTCTAATACCACGGACGTGATAAAAAAATGGGAGGAGAGCAAAAGGAAAGACCTGGTAACCCGTGCGAGAAACAGTTTAATCACAACTTGTACGCAAGACTGGATTTTGACTTAGGGCGAAACTAGGTGTGCTCTAATATGACAGCTTATGAGGTGTCTCTGGTCTTGAGGGCGAAGGGTGAATTGCTTCAGCTGAACTGCCAACGTGGAGACAGGACCGCGCCATCATTTGCTCCTTATGTAACCTCAACGTTGTAACCGGGTAATTAAGTCATGGCCCAGAGTTGGCGTAGATGTTGTTGTCTCGGGCGCTCTGAACTTTGGCCGAGACTGGAGCGAGCGGAGAGGAAGCCAGATCAGCACGAGCAGGATTCCACGAGTCGTCCTACGAGAGTGATCGAGGATTTTTGTACGTCTACCGGACTATCGTTTTCCTTCGAATTATCGGATACCGCCTCGTGTCTCTCTCGGAGAAGAGTGAGTGCTCACATCGGACATTTTATCGTATGTTAAAGGCCAAAATTTCATGTACATAGTTTAAGTTCAATTAGGATAAGGATACCGTTTCTTTTGTTTATTTCGTTATCTGTAAATATAGTTAATTTACCATCACACCTTTATTTCTTTGTTTATCTTTAAATTTTCTTTATTTAACAATAGTCTGGTCCATTGCGAACCCTCCCGTCTCACGCGGAGCTATCTCCTGGCAGCCAACATTTTGTTTCCCCATTCGATAGTCAAATGGCTATCTGGCGCCCGATTTAGAAAATTATCTTTTAGTCTGGAAACCAGACCGGGGGTTACAACGTCCCGGAGGACACTCTCCACTTCATATGAGTGTGCCACCGTTCTGAGAGAGTTCCGCCAAAGGTACTTTGGGAAACTGAAGCTGGATGTAGAAGAAGCCATTGCAATCCTTAACGGAATGGATAACTGGAGTAAGCTTGTGGTGTACCTCATTCACGCCCAGCGGTACCGAAAATACCTGGTTGACCACTTGAATTTTTAAAATCAAAGGTAATTCTAAAGATACAAAAACAGGGATTCATTCAAGATTCAAAAATTCATAAAGCAACTCGACAGACGGCTAAGGCCATTGTCAATTTAGCTTGTTTGGAAATGTAAAGTTAATATAAATACTTTGTGTAAATAAAGCCTTTATTAATTCATAACTACACATAACACAGAAAAACAGTCAGAATACAAACGTTGTAAAACCCAAACAGTGAGAAATTAAAGCAGGAAAAGTACATTGAATTTTCTTGCTTGTTTATTTAGATAAAGTTTGGTACGATGTTGTTGTTCTTTTTCATGTGTCTGTTTAGTGTAGATTTTGTATTTTGTCCAATTTTACTGATTTGGTTGTTCGGGATGTTTATTGTCTCTATTTTATGTGTTTTGTTTCATTTTTCTTTCTTTTTAAGCTTTTTTATCAAGTTTAAGTTGAGAAATAAATTTTGCCCTGGACAAAAAAAGGTGAATTATTAGTTAAACCCCCTCCCCCTTTTTTCAATTTAGCAATAACATTTCTACATTTTGAGTCGATGTAATTAAAGAAAAGCACCGCTAAAAGCTCATTAAACTGAGAAATTGTTATTAAATGTGCCAAGTTCTACCGTGAAGTTTTCCGAGGGAGTTGCAAATTTAGTTTTTTTACAAATTTCAAAATTAGCAGTTTTTGCAAGATTTAGTGTTTGTTTTTGTCTTTTATCAAAAATTAAATTGAAAGTTCTAAAAGAATGCCTTCTTAAAGGAAATTTAACGCTCTTTTCAATGCTTTTTGAATTTCCCCAAAAATGAATAGTTCAAGAGAGTATTTATGACGAAAACCGTAGATAGTTGAAAAAAAAGTTGAGTATCTGCAAAAGGGTTGAGAATCAGACCATGGCTCATACGAACTTTTTTGTTGAATTTAAGTCGCACCGGACAAACTTTGTCATACGACCAGTGAATCTTCTTGTATAAAAAGAATAACAATTCTTCCTTCAATATTGTCCTATAAACAATACTTCATATATTTATCAAATTAAATATTGCCACAAAGAAAGACTTAATTAAACAAAATAAAAAGATTAATCGCCTCCGATAAACATTCTTTTTTAACATTAAACATTCTCATAATCGTTGAACGGTTGTGTAACATAACTAGTTAGTCCTAAGTTAACTTTTTAATTTCCTAAATAAGCCCCCTCACAATGTACTCCTAGGTCTTTAATATAAGTTATATTGAAAAAATATTATTAGAAATATTATAAGAAGAGCAGAATTTTTTAGAACCTTGGTAGTAAGACATTAAATCGGATTCGAAGTATTTGTGGTCAAATCTGAAACCTACTAATCTATTCCTGAGAGAGACTTTTGCGAAAAAAGCATCCTGAGCATTCAAAATTTCGCGATGAATTTTAAGATACTGCAAAAATAAGAACTAATTATTCTAAAATCGTGAGATGCGGTCTGGTGTGATGTAGGTTTCAGAAAAACATTTTCTTTATCGTGCCAACGTTTCGATCTTTAAATGATAATACCCTCTGAGTGGGCACTCTCAACACGACACGCAAGTATGGCACAATTACGCAGAAAACAAACACTTTGAGCCCTGAAGATGATCTCAATAAAGATCGAAACGTTGGCACGATAAAGAAAATATTTTTCGAAACCTACGTCACACCAGACCGCATCTCACGATTTTAGAATAATTATTGACTAACGGTCACTAATCACAACAAAAAAAAAAAGAGAAAAAAAGAAAATTAATAAAAGAATCCATATTGTTAAAAAATAAAAGAAACAACAACTATACTAAATGAGATTCCTGTGGGACGCCAGAACAAGCATGCAATTCAAAAGAAAGGGAAGAACTAATAAGTTGTAACAAGAACTGATAGCCCATTGGTGAATTTGATGTAAAAGAAGGCCAATATTTACAGAATCAAAAATTTTGTGTTATCTAAATAAATGACATCAAATTGATTTTTAAAAAAATTGAAATACAGATCAGTTACAGTGTTGCAAAGTAAGTACGTTAGTGGTAGTTGAGCATTTTGGTATAAAGGCATGTTCGGGAATTTTAGCAGAGTGTAATAATGGAGTAATTGGTCGTATATCGTAACGGAAAGAATACAAACAGGGCGATATTTTTTCACGTTTCTACGGTCACCAGAATAATAAATGGGAAGAATGCAGCTACTTTTCCGTTGGGAACTGACCTCTAGACTATTGATTAAATAATATGTAAGAGCGGAATTGAGAATGAAAAACAGTTTTTAAGAAGTATTGCAAGAATGGCATCAGGATCCACTGGACAAAGAGTTTTTAAGAAAATTATTTTGGAAACAATTGCATCACAAGGAAAGTTATGGAGGAGTTTCACTCTATATTTGTCAGCAGATCAATCTCTCTCGTTCTGTTTCTATACTCGCAGTGTTTCAATCTGATTTTAAAAATGGTTAAACGAAAATTTTTCATCTTTTAGGAAAGGGAAGTAAAATGTTTGTCTTTTCTTGATCACTGACAATTTTGTTGATATTTTTATTTAGCCTTGCTTTGAAAAAGTAAGTTTCATTATGACTAGGCCGACGGATATCTGCTATCTTGTCGTTTTAAAGACCGGATCCTCTGTTCCGTAACACGTGCCGTCAACGACTTTTAACGGACTTTCGAGTGGCAGCTGTTCTTTTATCAGACCGTGTTCATTCTTCCTATGTAACGTTTAATTTAAGTTCTGCTTTGAATTTCAGTTATTTTTGTGTTCCTGTTGAGTACTGATTAACACTTAGACAAACTCCATTAAGTAAAAAATTTAAATCACGAATTATAAAAGGCTTTAGCAGTATAGAAACAAGTTTGACTCGGTTTGTCGTTTTGCTGGTGGGTACTCGGGTAGACGCGTGCCAGCTGCCAGGAAGGGTGATTCCCTCTCCCCCTCCTCTTTTTATTCAAAATGCATCCCCCTTGGTACCTTTAAACCGCCAAACCGTCAGTTGCCTTTTAAACTTCTACAAGTCCCTGACTCGATCTGTGATGGTTCTATAAAATTTAAAAAAAAATGTCGAAGAAGTGTTATAATAATGCGGCGTTCAACATCGCTCAAGACAGGAGGGATGTCGGGAGAGACTCGATGAATAATCGGTTGGAAATCGGCGGATTCCAGGCCTATAACGAGACTTTCGTAGATGACAACGGACTAGAAATGTGCAGAGAACCTTACGTCGACATTAGGGAAGAAACGCTTACGAGGAACGTGCCGAAATGCAGGAGGTCAATCGCGAACCCGTCAATCAGGCACTATGACTTTGCCAAAAGGGGCCTGGAATTTCACCAACTGGCAGTCGGCTTCCACAAAGACGGATACGTCGTTCCTCTCCAAGATATTCCGTTCCGTTACGAATCCGACGGCGAGGCGAGCTGTTCGACGACCCCGAAGAAGGATTCAACGAGGGATTGTAACGATTCCGTTGACGCCCTTTACAGACGCTACGAGGAGATCGAATCTGCAAATGAAGAGTACGTCGATTATCCAGAAGACAGGATGGGATTCAGAAGCGATCTTTCTATTAGGGAGTCGCCTCTTGGCTGTTCCGGCCCTTACAAGACGGAAACGCCGGTCTCTACGCCCAAAAAATCCGTCTCTTTGAAGCTGACTCCTTCAAAAACCCCGACGAAACTCTCAAGGAGGAACACGGTCGTCCTGGCCCCGATGATCGCTCACGTCGAGAAGCAAAGGTCCCTGCATCGATCCAGGTCGACCATCCTATCCTCGCCAAGGAGGCCCATCCTCGCCCGGAGCCCTGGCAAATCGTCGACAATGCTTCCGACGCACATATTCCAACAGGCGCAGCTTCACCGGCAAAACATCAATTTGGGGAAGAGCATGCCTAACGTGGTCGTACCTAGGTATCACACACCGATCCGACTACCGTCTTTCAACCATTTGTTCGAATCTGAACTGATAGATCCAGCACTAGAAAGGATGATATCTCCCAACCGGAAACCAAACACTGCTGTGAGTACTTTCATAATTTTTTTTTATCGTTCAGGACAGTTAAAAAAAGAAAAAGTAGGCAGTTGATAGAATTTTATTTAAACGAACGGTAAACCTTTTAGAAAAGTTTGAAATTAGGCGAGCAAAAACAAAAGTTTTAGATTCAAAGCCAATGATTTCGCACCTCCCCGCCTTCTTTAGAATTTATAGAAATTTTAACGCACTGAAAAGTAGTTGTAACGAAATTACACGAAACATTTCTATAAAAAGTGTAATTTTAATATTAATCACAAACTCGACCATGCATTTTTTTCTTAAAATAGTACAATTATTCTCAATCGAGTATATAATTAAAAAAAAGGTTAAACGGGTTGGATATCAATGGTGAAATCTCTGAAACAAGGGCGAAGGTTTTCGTTAAAAAGTTAACTGAATTATTTTAAATAATGTAAAATTATTATTAATAATTATTTGCGGTTATACTTTTACAGAATTTAAAAGAACTTTGGCTAGACTGTAAAAGATCTACTTTTTTGTGGGGGGCGGGATTTTAGTTGCATTATTCGTTTGAAATGTATGAAATTTACAAAAGAGAACAAATTTAATTTGCTCTGTACATTTTGTCAAACTGTACAACTCGTATTTCCAGGGTGAAAATATGCAAGTTGCTGAAAAACAGAAGGCAATAATCCCAAGAAGGATAGTAAATATTTAAAAATAAATAATTTTTTTTTAAATAAATTTCTTAGGAATTTTTTTAAATAGAAATGATAAAGAACTGCTTAAATTTGTTCTGGCTTTTAGTGGGCTGTTACATTAAAAATATTTAATCGGACAGAAATTTAAAGATTAAACATGATGTTACACGAGGGTCTATACTGGGTTCAGTCATATTAGACTATATTCATAGTAGATTAAGCAAGCCATTACTCTTGTTTTCTATGACATCAAAAACAAATACATATTTATAATAAACTAAAAAATTGTATCAAATATTATAAATTTACTTCAAAAAAGAAAGCCATAACTGCCAGCCCATCACTGTTTTCCTGTTGTAGTGCATTTCCGTTGCAAATCTGAAGTAAATGTATACGTATTATTAAACAGATATGAATTTTGATTTACAAAAAGCTCATGAATGATTTTATGTATTTTGTAATTAAGTTTTTGTCTCTTGTTAGAGAAAAAGTTGAAATGATCCTTTAAAATCGGTCTCTCATGAAGATATGTACTACTCTCCCTCTCTTATTTAAATATTTTACTTACTTTCTTTTTAATATTAATAAATTGACAGTTTCTGTCAATTTGTTTATCTGTCCCATTCTTTCCTCTCCCTCCTCTCTCTCACTCGCACACGCACACGCACGCACGCGCGCGCGCACNCACACACTCACTCACTCACTCTATTTGTTATATTGACTTTATAAATTGTAACAATGGGAACATAACAACTTTCCTGATCACAAAAAAATCAAAAGACTAATAAACCAGCTTCTTAAAAAATAATTTTACATCCATTACCAATTTTAACAAATTTAATGCAAAAAGTTGGTTTAAAAAGTCCTCATTTACACAAGTACATGCGTACGATTGAGCAATTTCCATGCTTTTCATTTAATACTGTTTTAAATCTTGTAGGTAATTACACCGAATATGAGAAGCAGCATAGCACCTCTACTTCCAACTACGCCGCCACACGAAACTTCACCTCAGCCTCCAGTCAAATCGCCTTCTAATTACTCAAAAGTGAGCTGGGCCACACTACCAACGATACATCTTCCAATTGAAACACTGTGCTTCTTCGGTTTCATCATGCTCACTGCTGGTGCAGCGACGACAATCCTGTGCTTTTATCTTCTATCCATTGTGAGTATTAAAAAAAATTTGCTACTTGGACATTAGTACAATTTAAATGATCTTGTATTTACAAACAAATTTAGTGCTTTGTTTTATTAGATTTTTTAAAATGGAATTACATATATGATTTAGCTGTTAGAAAGGATAAATGTTTATCGTGTGCGCTGTGTCGAAATCATTTTATTTTGCTCAAAATGTGTGATTAAGTTTTATTTTTGTTGCTTGTAATCAGTAAAATTCATAAGTCATTTCAAGTACAATTTCAATAGCCACTAACTTATCCAATTTTCGTACATATATGTACCACATACAAGTATAATTTAATTGCAATTAATAATCAAACTATTAATTATATGTTGGTGATTTTAGGCTGGAAAGAGGTATTTTCTAAACTTCGGTGCTGTGGCTGGTTTTGCCTCTCTAATTTTAGGTTTGTTGAGTTGTAGAACGAACAAATGGCGATGGCTACCGCATAGAAATTATTTGACAGGTACCACTCTCTAATAAATTTGTAACTATTTGATTTAACACAAACTTTTTTTGCAGGATATATCTTGCTGGGTACCTTCAGTCTGCTAAATGCAGCCTGCTTAGGTGGTATATTTTACGCGATTGAGGTCCAGAGCCACGCTTTACTCGACACATTGGGCGGCGCTGTGTGCGGAGTATCAGTTCTTCTCATCATCGGATCTGTGATCGGCATGATCACCTCCGGTTGTTGCCATCGGCCTCCCCCGGACAACAGAGTCGCCCACTGTGTCACGGGGTTCACAGTATGAAACTTTCCTGCACCAAAGCTAAATTGAATTGTGGATATATCAAAATATCAAAGAAAAAATGTGATAAAATCTATTTTAAAATGTATATAGTAGGAGTAATATAAAAATTTATATGTGAAGGTAAACTAACTAGTAATAAAATCCATTTATTTTAATCTTAAATCTTTTACCACCTTAAATTTATTTTTCTTAAAGTTTTATACAATTTAATTTATTTACCTAATTTAAATTTTTAATAATAATACTCCAATAAAATAAAATCATGACTAACCATGTTTTCAGAAAGAAATTTTTAGTCCATGTCCATGGAAATACTCAAATGGACTCAAATGTAGTCTTCTACAAAGGACTTTTTATTTAATTAATTGCTATGTTGCTAAATGGTAAGGAATTGTCAATAATTAACAGTTGCTTTCTTTTACATTTAAAGCTTAATATTTTTGAACTTGCTAGAGCGAGACAAAAAAATATTTAAATGTTTGACAAGAAAAGCATTACTTAATTCCATTTAAGTACTATTTTGATTTATAGGGTGTACAAATTAGTTCCAAAACTCTGGGGAGCTAAAATTAGGAAAGAACATTTTCAGGTTTGCTGTTTCTGTCGGGAACCTTCTAGCATACACTTTTCTCTTACCGAGGCTCTGTATATGTCGATAATTATCGACTAAACTATCTCCATTGATTGAGAGTTGACGGAATTGTGAAATCTTAAAAAAAAAATTACAAACCAAATTAAAATGTCTATTGATTTTTACGATTTTTATACCTGTTTATAAGACATGGGTTGTGGATCGGGAAATACAATCCACGTAACTGCTTCAGAGCAAGGGGGTGTAGTTAACGATCCTCTGTACATATAAAACATCGTCTTGTCAAATGGCAACAGAGAAGACAATGTAAAAGATTGTGAAATCATAAAACTCGTCCCTTCGTGTTTTATCATATTAAGCTCGTTTAGAATTGGATCTAAGCCATTACTCTCATGTTCTCTCACCTTTCAAAAACGAATAATTAAAATAACCGACAAATTTGTAGCAATCTACTTACTTCAAAAAAGAAAGCCATAACTGCCAGCCCATCACTGTTTTCCATTGCTTCTTCCATTGAATTGTATTTAAGATTTCTTGTGACTATGTGCATTTCCATTGCAAACCTGAAATAAATGTTGTATAAATGTTATTAAAAAACATATGAATTTGGATTTACAAAGAGCTCTTGAATGAGTTTATACATTTTCTGCAAGTAATTGAGTGTGTCCGAGTGGCGATGGACACCACAGAGAAAGAAATTCCAATGTTGAGAGACTCAAACAACCGATGTTTGTAATTGAGTTTTTGTCTCTTGTAAGAGAAAAATTGCAATGATCCTGTAAGAGAGGTCTCTCTCTCTCTCTCTCTCTCTCTCTCTCTCTCTCTCTCACTCTCTAATTTCCTTCTCTTCTCTCTCTCTCTCTATCTCTCTCTCTCTATCTATCTATCTATCTCTCTATCTCTCTTTCACTCTCTACCTGTAAATGTGTTTGTTTATATAGCAATAGTGTTCTTGTTTATTAATTTATATGTCTGTGTCTAGGGCAGGGTGGCCACTTATCCATGTGGCCATTGCAAAGTATGGCAGAGGGATGGATTTCAGACTCTGCTGTGTGAGGATGTGGATGGCACATATAAAAGGATCTCAATTTTTTAATAAACACAGAAGCCAATCTTTTCCTCCTGTAAAGAATATGCTACCTATAATTTTATTTAAGCCAAATGTTAAATATTAGTAAAAGGAAATTAAAGAGTTCTTTTAAAGCTAAATGTTTATTAAAATTTAAAATATAGACTAGATATAACACTGACTTTGATGTTAATTAGTTAATAAAAAGAAAGTTTTTATACATCAAAAATAAAAATGTCTAAAAATAACTTAAAATAACTGGTCCTTATTATTTACATGATAGGGTTAATTCAAATTAAAAAAGAAGCATTAGCTTCTTCAAACAAAAAAATTCCATAGTAAATTTTAAGTATTTTTAAAAATTCAGAATTTACACAAAAAAAAAATGTAAATAGGATGATATCTTAATGTATATTTCACCTAGCACAGTCTCCTAATCTCAAATTTAAGTTATAAGTAAATCTATACAAAAATATTAAGACAAGCTTATGACATAAAAACATTACCTCATTCCATTAATGACATGCTCGCTACCCCTGTTGTTTTTTTTACCCCAGTGAAAATGGAGGCCGTGCACTTCAAACTCACCGGGCAGAAGAGCGCCGAATATTTTTGCAAAAGGCACCATTGGTCTAATGTCAACTGAAGTTTTTCGTAATAGTAAATATGAGAGTATAGGTCCAATTGTTTTAATCCGTACCTGAATGTCCATTATTGAAAATAGTTATTGGCCGGGGTACGAGGTTGTCAAATCCTACCATCTCGAGCGCAGGAATCGCCAATGAGATCGCCTTTTCACTATCAATCGCTATGGGGGATTGTCGATACCCGGAACAGCTTTGGGAATAGTTATGCCATGAGTTTTGTTCTAGATACAAAAAAAAAAAAAAAATGCCATAGAAAAAAATATTTTAATTTGATACAATATTTACAGTACAAACCGTTACGAGAATATCCAAAATGCCTGCATTGTATAATCTGCCAAAATTCTGTAATTTAAAATGAAGACAATATAAATTATTGTGAAATGGAATTTGTCTCTGATCTTGAAAAAATAATAAAATAAAATAACTTAAAAAAATACAAGAGACAAAATGTGAGGAGCTGATCGGAAAATAATAATAATAATAATATAAAAAAATGATGTCTGTAAATTTTATTTGCTTAATTTATAGAAACTAACATAATAAAATCTAAGTAATTTTTTTAAAATTTTAATTTTGTTTACTTGTGGAATTGAGGGTTTAACTATGAACTTATCTTTTAATTAATTTATTAAATTTGAGTAACTTATTCTGCTCGTTTTACAAAAGCTTACTTCTCTTAAGTGATTTGTACAAGATAAATCAACAAGATAAATCCAAGATTAATGATAATTTTTACAAGGTTTCCTTAAATACAAAACACCTGTGGTAAAAAGCGAAATAAAATAATATTTTTAAGAAAAATAACTTACAAGTTTAACTAAATACTTAGTTCCTAAAAATAAGTTTAGCAAAATACCCAAAATGCGTAATATCAATGCAGTATAGCCTGTCCTCTTCATCACTTTCGTCACTATGACCTAATAAGATATTTCAGACGGTGATTAGCTGCTTCTTTGTTCATCCTCACTAACAGCAGGTGGGTAATAACTGCTTTTGAATATTCAGCACCAAGGACTGACTGGCAGGGTAATTGTTATATAGGCGCTGTAAAGCATTTGACAAGCTAATAAGAGTCTGATTCATAAACAGATTAACATTTTAAGCTAGATGATTGTACAATGTTTGATCTGTAATAAAAGTAATCCTGGGATTACAACCAGGGAGGAGATTGGTTTTCTAGCATCACTTTTTTATGTAATTATATTTTTTGTTTTTATAATTAAGTTAATTTTGGATATAAACCTTTCTGTGTTTTGTCATATTTTTGAACCAATTAAATTGAAAAAGATGCAAATTAAAATTATAGCAATTTTTTTACTTAAATAAATTCTCTATTCTCAATTTCGCTTGTGATGTATAGTTGGAAAACTCAATGCCTGGTTAGAATAGAAAAACACTTTAAAGAATAAGTTGAAAATATATTTCTCAAATTTTTGAATAGATTCTAGAAAATATTTATAACACTTTTAATATCGAAACAATTTTAATCAAAATATAAAAAATAATAACTAATATTCTAGACCACTAGATCTTAGGATTATCCAAATAAGCAAAGTTATTACAAAAATAGTTATATATAATCAACAAAAAAGATTTAAAAAATATTTAAAAACATATGTTTATTTATCTCAATTAGGAAGAGAGAGCAATTCTTCTTTCACATATCACACTTATGACCTGGTAACAAAATAAATGACATGAATTGGCTTGAAACAGTATTGAAATGATCCTTACGTGGGTTTGAATTTGTGATTCGCTTGGCTTGAGAATAACTGATCCCCAAAATTCCATTTTTATTTTTCGATTCACCGTTCATTTCGTTCAAAAAGAAATTCTTCACTCGCTCTCCGTAGTTTTTCAATTCCAAATATGCTGGAATTTCTTTAAAATTGAATTGACTATCTTTCGTACCTTGATGAGAGTGTATATTTGGCAAGCCTATAATTTGATTCGAGTATTTAAATAAAACAATACATATTTTTCTTTCAGAAAAAAATCTTACTACGATAATTTATTGTGTCCATTGCAATTTGTATTAGATTGTTTTTCTGGCCGTTTGGCTGTGGCTTGTAATTGGAAAACAGTTTTGGCCCATTGTCGATATTCATTATTCTATTCAAAAATTAATTTAAGAAACCATACATATAAATTTAATAATCTATAAAAAAAAGAACTAGTAAGATAGCAGTTATTTATGTCAGTATTATACAAGAGTCATTTTGGACCTTGAAACATCTGAAAAAAAGCCTGTAAGGCTTTGAAATACATTAAATGTGAATTTGTATGAACCTGGGTGTTTTCATTAATTAAAACTTCACACTCAGTATGTCTGCAGAATAACCAAGATAATAATAAAAAAAAGCTTGGATGGCAATAGGATAAATTAGATTACGAGTGAATGTTTGGAGAGAGCTTTATAGCACTCAGAAGAGATATAGCTAACCTAAGATAGAAGGTTTGGATGTTAGGGCGTGAAATGACCTTAGCCGTTAAAACGCCCTTAAAAATTAATAATAATAATAATAATTATTATTATATAAATATTAGTTTTAAAGATATGGCACAACAAGTCTATTACAAAGTTCTCACTAAAAATATTAATATAAGCTTTTGATAATTTTGTATCGAAAAATCTTGGATATAAAACAACAACACCATGAAACTTCACCTCAGCAATCGCCTTCTAATTACTCAAAAGTGAGTTGGGCCACCCTACCGATGATGCATTTTCCAATTGAAATGTTATGTTACTTTGGGTTCATTCATCATGGTCGCAGCTGGTGAATATCTTGTAATGCAGAAATTAGTGCAATTTCTTGAATTTGTTCATTTTTATTTACCAAAATCAATAAGATACAATTATATACATATGTTTATAATTAATATGGAAAGTAAAATACCTACTCCATTATACGGCTTGGTAATAAACCGTCTCCTGGGGTTGAGCAAATTATAGAGGTAAAAAAAGAAAAAGAAAAGATACATATAAAATGAGTTAGAAAAAGAAAAATAACCTTAAAGGGATCAAACGCATAAATGAATCTAGGTACTGTGGGATTGAAGAGACCAAGAAAACTTAACTAATAAAGTGGCAACAATGTATTATAAAATTGAGGAACTCTAATAGATAAGAAGCAGAAAGCCACTGTACCAAAAAAGAAAAGGTGCCAGAGGTGTCAGAGTACCTAGAACAGAGACCCAAAATGAAACATGTCTTCTACATCCTCAGAACCGTATACAACACATCATCCATCTACTGTGTGATTCATATAAACAAACTCCCCATAAATTAAAAATCCAATTTAACTGGGAAAAACAATAAATTTGAATGGTCAGCTAGAAGGCTACACATATTAGAGCAAGGGTTTAGATGAGGGTAGAGAGAAAAATCGGTAGAAGCAGCATGAGACTCAAACTCTTCTCGGCTAGCTGAACTTACTTTTGCCACTGAAGTATATAATTGGTCGTTCCAGAAAGATATTTAGAGTTGAATTATCAAATGGAGAATTATATTTCTGAGAGAGATCTGCCCAACTTTTAGGCCAAAATGTATTATTGTTTATAATTTTCGGAATAACCTGGGAGTATGAGCTGAACAATTAATTCTACTGTTGAAAAGAAATTTCTGAAAAAGCTGACCTTGGTAAAATCTTAAATTAAATGCTTTATTTAAAATAAAATCATGAAATTCATTCTGTAACATCTGTTTAATAACTGGAAACTATTTAACATATGTATATAATAAAAATAGTTTACATTTTGGCAATTAACTATATTTTAAGCTTTACACTACATTAAAAACTTTATCTGACTTGGCTGAACACCCTCGCCTGCCTACGCTGGCTAGTTTTGTTAGAACAGGCAGACCTAGATGACCACGGGCTCTCAAGATAGGCACATCACCTTGCAGGCCTAACCACAATGTTTCACATAATCTCATGTTTTATTTGATTAGTTTTAATTCTACTCAGCTGGCTTAAGACCATACTTGAAATACCATAAAGGTTCTTGTTTTAAACTTTATGTGAGCTATACAATTTGAATGTAAAGATACAACGTACTTTCGCAAATAAAAGAAGAAAAAATACAAATTACAGTAAATACTTAATAGAGAAAATGACAATAATAAATGCATCATCCAGTCATACCTAAATAATTCTATTTAAGTCAAACATAAAATCTGCTTCCTACCTTAAGAACAGAGAATCTTGTAAATTGTTTGTGCTGTGTATGATGTAGGGTAATTTTATCGAGTTTACAACATAACTGGGTCAAACTATTCACACCATTTGTTATTGATTAAATGTGTTGTAACATGTTAATTTTTTTCTTTCTACTACGGACTGACTAGATGAGAATATTTGAACAATATAAAAAATTGGTAGGTCCTGGACATTTGAGCAGGTCTGGAGGATAAGTGCACTTTTATCAGACTCGAGTGATGTATGCAAATCACCTACACTGTTAAAATATATTAGATTATATATACTCAAACAGGCTGTAGTGCCATTCAGTATAAATAGTAAATAGTAGGGGTGTCCAACTGCAGACCATTGTGATATCTTTCTTTGGAGGTCCGAAGTAGTTGTACTATATGCTTCAAGTTCCTTTAATCAGTTCTGTAAGGATAAAAATGACGATAGTTTGTTAAAAAAAAAATCTTTCTTTACAGTTGAATAATACAAGTTTTGGGGTACACTAAGAAAATGGGGTTTCATTGATGCACTAAATATTGCAACTATTTTTTGGGCTTTATCTATTTATTTCCGTCTTTTATCAATTTAAGATAATAATATGTATATAATTTATTTGTATTTGAAATTAACGTATAAAGCCAAAGCTTTCATCAGCTGGTACCATTTGGGCATTACCAAACTTGGAGCAACTTTCAAAGAAAGCAGAGGACCCTTTTCCAATGCAAAAAAGAAGACATCTTAATAGATTTCTATAAGAAAAGATCGTCGATCCCCAATAAATAGGTAAATGTCGGTTTTTAGAGAGTGGTTTTGACTCGATAAATTCGTCATACCACCTGCATGATACCCACGGCGTTAACAAGAGGCGAAAGCGAATAAGATCGCTACGTGTTTTATTCAAGGTGCACGTCCTCCCATTGTCCTACAACCGGGTCGGAACGTGTCTCAGGAACAGAACCGATCGGTATTCACTTTTACCCATTTCCAAAAGGCCCCCCCCTGGAATGAATCGACGACTCAAACCAACATAGTTTACGATTTCGTTTGTTTTATCAGGCTATTCGGGTGATAAATATAATGTAAAAGCTGTTAAGTGTAGTCCAACTTACAAATTGATGAAATGTGGTTTATTCACTACGATTTTATAAAACAAACTCCGGTGATAATCAAGCTAGGAGACGTAGGGTGTATCACATTATACTTTATTGCTGGTGTTCTTGAAAATTTGAATTTTTTTTTCTTTTTATAAAGGTGTTTTATTTAATATAATTTTAAACATAAACCAAAAACTTTTAAATTTGTGAAGGCTTAACCTTTGAAAGCATATCACAAAAACTGTTTATGCAGTCTGTACATGAGAAAAACAACTATGGATATCAAATTTTCGTCAAATTTATCATAGATACAATCAATACGCAAAATAACGCGAGAAACTCCAATTTTGCTTACTAAAAAGTATGAGAAAATGAAAGCAAATTTTGGCTTGTTTGCTAGTATGTTTCTAATTCAGTCTGAAGAATAAAGAATGTGCAAACGTTAGATTAGATTGGATTATATAGGAGCCGGCTTCTTTACGATCTATGCAACGCGACCAGTATTGGTCTATTGTGCATCTACTTTATTTTTTAAACCTAGAGCACCTCGTTAAGCTTAAGGCTTTTTACCAGAAGCCAAAGCTTTTTCAAGGGCTTCTGTGTGTATCATTCAGGTCATGGCTTTTTATCTCCCAGTAATCTCACAGGCCTTTGCACCAACAGAGGATGTGCACCGCTGTTTCTTCTTTTTCTTGGCAATATCTGCACGGGATGTTTCTGCCAGTCCGGGTTTAGACATTTGCCTCCAGAATCTGCAGTGTCCGGTTAGCAGTACAACTATTATTCTAGTCCTAGCACGCCCTAGTTTTAGTAGTTCTGCCGTCAGTTTCTGAGATGATCCTTTGATAAACTTTTTCGCATGCCTCTGCCCCGGGCTACATTCCCATTGAACGGGGGACTTAATAATCCTTTGTTTAATGGATCCGCGTTTTTGGCAGTTTGGTAAGCCAGAGCAAACGTTATATAGACCACGAAAGTTTTCTGCAGGATTGTCATGTTAAAACGGTTTTTGACGCTTTTTGTTTTTTAAAAGTATTATGTGATTTATCCATTCTTGTTATTTTTTAAAAAGTAGGTGGTTTGAATGCAGTGTTTTGTCTTTTATTGGACGTCTTAGGGTCTGCTTGCTCTTCGTGATTCTTGGATTTGATCTATGTCGTTCACTGGTTCCTATTAAGGCCGAAGACCAAATTAAGTATAACTTACAAGTACTCAAGAAAGTTACTTATCTTTTTTTCAAAATCATCAGTTTTAAAAATTGTTGTCCATCAAATGGTTAACCCGAAGTATCCGGAATGAACATCAAATAGACCATTGTCAGCATAACTATTCAGTTAAAACTGTTATCACGAAATATAACAATAAAAGAAAATGTTTATTCTTTTAAATAATTCGTTTATATCAACTGTAAAAATAAGTATTCTTCTTATTTTTTATTTATTTTCATCTTAAACCGTACAATCAATGGACATATAGTCAAATCAGCATTAATTTATGTTGATTAGATTTTTTTCTTCCTTGTTGCTTATTTTCTCTAGTTCCTTTAAAAATCCCTTTCTACGACAATTAATGGGTTAATGCCAGTTTTTGGAAATTTTAATCGACTTGATACGCGATCCTTTAAAAATAAATCATGATCAGAATTTTCTTTTGGCTACAAATGTGCACGATTTGCAAATTGTATGATGTTTCATCGATTAGAAACTTCCGAAAATTTAAGAATTATTTTTATGTCTATGTCATTCCTACAATCATAACGAAATGGTCTAAAAAATTTTGATCAAAATCAGGCTAGTAGATTTCGAGATTACCTTTTACACACAAACCAACTTTCTCTCTTTATTATATTAGTATAGATAAAAGCCATTGACATTAAGATTGGATGAAAACAAAATTTTTCTTCCCCTTAAAGAAAAAAATAAAGGGTCAAAATACAGCGTTTAAGTCTTCTTCGTTAGCATCGTTGCATAATTGTAGAAATCAATTTTTATTCGTTATTTGAAAAGGGAACCAAGTTGAAAAACGATATTGTCAACGTTATGCCTTCCATGGCATAAACTGCATGAACCGGAATTACATCAAACCTCGATATATTAACAAGTCTGGTTCTAGTAAAAACAATACGAAAAATTCGTGATATAAACACACAAATGTTTGGTTCAACATCCAAATGTATGTTTCTAGTTTTGTTGGGTAGAAGGGACTTAAAGAACAGAAAGGACTTGATCAAATCCTCTTTGTACATTTTTAATAACCGAATCCCGCTCGTGACGTTGAGTTTTTTTATTTCAACCAATACCTTACATAAAGTTTAATTAATTGGAAGAAGTTATTTGGTCAATCGGGCCACGAACTCAAATGGATTCTTAATAACGTCAAAGTAGGCCAAAACAGCTTCGCTATCAAGTTACACAACTTAGCTGGAGAGATGAGTAAAATCGAAAAAATGTAAAAAAAAACAATGGGATGCACAGGAGACGACTTTGGGCGAAGACTGGAGAGGGATGTGGGTCAAGCGAAGGACGGGGAGAAGCCGAAGAGACCGTTAGTGACTTAGCGTCAGTGCCATGTGGCTACTCTTGGTGTTGGCAACGTTCGCTTCGGCGACTCCCGCCCTCGGCGATTCGTTCATCTCCGACGTCGGCAAAGCGTTGAAGAGGATCTCTTCTTCAAAAAATCCATATTCGCTCGTCCCGGGGATCAGGTTCGATCCCCGTCCGAAGGGCCGTTCCAGGCAAAGGCGGCACTTCACCATCCTCGATTCCGCGGAAGAAGTCTTCACGAACCACGACCTCGTCTGGGAAGTCGCTCCGGGCTTGGAGATCAGGATCTACGAGGCGGACGATGGACGTTTCCTCATCAACGCCGGACCGAGCAAAAAAAATGATGGTAAAAGGATCAAACTTTTGTGTCTTTAAGGATAACATGCACACATCCACGTAAATATTTGATGTTAAGCAAATAAATAATAAGTTACACGTTAAATTTGGCTTAATTATTTTGTTCATTATGTAAGTCACTTCACGTAGTTTTACCGGTGAAGTTCGTACATCCGATGCCGAGTCCTTGCAACAATGTTTTTAGTATGTTTCCATATTAGCTTTTGGTTCAGGTGTAGCCGTAGATGTCGCACCAATATTGTAAATGTTGGTTCTCCCTGAAACAAAATTGCTTCATTTGAAAGAGGCGACGGTAAATGAACACTATTTTAGTGTTCCCTGACGCCGTCCGCGAATTCCTACAGCACGGAATGGGCTTCTTCACTGGTATCTTATTTTGACAATATGGCGACATCATCAGCAAAGTGGACTGGTTTTAAAAGCGTACTTGTTGATTTAAGGGATTAAAATTTTAATGGCATATTCTTTCTGACAATGATTTGACATTCATTTTGGACAATTTTACACAAGGTTCAGCCATTTGGAGTGTCCTACAGTTTGAAAACTGTCTTTCAATCTACCTACTGATTTTGAAAAATACGAGTAACTTTCTTGTGAGTACTTGTAAGTTATACTTAATTTTATCTTCGGCCCTAATACGAATCAATGATGGACGTATATCAAATCCAAGGATCAAGAAGAACAGGCAGACCCTAAGACGTCTAATAATTTCTCTCAAACCAGCCACTTTTTAAAAATAATAACAAGAACGAATATATCAAATTATACTATATAGAACATAAACAACATTAAAAAAATGTTTTAACATGAAATTTCTGCAGAAAACTTTGGTCGTACATTTGAAATTTGCTCATTTCTTATTCTTCAGGCTGAATTAGAAAAATACTAAAAAAAAACTGAAGGCACACTGTTCTTTCATTTTCTCAGATTTTAGTATGCAAAGTTGGACAGTTTTTTCTGTTATTCGGTGTAGTGTTTGTATTTATGATAAATTTGACGAGAATTTGGTATCTGGAATTATTATTCTCATGTACAGACTGTATAAACAGTTTTTCTAGTATGATTTCAAAAGTTAAGCCTTCATAAATTTAAAATTTTCGAGGACAGCCGTAAAGTATAATATCATGCTAACATATCATCATCATAATAACATGCTTCGCCTCGAGTTGCCTTATTCTTTATTTATTTATTTACGGTTTCTCAATTACTAATTTATACAATAAAAGTACTGAAGTTATGACTGTACATAAGTTTAGAAATATTTATAATAATACAAAAACAATAAAACAATTTAGAATGAATTGAAATCATTTGAAATATGTATTAACACTATAATTATCAATTATTAATTACAATCAAAGTCAATATTAATTATAGTAATGATAAAATATTTAATTTTTTAATAATAAAATTTGCTTCAATTTGCTCAAACTGACAATAAATATATCTATATTTTCGAACGAATTTAACAAATTTGTTGTTCTGGGTATACAACTGAATTTGGCATAATTAGTTCCATGTAAATCTATGGAGAATGTTATTTGACTTCTGGAATGATAAGATGGAACATGAAAGTTTATTCGGTTAAGCAGTAATGGGCAGTCAGTTAAGGAATGTAATAATTTATATAATAATCTACAATCACAGGGGCTTCGGTGGCCGCAACGATTTAGGGGTTGATACGGCGCTCATCACTGTAAGGTAAAGGTCCCGGGTTCGAATCCAGCGGCCCTGCATTCGAACCCGACATACTTACAAATGGGATTTTGTGCAATGGAAAAAATATAAAAAAATACAATCAAAGAAATTCTTTTTGTACAGTCGTCTATTTCAGATATGATATTAACGATGAGTATGGCGAATCTCTGTATTCTCAAATTGTTCATGGAGTTGATCATGGAAATTTTTAGTATGACGTGTAATAAATCCTAAAGTTTTATTTGCTTTAGCAATAGTTTTATTCATGTGTGTGTGAAAGTTTATCTGACTATCGATAATGATGTCAAAATCTTTAACTATTTCCCGTCTAATTAGGAGCGAGTCTGATATAGCGTAGTTAAATTTGATGGGTTATTTTTTTAATTTAAAGTCATAACTGAACATTTGACAGAATTTAAAAGAATATAACTAGTTGACCACGAATTATTAAGTTTTAATAAGGCATGTTGAAGTTGTAAGCAGTCAGAAGCAGAATTAATTTTTAAGATTATTTTTAAATCATCTGCAAAAAGTAAAAACTCGTAAAACCAACACCGTAATAATATAAAATATGAACGGGTTCTTTTCAGTTTTTTCGGTTAGCAACAGAAGAGGTCATATCAACCCTCGGGGTGCTGTTTTTTTTTTTTTTTTTGGCCTTATGATCTATGCATATTAACCATGGTGACGAATTCTTGTATATGTGTTCATATTTGGAGGGGGGGTTATCGTGAAAAAAGGGCCAGAGGCGACGGTGGGAATCGAACCCTCGACCGCGGCGTCTATGAGCCGAGAGTCTCTGACGCTAACCACTCGGCCGGTTTTTTTTTTTGGAGGAGGAAAAAAAAAACATTGTAAGTATGTCGCTGGATTCGAACCCCGGACCTTTACCTTACAGTGATGAGCGCCGTGTCAACGCCTAAACCGTTGCGGCCACCGACGCCCCTTAATGGGTTCTTTTGTGTATCCTTATGTTACTTTATGTAATCAATTATACTTTGTTGTTTGTCGTCTTTAGGATAGCAAAAATATGACGAGGATTTAACATCTGCAAATGTTTTTCTAATGTGGGAAAATAATAGATGTGATATTATCAAGGGCAATCCTTCACACATTTAAACCGTTCAAAACTTGTCAAATAGAGTAAAATAACTAGATGCATCTAACTCAAGACTCGTTCACGCATAGTTAACCCTTTTGGTTTTTTTTTTATCCCAGTAGCCTTTGGAAAGAAGCGCCGGAAAAATTAAGATTTCACGCTCGGACACATTGACACCTAGTGACAACCGACTCCGGTCTCAATTCAAAGTGACGGTAAATTATAATAAACGTATTTATTATTATACACAAATGATTTATCGGTAAGAATCGGATAAAATGATAACTCGGAAAAACGAATTCGTGCATGGCACAAATATGACGGTATGAACGGAGTCGTGATGACTTACTTTCTCACGCGCTGTAATTTTTACCTTTCGTTTCGAATAAGAACGGGAGTGCAATTGAATCTTTAATTCCTTCATTCGACATTTTTCCTCAAAATGACAATTTATAAATGATGGCCTTAAATTCCAATTTCACGCCTTACCTTCATCGCTGCGAGCTGACGGTATAGTGACAACACTAGACTATTACAAAAACTCGACTGCCTTTTATTCAAGACAGTAATTCAAAATGAACTTATTTAATCTATATTGCTATAAATATTATAGGCATTATTAATTGGACAAGAAAAAAAAAACAATTCGAACATACCATTTCCGCAGGAAATTATGCTAAAGGGAAGTACTCCACTCCATAACGAATTGACAAAATACAAATAGGCTTAGTTTTTGCGAAAAAGTGCAAATTTAATAAATTAAACAGTAAATGAAATAATCACTGGTAGACTTACAATATACATTAAATTGGTAAATCGAAAAAATATACATAGAGCGGACAGAGCAGAATACATTCAAGGATCAAATGATTAACAATTTCTGTGTCTCTCATATTGATAGGTAGGGTGAGATAGATAGATAGGTAGGCAGGTAGAGAAAGAGAGAGAAAAAGAGAGAGAGAGAGTGAGAGAGAGGGAGTGAGATAAATAGAAAGGTAGATAGGTAGAGAAAGAAAAAGAGAGAGAGTGAGATAAATAGAAAGGTAGATAGGTAGAGAAAGAGAAGAGAGAGAGAGAGAGAGAGAGAGAGATAAATAGAAAGGTAGATAGGTAGAGAAAGAGAGAGAGTGAGGGAGAGAGAGAGAGAGAGAGAGAGCGAGGGAGGGAGTGAGATAGATAGACAGTAACAGCAGTGCAGTAGGTAGGTAGGTAGAAAAAGAGAAAGAAAGAGAGAGTGAGAGCGAGAGTAAGAAAGAGAGGGCGAAATGAAGAGTGAATGAAATAGAAAAGGTAGAATACAGAGAATAGAAGGAGGCATACAGATAGAGAGAGGATGAAAATAATCAAAACGAGTATGAAATAGAAAGGGTGGGTCACAGAGAAAAGAAAAAGATATATAATGAGCAAGATAAATAAAAACGGAGAGATTATGAAAGAAAAAGGGAGGAACCGAGAAAAGGAAGAGAAAGATACTGATTAAGAGAGAGAAGAGGAACAAAGATATTGAAATAGAAAATATCATCACTTCTTTCTTGATCTGTGATTGCAAGACTTGAATTTTATTATTGTTGTGACAAAGGTCGATGTTAGGTCGGACGAAAAGAAGTGGTGTGAAACATCCTAATAACCCTAAATTGGAATAGAAACAGAGATATTGAAAGAAAGGGTGGTACACAGAGAAAAGGAGTAGAGTTATACAGACTAAGAGAGAGAAGAAAACCGAGGCAATTGAAATAGAAAAGTTGAAATACAGAGAGGAGAGAGAGAGAGAAAGAGAAAGAGAGAGAGAGAGAGTGAGAGAGAGAGAGAGGAAAGAGAGAGAGAATAAAAAATAATAGCACAATTTGGACCGGTTTAGCAACACGGACCAAATTGTACCATTGTTTTTAACATCACTTGACTACTTAAGATTCGAAAAAACCACATTCACTACAGAGAAATAAGGAATGAGATCCCTAAATAATTTTTACTGAACTGAAAGAATTGCGCTACTTATTAGTGTTGTTCGAGAAAAACTCGAAGAATAAAATAAAGGTAGATTCTTGTTTGTTGTTCTCGTTGTTTCTTTTCAAACTGAATGTTTGTAAAGGTCAAACTTTAAATTAATTAAGTCAAAACTTGAGCAAGACTCGTAACATTTTGAAGAGGAGTCAACGATTGTACTTGTGAACGGTTAGTCTTCCTTCTCGACC